CGTCTCCAAAACAGTGTTTTCCTTGGCCATTTAAACGACTAAACTATTCGTCTCCAAAACAGTGTTTTTCCTTGGCCATTTAAACGACTAAACTTATAGTCTCCAAAACAGTGTTTTTCCTTGGCCATTTAAACTGGCCATGTAATTCAAGCGCGTGAATTTTGAGCAAAACGACTAGCAGAGCACGAGTAATGTTACACGTGTCATGAATTATTTTGTGAACTAAGTATTGGAAATTCATCTTTTTTTTTCTTTAGGTTAAGTTACTGTTGCGTTTTGACGGCCCATATCTTTGACATCAACGTACACTGTCAGTGCTTCTGGCTCTTTTGAGACAGAAGTGGCGACACTGGTTCTTTTTTTTCTTTAAGCTTAGTTACTGTTGCGTTTTGACGGCCCATATCTATGACATCAACGAACACTGTAAGTGCTTCTGGCTCTTTGGAGACGGTAGTTGCCCAATTTTAAAGGCGACCCTGGTTCTTGGTGTGTTCATGTATCACCGACAGATGGGACATCGGCTTTATAGTAAGACCATGACTATTGTTAATAGAAGCGCGGGGATACACCTAGTTTTGGATGCCTGTTTTAAATGTCGGGCAATGGTAGCATATATAAAACTCATTTGGAGGAATGGTGTAAAAAATTGGCATTTACTTGTAGGCATTTAATCAGGGTATCCGACATTGAGCAGTAGACAGTCGCCTGTAAGCATTAAGCCGTAATTGTTGCCAGTAAGCATTAAACCGTTGACAGTAGGCTGTCGTTTATAGAATGTGTAGAGCAGGGACAAATAAAGTTTATAGCGTTTGTGTAATAGCAATGCAAGAGAATTGTTGACTTGTACATGTATGACGACAGATGAAGCACTACGACTTCTTGAACCTAAAAACACTGAGTGCACATGTCTGAATTTCTGTGACCTCGTTTAAAATTCACAATCCAGCGTTTATGCAAGCATTTATTATAATGAATCAAAATCTAAAAAGGCGGCTCACGTCCCACCAGATGAAAAGAGCTGGGTTGGTATGTTACAATACCGATATATTGTTGATCATGACCGGCGCAATGGTTATCAGAAGGCTTCTTCGTTATGGTATCTACCCAGACAATAAGATAGCATGCTGCTGGTATTAATGTCAGACGTCCTGTCATTCGTAATCCTTCGAATGGTTTTGTATTACAGGGAAGTTTTTTTTCTTATCGACTATATATAAATCAATCCAGTGACCCTGAGCAGGTAATTTTGACCCCGGAAGCATCAGTAGTACTGTCCACTTTACAATGCTACATGTATAAGCTCTAGAATATTTTTATTGGTTTTTTTTAACGAGACCATGTAAAATCAAGTTACCCCTATGGTTTTGTCAAGTTCGACCACGTTGTTATCATTTGAACAAACTCAGTACAGTTGCAAAGAAAAATCCTCATGTCATTTGAAACCAATAGTGATGAGAGATGGACAGTCAGTATTGTTATAGCTTTACCGTAAAAACCGTGAAATAATAAAAATATAAACCATTAAATATAACAACAAAATGTATACAGATATGGACATTTTTATTTATTTCATAACATTTTCATACTTTAAAAACGAAAGGATAATTTCTATCAAGTACAGTCTCCTCTTCATTTACCTGTACTTGATATCCTACAAAAGAAAATGACTTATTTTCACTCTTCCACCTATATATTCCATAAAAACAACACCTGTACAGAATGGGTTAATAGATGATTGAAATTATCTAATTGTCAAAATAATTACACAAACTCGAACATTTAACACAGTATCTTAACTCTTTAACACATTAACACAGTTCATGATGATATTGTCTTTAATAATTCAGCAGGGCCATGGACCCACAATAACTTGGTAGTTCATGAACAGACCTATCTAGAAATAAGTGAACATATGCCATAACCCTAAAGGAGACACCTAAATTATACTGGATGAGAATTCCGATTATAGCCTGGGGCAATTGTGGCAAACAGTCTTTCCTCACCTTAGTGCAATAATGGGTTAACTGCTAATTTAGTATAATAGGAGTTAATCTGTTACTGCACTAAGGTGACAAATTTTATTGATATAAAGCTGAAATATACTTTTAATAGTTCAGAAAAAACCTTTACAGGAGGATTCTTGCAGAAAATTCCAGTAATAATGGGCATCATGGTAAAACCACCACCCTCAATTATACTACAATCCATCACTAAAACCTCATGAATTTGAATTTAAATGGGTTTGCGTTTCAATGTTATACAAAGTACACTAGAACTATATTAATCCTTACCAAGTGGGAAACAAGATGGTTTGCCTTTGTCGGCAGTGTAAAGTCAAGTCTATACATCTGTACAATCTAAACCGACTCTATACTCTTGACCAAGTTTATGTTAAAACTTCAAAGTTACATCTCGATTTTCCCCAACATTGATAATGGACAGTTGCAAAAATGGAAACCGGACAAGCTCATTACTACACAAATTCAGCAGGATAGATGGTTTTAGCTATTTTCATCAACAAATACTGAATAAAAAGGAAAACAAAATGATGTATGAAGGAACAAAGAGACACACAAGCTGAGGTGATATAGATTATTGCACAATTATAAACCAAACCAGCACAACAATCACTGCATTTCTCTCAAACCTTACTTTTTGCAAAAGCTTTCTTCAAGCTCACAATACTGCCTTAACTTAATAAATGCTTACATTTCTGCTAAAGCTTTGCAACAGCTTACATTTCTGCTAAAGCTTTGCAACAGCTAACATTTCTGCTAAAGCTTTGTAAAAGCTCACATCTTTGCTAAAGCTTTGTAAAATCTTTAATCTCTGCTAAACTTTTGTAAAGCTAAACTTTTGTAAAGCTAGCATTGCTGTCAAAGCCTTGTAAAAGCTCAACTCTCAGCTAAAGCTCACATCTCAGACTCTTTCACTGCTAACATTTCTGCTTGTTTTAGGACACAAAACCTGTCATGAGTTATTTTTAGCTTCACAACCAACTTGCTTGTTAATTGCCATAAAGATAGACATAGATTAACACAGAACAAACACCATTTCTCCATGTGTTAACTACTTTTTATACTTTATATAATTTAGATGAGCTTTCGTATTATTACACATTATCTGCCATTTAACACACTGACTTAAGCCTCACTGTATTTGATTTCATAAAATACGAATTTCAGAATAAACATGGCTACGTCTTACTGTTTCCATAAATGATTAAAACATTGCTGGTTTAATAGTGATAAATAGATATTTAATATACAATATGTATACTCATGTTTATAATATAATCAAACACAGATTAACTAATTGTCATTATCAAAACCATTATATATGCGAGTTTCAACTTTCTTACCATTGAACATGGAGACAATTTATATGTATCAAAAAATGAAAACCAAAAAACTGAGTGTTATTACATGTAGACATTTAGATAACAATACATCTTACACTATTTAAATATCTTAATATAGCTTACAATTTTCAAAAGGTATGATATTTTATTTTACGATTTACAAAAAAAATTTGCTTACAAAACTATACTGAAATTCATCTTCAACATTGTTTGTGCAAAAATCACATATTCACACGTGTGGAAAAAACAACAACAAAAAACGGTTCATTACATATTATATGTTAAAATAATCACTAAACAATCTATCTGTACACAATTATAATACATTTCTCTATACAATCTACGATATAACTTTAGCATTTACAAAAACACCAACAACACATGCACAAATTACAATCATCTCAGCATGTATACGGTAAATTTAATATTCTACTATGTACAATATTATCATAAAATATGCAGTTTACATAATTTACACAAGTGAGTATATCTTAATGAGAAGCCATACACAGTTATATGGAGGCTAGAAAGCTTTTATCACATAAACTAATTAAGAATCAATTAGCACTCAAGCAACTTTCGGAATGCACTCGACACACTAAAAACGCGTTCACACTTCTAGTTATATTTCAAAATGCTGTCAAAACAAACTTGATAGCCTTAAGGTAAAATGTACATCTTTATTGGGCTCAAAAATGTTTGTTAATTTCTGTTAAGCCTTCAGGAAAAGGTCACGGAATAAAGAAGACGACTAAACTTCAATATTGTAGAAATATAGCGTTACAATGTAACAAAGAAAGTACAACACAGAGTATATAGCTGTCAATTACATAGCACTTGTAGTAAGATTAGAACTATCTATATGAGTTGTTGTGTATAAAACAGGTTCATATATGTGTTATACTATATGGGTTGTTATATGGTTGTGTTACATGGAATGCATATGAAGCTAGTAGCAGGGGAAATGAAATGATTCTGTGTAAATATGAAGTATGTAATAAAATACAAATACAGGGGTCACAAACATTTAACAGTATTCTGTGAAAACCTGGGGAAAAAATTACAAAACATCCAATTAAAGCTTCATTTTAAGTCAATTGTCAAATCTTTAAACAGTTTTAAGCTGTTTCAAGTTGAGAAATGTTGTGTGACCTCTGTATTCAATACAACATGAAGACTCTTTCCATTAAACAAAATCACAGGAATTTAAAATATATGACTGAAATTCTGTTTTCTGTTAATCAGGCTCTAGTTTCAATATTAACCAAATATATACACATAAATAGCAAACACACAATGGTACATTTCCGAATAAGGATATTGATTATTTTTTTCCCACAATTAAATCTTTGGAAGCAATGAGGGATAGTGTCTCATAGTGCCATTAGTATACAACCATGTTGGTCTATACAACTAAGCAGTCTTGACTAGGTTCTGCACCCACAGATGCTCATTTTTTTATTATTGAAGAGCTCCATTGGCCTCTTATATACTTTGAAAGAAGCATGATTTGTGGTCAATATAAACATCAAATTAATCAAATTAATATTCTCATTCCAAATATAGCATTGTTTATATTTCATTGTAAAAACTTATCTTGAATTTTATCTTGTAATCCCAGTATGACATTCAAACATATTCATAACCTAAACATTTAATTAAAACACAGGACAATAATCGAAATTGGCAATGCAGAAAGTGCCCTTTAAATATGAATATTGTTGAACATTTTAATGACTGTAACTCATTATGACTCCATATTCCTTCCATACATTAAGAACTGATATTTTTATCCATCTGTTTATATTCCTTTCAAATTTTCAAAAATCAGTCATTTTACAATTCTATACAATTCTGCTGTATTGTATATCTGAAAATTGCTACATCATAAGTATAAAATAACTTATTTAATTGAAATCCAAGTCTTAATTTACTTCAGGCTCTTCTAAATATAGATCAATTTTAACATCACCAATGAAAATAAAATGGCTGAAAATCTTACTATAACAGATGAATGGCATCAGAAAAAAATTGTATCAACATGGCATAAATATGGGCATATATTTCAATACAAGAATTATGATAAAACAGAGAATGGAATTGCACAGAAGTCGACACAACATAAAAATATTCCTTACAAAGAGAACAATTTCTACCTGCTCACAACAAGCTACATTCTATAAATTCTAAATCTTCTAAAAATTTATCACACATCTATGTTGTATAAACCTAACCCCTCACAGCTTGCCAATAATTGTCATCCTGCCCAGAAAAATTACTAACCTATATATATTAACATTTCATTACTTGCTAGATTACTATATATATGGTCCCATTTCGAATGCGAACGATGAAAATGTAACATATACATTCTTTAAAGCATGTACTTAACCCGTCCAAAAAATGATTATTACTGAATGAAATTATTTTTTTTTTTATGCAAAAGGAATTTTTTTTTTATTTCAAACAATATGGTTTCGCAAACTTTCAGTATGAACATACGTTATCCTATAATATATGTTAAATAATGAACAGATAAAAATCTTAATTAATAAGTACATTTCTATTTCAGAAACATTTCATTGCATTAAGTTTCTCTCGAGAAAATGCCGCATTTAAAGCACCTTCCCCTGTCACACTTTGTTCAATTGATTTCAAACATGTTTCACTCCCTAGCATTTAATACTCCATGTTGATAAATTAGTTGATGTTAATTTAAGACTCCATACACGAGTCCTTATTACATTTTTTTTGTAGACACAAACTATCCTGGTTTTACAAACAGGTCCATGTCACATAGTGCTCACACAAATCAGAGCTGTGATTGCAATAAATCACATAAAATTTTGGCCACTCTGTCCCTACTTGCACGAACAGTTAGTCTGTACATCTGAAAATTTTATACAACATAATTAAAATCAAATATCACAATAACTGTAAAACTAAAGAATAACAAGATATGTTTATAAAACATGTATGCCCCCTATCGGCAACCAATTAGTCATGTGATCAGGTTATTATGCATGACTTCTGACCCAGTGAACAAAACATTAATAAGGGTTATCTACTGGTCATGACTAGTCACAAGGTAATAATTATTGTGACCCCATAGGTTGTGTGCAGCAATTTAAGTTATTACAAATCTTAATATATGCATAAATTTTATGAATCATGTAGGCCTCATTATTGACTGCCTAGTTGTTATAAGACCTTCAAATGTGTATACCAAAAGCATTTTTAGTTTAATATAAAAATATCAACCAAGGCAACTTGAGTTGTTGAGTTATTGGTCAGAAACCGTCTTTAAGTACAAGTTCAATATGACACTGACCCCTTGACCCCAAAATCAATAGGGGTCATCTACTGGTCATGACCAATCATCATATAAAGTTTGAAGTTCCTAGGCCTAAGCCTTCTTTAGTTATTGTGCGGAAACTGTTTTTACCGACAAGGTCAATGTGACCTTGACCTTTGACACTTGACCCCAAAATCAATAGGGTTCATCTGCTGGTCATGACCAATCATCATACCAAGTTTGAAGTTCCTAGGCCTAAGCGTCCTTTAGGTATTGAGTGGAAACCATTTTTAACTTCAAGTCAATGTGACCTTGACCTTTGACCCCTTGACCCCAAAATCAATAGGGTTCATCTGCTGGTCATGACCAATCATCATACCAAGTTTGAAGTTCCTAGGCCTAAGCGTTCTTTAGTTATTGATCAGAAACCGTTTTTACTTACAAGGTCAATGTGACCTTGACTTTTGACCTCTTGACCCCAAAATCAATAGGGGTCATCTACTGGTCATGACCAATCACCATACCAAGTTTGAAGTTCCTGGGCCTAAGCGTTCTTTAGTTATTGATCGGAAACCATTTTTACTTACAAGGTCAATGTTACCTTGACCTTTGACCCCAAAATCAATAGGGGTCATTTACTGGTCATGACCAATCATCATACCAAGTTTAAAGTTCCTAGGCCTAAGCGCTCTTTAGTTATTGATCAGAAACCGTTTTTACTTACAAGGTCAATGTGACCTTGACCTTTGACCCCAAAATCAATAGGGGTCATCTACAGGTCATGACCAATCCCCATACCAAGTTTGAAGTTCCTAGGCCTAAGGGTTCTTTAGTTATCACTCGGAAACCATTTGGTCTACGGACCAACGGACCGTAAGAACAATGCAATGTAATATACCCCCTCATCTTTGAAGTGGGGGCATAATAAAATAGCAGAAAGACATAAAAGCAATTTGTGACTGCTTAAAAATGTGTCTTACAATATTTGTCTAAAAACTGGAACAGTTAAAAGAAGAATTCAAACTTAACACAATGAGATCAAAGCCTATGAAATCACATAATTATAGTATGAGAACTCAAGAATAATTATATATGTAAAATTGTATTATGTAAGTATACATATATTTCTTGAAAAATCTCTAGCAAAAGCTGAAACTTTGTGTGCCCGACAAATGCAAGAACAAATGTCGGAAAAATATTTTACTAATAGTCATATAAGTCAAACGTACAGTGGCAAATATATAAGTAGAAAGACCATATCTTTGATAGTTCAAATAAACCAAGTTTAATGTGAATATATTTGCTAGTTTCTGAGACATTGCTGTTAACAAGGATAACCAATGCTGAAAACAACAAGAGGGTCATGACAAAAGCTCCACATTTTTTTCCTTCAAAATTGGAGCTAACTAGAACTGCCACTATCATGGCGTGAATACCCCCGCATACCACTTTGTCAGAATCAACAGTGGCCATTTAGAGCTCAAGGACAACCTCCCTGCCAAATCTGAGGTTACTAAGCCAGTGCATTGCTAAGTTATGTATTCTACATGCTTCAAATGTGAAAATGTCAAAATCAATACATTGCGGACAGGACATTCTTTAGCAATTGAGAGAAAAGCTTTTCTGTCAAGGTCCCTGTGACCTTGACCTTTGACCCAGTGACCTCAAAATCAATAGGGGTCACCTTATAGTCATAATCAACATCCATGCCAAATATGAAGACTGTGGGTCAAAGGAATCTTCAGTTAATGGGTGGACAAACTTTTTGAAGTCAAAGTCCCTATGACCTTGACCTTTGATCCAGTGACCTCAAAATCAATAGGGGTCATCTACTAATCATGACTAACCTCCATGTCAAATATGAAGACTGTGGGTCAAAGGAATCTTAAGTTATTGGGCGGACAAGCTTTTTGAAGTGAAGGCCCCTGTGACCTTGACCTTTGACCTGGTGACCTCAAAATCAATAGGGGTCATCTACTTATCATGACTAGCCTCCATGCCAAATATGAAGACTGTGGGTCAAAGGAATCTTAAGTTATTGGGCGGACAAGCTTTTTGAAGTCAAGGCCCCTGTGACCTTGACCTTTGACCTGGTGACCTCAAAGTCAATAGGGGTCATCTACTAATCATGACTAGCCTCCATGCCAAATATGAAGACTGTAGGTCAAAGGAATCTTAAGTTATTGGGCGGACAAGCTTTTTGAAGTCAAGGCCCCTGTGACCTTGACCTTTGACCTGAAAATCAATAGGGGTCATCTACTAATCATGACTAACCTCCATGCCAAATATGACGACTGTAGGTCAAAGGAAACTTAAGTTATTGGGCAGACAAGCTTTTTGAAGTCAAGGCCCCTGTGACCTTGACCTTTAACCTAGTGACCTCAAAATCAATAGGGGTCATCTACTAATCATGACTAACCTCCATGCCAAATATGAAGACTGTAGGTCAAAGGAATCTTAAGTTATTGGGCGGACAAGCTTTTTGAAGTCAAGGCCCCTGTTACCTTGACCTTTGACCTGGTGACCTCAAAGTCAATAGGGGTCATCTACTAATCATGACTAACCTCCATGCCAAATATGAAGACTGTAGGTCAAAGGAATCTTAAGTTATTGGGCGGACAAGCTTTTTGAAGTCAAGGCCCCTGTGACCTTGACCTTTGACCTGGTGACCTCAAAATCAATAGGGGTCATCTACTAATCATGACTAACCTCCATGCCAAATATGACAACTGTAGGTCAAAGGAATCTTAAGTTATTGGGCGGACAAGAAAAAACCGACAGACAGCCTGACGGACGGACAAGCTGATTCCAGTAAACCCCCCTTACAACTTTGTTGTGCGGGGGTATAAAAACCCAACTATAGACTGGATGCTAGGAGAGTCGGCCCTTGTGTTATATTTCTTTTCAACTTCCTCAAGATGATAATATGCATCAACTATCTATTTTATATAAAAACTTTTGGAGACTGTTCATTAAGATGTAAGAAAGTTTTACTAGAACATACCTGTGCTTGTTTATTTGGCTCCAATCTGACAAGAACACCAACTTGCTGGTTTCTAGTATGTAGTACTCCGGCTGACACAAAGTTCTCCGGGTTTGGATCTATACCATCTAGAACACTTACACTGAATCCGATCAACTTAAAATACACAATAAATACACAGGTGACTATATTGTTATACCATATATACATTAAAACAATTCAAGTATACACAATGTATTCTGCTATACATCTAGTGAGTCTTGGAGTCGTGATAAGTTTATAAAACATTTTTTGGATTTTATTTGTGGGTGAGGGGTGGTGGTATATATTTAATACACTGATATTCTGTAAGCTTGCTGGATACTGGATAGTTTCCTCATATGAAAGAATTCAAACTCCCTGGCAGGATTTAAACCTACAGTAGTGAAGGGCAAGTGGTTTGAAGTCTAAGACCTTTACCATTCAGCTCTTGCCCACAGATGCCCCTAGGTTAAGGATTTAACTTCTATATATAAGAAAGAGTCACATACCTTAGTTTTTATCTGTTCTGTATCTATGGGTGATGTTGCTTTGAATATCTGCTGACTTTCTTGGCTTGGGCTGAAATAAAACATTTTAGCATAAAATATTAACTCGTTAATTAACTTTCCATATGTACTACAGTGTGACACTCATAGAGCGTTCTTTACATGAGCAATTAACATTTTACAACAGTTTTAATTCTTTACAAAGTTAGACTTCACAATAATTTTAAATATCTCTAAGGCCAACAACTCTCAGGAAACAAACTGAAATCTTTGTTTCCCCAAAGGATGTTGCTCTCGCAGGGATTGCTCCATGCCTCTTCAGGAATCAAAACAAGGAATTTAAGTCAATATAATATTATTGTTTTAACCTTATTTATTTATTAGCTGTAATGATGAATGTGAGACAATTCAAAAGCCTTGTAGTAAAAGCTTATTAGCAACATGGAATATTTAATGTATTTTTTTAGGAATAAGTATTCTCTGCTTAGTTTATTCCCGAAACCATGGTTATGTCCAAACTTGTACCTACCTACTAAGTGCCTTCCACCTGTTGAAGAAAGTACTGGCATCCATCTCTGTAGGTGAGATGTATTTATTTAGAACCACTGGCATCTTCAGTGCGATTTTCTGCTGGGCACCACTATACCTATAATGATAAAAGAATTGAAGAATATTTCTTTTTTCTTTTTTACCTGTAAACAGTATTTAGAATCTGACAACAGCATGATCAAAGAGACCCATCTAATTAGGAGGACACAAATACTCTATTCTTGCTTGAGTTACATATCATTTTTATATGAAGAAATATTACTGAATAGATATACAGTATTAACTAATTAATTATTGTTAGCAATCAAAGCAACACTGAGGCACTTTCTGCTTGTCTGTTTTCTTTTTAGACTTGTTTAAAAATATCTAAAATTTTGGAAATATCTTGGTGGTTGGTCCACCAAACAGGCTGTTCTGGATAACTAACCAGTAATAACCAATTTCTCCAAAAGTGACTGACTGGTTATCACAAATGTTTTTCTTAATCAGCAGTGAGGGACTAATGTCCATTAGACTCAATGTTAGAGATTGTTTGTCCCAGTGAAATCGTGCCTCACACAAGTATCGAACCAATGGCACCTGAATTACAAATCCGATACTCTCCCTACTGAGTTAAGCAGGCGTACAAATAAACAGATCAGTACTGTGTGTATTTTATTTTCACTAGATAAGGTGGCGAGTTACTACACAGCCTTAAAATTGACTTACAAGAACTGTATACTCATGATAGGAGCATCTTCAAATTCTTGCACACATGCCATATTGAACTGTTGTTTAACTTGTGCTCCAGCCTCTACCTCACCACCAACTGGCTTCTGTTGTATACTCAAACCTTACACTGGTAAAGGAAACTAAACTTTTTCTTTAAAATAATATCATTTGACATTTATGAAATTATTACAATTACCTCTTTTAACCATTTCTTTTTAAATTAATTGGGTTTTAAGAATATTTATTTCTTATAAATGTATAATAAAATATTACACTACACAAAAATTGAAATCTGGTTTCAGAAGAAAACTTTAAGCTTTTCTGAAACTCTTTCCTATATAATTTGAATAAGTGTTGCCCAACAATGATTTTTTAAACAGCATATTCATAAGGTATTTGAATATTATGACAATATTTTACACTGAGCACTTAACAAAAATAATGTCTGATGTACTACACTGATTTTCTGGCTTGCTTACCAATAAACTATTATAAAAAGATCTGACACTTTCACAGCGAGTCCTTTCACAGTAGAGAAGAATTTCAAAATATCAGATATATATCGATTGGATTAGACACAGCAAAAAAAGATCTCATTGTTACAGCAAAAACTAGATACGGAAAGTAAAATAGATTGTCAATTTCAATGACTCCGACAATTAGTATTTAAAGTCAAAAAGATCATTTAATTGAGAAGGATACTTTCAGTAAGACCTCCAGGCTGACTGATATCCACACAGAATGCATTAAGTTGGAATGTTGTCTTGTTACCATAGAACACCCACAACCTGCCCAAATCCTCACGATACTCGGACTTTACACCGATTTGTAGAAGATCATTCTCAAACAGCACACCGTTGTTCTTACATATAAACCTGGAAAGAGAATCATCACTACCAAAGTGATGTAATGTTGCGGTTTATTATTTGACTTGAGCATGCACTATATCTATACATACATTTGTGTTTACCAGTCATGCTTGACAGCGGAAACAATAACTTATTCAAATCAACTGTTGCAGTACTTCCGGTGAAGTCAAGTTTTCAACATTAATTAAGATTTGTGTAAAAATCATCAAAAGAGGCCTGAAGAAAGATAAGAACATCACTGTTATAATAAGCTAGACTCTTTTATTAATTCTTCATTCTAAAATAGGGGCAAACTGCAATTTGATACTTTGGCCATTCACTACAATGGACGGACACAAGCTCAAACCTTCTTCTGCCTCTTAAAATATAAGATATAATGCTACATAATATTTAGAATTTTAATATTTCTACGCTAATAGTGACCATAACCAGATCTGAGCCAGTGTTTTCTGTTCTGAGATATACACAGGTCGCTTAAAAACCCTATTACAAGTAGAGAAACTGATAGCGAACAGCATGTATCCTAATCAGACTGCGCAGACTGGTCTGGATCCATGCTGGTCACAAACGCACTATGTTGGTTTAATCATGGTGCAGCTCAAATTACCTTTTGAAAGCCTCCTCTGCTCCTCCTGTGAGTCCGCCCAAGTCCATGCCGTTTGTGGCAGGTGCTGGCTTGTTGCTTGTCAGTGTATCAAACATGTCTACAAGTAGGCCATCACCGTTACCACCTGCACTAGGTGCCGTTTGTGTTGGTGTGCCAAGTCCAAGTAGATCAACTGTTGCTGAGCCACCAACTGGGGATCCCTGAAATTATATCAACCCAGTATTTATACAATGATGAAAATCAACTTTTACAATTCATTTCTTTTTATTTTTCAAAGACAGCTCAGAGCTAAAGGTAAATATAAATGTTTTGTGATAATAAAAATATACAGTGACATATAAATTCTCTATCTTAAAGTTTTCAAAACACATTTACATTTCTATTTTAGAGGCTACATAAGCTATTTCTTACTTTTCCAAATCAAAATACATTGATAAAATAAATACTATAGAAATGTCATTCTACAACTTTATGTGTAACATATAGGGAATCAAGCTCCAAATCATGGTAAAAATTAAAAATCTGTAAACATTTTCTAGGCAAATAATGAAGAAGAAAAACATAATCACAAAACAGTACCTCTCTGATTAATACCTTACAAAATTACTTAAACTTCAATCTGGCTTAACATCTTTTCTGTAACATTATTTTTGACTAGTGTATGCATGTATCCCTGGTGCTAATCATGCTGATAGCTTGCAAGCAATAAGGCAGGTGAAGGCAGGCTCAATCAATCAATCAATCAAACAATCAATTCATTCATTCATTCAATTTTGAACATAATTCAAAATTGTTCAAATTAGCAAAGCTTGTGACAAGTGTACAAATTATTTAATAAATCAAAACAAGGAAGAATACTAGTAGTCTTTACTCAATTAATTATGTGGAACAATTATGATATCAGAAATTGTGCCATATTTCACATAAGAAACATTAAAATTAAACTTATATTGTGAATATTTGTTAAACTTATATACCAATCTCCTAACTTTGTTCTAGAGTTTGTTTTTCTCCAATTCTGATGTGCAGTTTTTACACACACTCACTTAACACTAACACAATCATTTAAAAACAAAGAAACAAACATATACACACAAAAACATCTATGTTAATAGTGAGACCATACATGTATTATCTGTTTATAGGTGGGTGAATTGTGTACAAACATTCTGTAAGTCAGGAAGCTTTCTAGACAAACCTTAACATGAGTTTTATTTTAAAATAACATTTCAAAATTTAACCTTTAACTTGCTCGATTTGAAAGTGATCAGCCTTTGCCACCAATTATAGAGCAAGGTAGACTCTTTTATACAGCCAACTGGATTCTATACAGCTTGAAGCTCAATTTTTATATTTTGATACTGGATTTCCTTGCAATTTATATAGGTGATTCCAAATTCAAAGCAGGGCAAATCCAGAACACAATTTCAACTGGCTACAGGTTCAAAATTATAGAAACATTGTCTCCCAATATACACCACACGGAAGCTCAAGTTCAAATTTCACACTTGTTCCAAAAATAGCCTTACAAATATAACTACATGTACATATAACTAAGTGACCTCCTGAATATCTTAGAAAATAGAAAACAGGCTAATCCCAAAATAGACAGTCTTCAAAACACAACACCCTGGTGTCTGACATATTCTTGTCCCCTCCCCTTTAAACAATTAAGACAGTATTATAAAACATTGCTTTGTGGCATTCCTCTTTTATCTCTAGGATTGTCAACAAATAACTTCCTGACTTTCAGAATGATTGGGGAGTAAGTGTTCTGGGGTTATAATTAATGTCATACTTTTTCCATAACATCATCTGTACTGCTCTCCCCCTGTGAAAAATGGAATATTCCACATATCATGCCCAAACATTAGTAAAACACTATATCAACCATGAGCATGCAACTTGAAAAATGACCTTAAATTCTCTGAAAGGTTAGCGATGATATAGAATAGTATAGATGTAGGTCTGTCTGCAGATTTGTTACTCTGTTCTTTTAAGCCAATTACACATGTATATTACATAAACACATTTCCGGTCATATCAGGGCTGCTCCCCCTATAAGGCTTTCCAGGATAACAATACAGTAATTACAAATTTCTCCGCAAGTGACTGACTATTAAAACCAAATGATTTCTACAGTAATGACAGTTAACTGATCATTAGTCTCAATGTCTAAATTAATTGTCCCCCCCCCCCCCCGAGGGTCACACCAATAACCCCTAATTACAAAATACAATGCATATCTGTTAAGTCTGACCAGACTCTATACTGTTGGAAGCTTATTTATAGCATTTGGAAACTGAAAGCCCTTACTTTAATCTGATTTTATGTTAGAGTAAGTAAATTACACAAATTAGGTAGGAGTGATTTAGGTCAACAAAACTTTTTTGCGGCATTGTAATAATGTGTAGAATTTTTGATCATATATCATTTTTTCAAACAGTTGCATGCTAATGATTTCTCTACAATTCTAATGTACATATATCTATGAAATATAATATATTCAAAATATCTACATGTTAATTATAGTATTAGTATTTAAAATTTTGATACACAGAGAATTTTTATATATACTATTTGTATCAAATAATGTCTACATTTGTATAATTATTGAACTAAGCTATTAAGCATACTATTGCATTTGAAAACACTACCTAGAAGACAAAGAATACTCATGGTGACAACTTTGATTCTGTTTTACAATTTCACAATATTTAATTTCTTTAATGCCATTAGCTACTAGAGTAGGCTAGGAATACATCAAAAGATGTACATGTAAAGTATAAATATAATATAGATTTACTATAATTTTATAATGGGTGACTACAGAAGAAATACATTTTGCCTTTATGAGAGTCTCTCTCTATTTCAACTTTTCTGTGATGCAGCGAACTAAAATTCTCATTAGAATGAATAACAAATTCTTCATCTATAAATATTCTATCATGTTTTACAAACACACACCTCTATGACATGGGGACAGACCATCATCCAATGAATTAAACTGGTTAAGAAGCTCTTCTATGCCAAGACATTTTTGGATATGAATGAAGACAATGGTAGACAAAGCAAAAATGGATTAAAAGCCAGCCAGATTTTTTTTTTACTCGGATTTTAACACATTTTTTTTGGTCCTATCTCTGCAGCCTATCCACCAAACTGGCTTAACTGGATAACTAACCAGTGATTACCAATTTCTTCGCAAATAACCAACTACTAATTTCACATGATTTCTTAATCAAATGGCCATTAGACTGAAGTGCATGCAGAAATTACGTCTTGCTGAAGGAATCGTATCAGAGATGCCTGGATTACTAACCTGATGCTCTCCTTACTGAGGCTAGCGACCAGTACATTCAGACATTATTAATGTTGTTTTTTAATTGAAATCTGAAGTGCTGGTGGATGAATGAGGGGTGGTGATGGTGGGGGGGGGGGAGGGGGATGGGGCTGATGGTTAGGCTATTCAAAGCTTTTAGAGTAACTTAAAGTCCTTAAAGGAAATTATTTATTGAGCATATTTAAAACTGACTGTTCATAGCTCACAGTTTTTATTTGTGTCTGAAATGAGTATTAGGTACTGGCTTTTGACTGAGCATGATGGGAAGGAGCATATGGTTTAATTTGATATGTCATGAGCAGGGTTTTCACTAATAATTATATGAGAAGTGGATTGAATCATGAAATGAACAGAGGATTTCCATTAATGATGATGGTTGGAGACAAAAGGTTTCTTTCTTTACTCCATCTTATAAGGCTCTGGGTATGTTTGAAACATGGACTGCTACAGGGTTGTTTATAAAGCTGTATATTGGCATACAATATCAAACCCTTCCAGAGTAATTCCTGTAGAGGTGGTCAGAGTAACTGACGGGGTTTCTGACGGGGTTTCTGTGAAATCCCAAATGGCAGCGCCTACAGCCTCATCACCAGTGGCTAAAGTGACCTCTGTCAAAGCTGTCAAAGGCTTGTCTACTGACGCTAGAGCATCAGCCTTCATAGTTAAATCAAATTATTACTTACCCTATGTTAAACTTATATCATTATAAAATGCCTTTCAGCTTAGCTTCCTGGAACTAACCAGTACTGATGTCATATATAAGGAAACATTGAACAGATCATAGAGCTCGAAGAATTAAGAGCACCGCTAGGTGGAGCATTATATGCCCAAAAGTGTTATTTTTTTTTTTGTAAGGTGAAGCATTTGTAAGATATGGGAATTAAATAAAGTATTACCTCCTTCAAATAGAAATCCTCCTATGAAGTTTGAATATTGTGGGCCAAATGGAACTTAAGTTATGCTTTGTTTGTTTGTTTTTTTGGGTTTTACGTCACATCAACACAGTATAGGTCATATCGCGACATTCCAGCTTTACTGGTGAAGGAAGACCTCAGGTGCCCTTCCGTGCATTATTTCAGGCACGAACGGGTACCTGAGTAGAACCACCGACGTTCCGTAAGCTAGCTGGATAGCTTCCTCACATTAAAGAATCCAAAGTCCCTGTCGGGATTCGAACCCACAGCAGTGAGGGGCAAGTGGTTTGAAGTAAGTTATGCTTTGGAAACTGTTTTCAGTTTTGAGGTAATAGTGACCTTGAACTTTGACCTTGTGACCCCAAAATCAATAGGGGTGTTCTACCCAATATGGACAATCATCCTATGAAGTTTGAACACTGTGGGCCAAATGGAACTTAAGTTATGTTCTGGAAAACTGTTTTCAGTTTTAAAGTAATAGTGACCTTGACATTTGACCTTGCGATCCAAAAATCAATGGGGGTCTTCTACCCAATATGGACAATCATCCTATGAAGTTTGAAATTGTGGCCAAATAGACCTTAAGTTATGCTTTTGAAACTGTTTTCAGTTTTAAGGTAATAGTGACCTTGACCTTGTGACCCCAAATCAATAGGGATCTTCCACGTATTTTGGACAATCACCCTATGAAGTTTGAATATTGTGGGCCAAATGGAACTTAAGTTATGCTCCTTAAACCAAATTGCTAATGGACGAACGGACGCCAGGGGGTATAACATAATATGCCCGAAATTCTTTCGGGCATATATAAATCCCTTATCAAGATGCATGAGGACAACACATTCTTTTTTATAAACATTATTATGTGGTTTCATGATAGAAATAGCAAATATCAAAATGAGTTATAATCAATATTATAGTTTTATTGATGGATTAGTAATTATTGTTTGGTTTTATGACGAACCAACACAATTTAAGTCATATGGCACCAAAACAAGAAAGATTATTTTGACTAACCGCAGGTGTTACCAACAGTGGCTGCAATTCTGATGCCTCAATGTTTAAAGGCAACCCCTCAGCCACAAGGGGAAGCAATTTTTGTTATTAGTACATTTAGTTGTTAAATACATGTATAGCATAATTATGTTACAGTTACAAACTAACAGCACAGTATAACATCCAACAAAGTAAGCCAAGATATTTTGAGAAAAGCCACACAATTACTGATTATTCCAGAAGTTATATATACATTTAATTTTGTTAATAAAATGAAATAGAACATATGTTATTTGTTACAACCTAGGTAAATTATACACAAAGGCTTCGCTACATCTCTCCAGTTAAAACTCCTCCTAAATAAAGTATGGTTAAGTAACTACTATATAGAATGAATTCTGAATGTATGATTGCATAACACAGGAGAAATCAGACAGCAAAATGCATTCAAAACACTAATTCTAGAAGAGATATTCATAAGACATTGAATTATACATGCTCAAGGCAAGATGAATTCAACATATCGTAGATTTTTGACTGTATACATGTATGCATATTCCAAGACAATTTCAACAAAAATTGTTGTCATAAGCATGTGTATTCAAGGTAGGATATTTTCGACATACCTGAGACATTAGATTGATGGTAGTAGGTGGGTTAGATTCTACGTTATTGGACATCTGAGCTTGAGGAAGCTTGGTCGCTGTGTGTTCCTTCTGTTCGCTACCTTCGGGTACACTCGATGGTTTCTTCTTCTTCAGTTTAGCAAGGATTGACGACTCTCGCTCTGGGAACGGCGGCATTTCTTCCAATACCGTTGCCTGGTGACAGATAACTCATATATCAAGATTGAAAACTAAAATACATGCTCTTTACATAAACATGCCAATAAATTTAGTATGAGATTTAGTACGAGACAGATTAAACAGTAAATCAATGAAATATCTGTATCACACCAAGAAAACTTCATGTTGTAAATAATCATTAATGTGTACCCAATGTTTTTTTGTAAATGATTGCAAATCTGTTTGTTTGTTTGGTTTGGTTAAAAAGTTATCTCGGACTTTAACATATATTCTGGTCTTACTCTGGATAGCTATTTTTTCATAAATGACAGGACTACTAATGCAACATAATTTCTGAATCCATGGCGAGTTTGACCCAATGTCCAAGATCAATTCTCATGTAGAATTTTCGTCTTGCCACGAAAACAATTCATCCACCCCTGGATTACAAAATGAGCAAAGAACGCCGCACTTGACTGCAAAACATATAGTCACTGAGTAAAGTAGAGACATATGCATAATTATGAAACTTTGATTTTGAGATACTTTGGTACATAATATAGCATAATTATTCAGACAAAATGACTTATGAATCATTTTCCACTAATAAACTTACACCCCCCTCCCACACACACTCAAGGAACACAAGTAGTTAACAAAAGAACAATTGTGACAAAGATAAACATATCCACTTACCAGAACATCAGCAGTTGCTATAGAACTAAGTTGTAAATACTCAATACTTCTTTGTTGTAATTCTACATCGGAATTACGCATATTGTTATCACTTTTTAATACCTGGAAGATGAAATACCACATCTTACATTGTGTCATTAAGTCACATGTATTCAGTTTAATTAATATTTTACCCTTTAAAACAACAACATCATAAAATGAAATATTTTATATACATTTTAGGTTCTAATGACTGTTACTCGTCTGAGCACAACAATTCAAATTTCAAATCAATGATTGAAAAATGTAGCACATTTCATATGAAAAGAAAATGTATTAGCACTGTATATTTATGCGCTTAATAATCACTGAGTGTGCATATGCTTAACTACCTGGAACAAGTTTGTGTGTATCCTTTGCTACCAGATAGAGCAAGCCCCTACATAACATCAGCATCTACAGGATCTATACTGCTTTGGCTGACTAACTTAAAATTTTCATCATGATATCCAAAATTTGATAATGGACAGTTCCAAAACAAGACCATTTTACAAGTTCTGCAGGTAAAAGGTTAATCCTTTGACTGCAACCTGTCAGGTCTGTCTGTATAATAGTGCAGTCAAGGTGCATTAAGATTCACAATTTACATGATTAATGATTAAAATTTGGGCTCTACTCGAACAATTACATGATTTAATCTAATATATAGCTGAATTGTTAAAACTAAACCTGCAGTATATTATAAGTTTTTACAGACATTTTGATAAATTGTAACCTACGTCTGTATGTGTTTTTAATCTCTGGGAATAGTTGACAATTTGTATATGTAGACAAGGAGGAGACCCTTGAGAGGAAACGACAGGTGATCGAAGTGTATGGAGTGAAACTGGACTAGAGGGCTGAAAAAACAATGAAATGTTAATATGGCTAAATAATTGTTAGCTTTAAGTTTTACCAAAAATCAATTTGTATATGTTAGTTTTAACGTTGCACAATACTGAAAGTCATATGATGACTGTTTTCTGTGGAGCAAGACCACAGGTGCCCTTCCGAGATTATTTCAGGCATAAACGGGAACCCGAGTAGACCCACTAATGTTCTGTTAGCTAGTTGGATAGTTTCCTCACATGAAACAATTAAGTGAAGTAATCCCATTAAAAATTCCTGTTCTGGGGAAAGTGAATTTTACCACTGACAAAAATGAAGTGAAAGCCGCTAAAATAGTTAAAAGTTAAAACTCTTTATAAGCTTCTTCAAACATTAATGTGAAAATATAAGATTAGACTTTATTACATAATGAACAGCAAACAGACCAGTTACAAGCAATTATTCAAGCAATTACATAAATTATATATCAACAATCATATACTGATTGTTAAAACTAAAGCCTACAGTATTAATTAAAGCTTTTAAAGACAATGTGAAAATGAAAAATAAGTAACCTACGTCTTGAATTGTGTTTTTAATCTCTGGGAACAAGTTGACAAATTTGATATATGTAGAAAGAAGGAGACCCCTTGTAGATGGAGAACACAGGTGGTATTTCGAGTGTAGGAGTTGAAACTGGACTAGAGGGCTGAAAATACAAGTGAGATGTTTAGTATGGCTAAAATAATGTCTGTATACTTTAAAGTTTTACATCATATTTTTTTTTTGTATGGTTTTATGTTGCACCGACACAGAAAAGGTCATATGGCGACTTTCCAGATTTTCTGGTGGGGGGAAACCATAGGTGCCCTTCTGGGATTATTTCAGGCACAAACGGGCACTTGAGTAGGACCACAAACATTCTGTAAGCTAGCTGCATAGTTTCCTCACATGAAACAATTAAGTGAAGTAATCCATTAAAATTCCAGTTCTGGGGAAAGCAAATTTTACCACTGACTAATAATTAAGCGAAAGCTGCTAAAATAATTAAACTCATTATAAGCTCCTTCAAACATTAATGTATCAATATAAGATTAGACTTTATTACATAAAACAGCAACTAGACCAGTTATAAGCAATTAGAACATGATAAAGAGGAGCAGGAGTTAATTACCTTGATCTTGGATCACCTGCAATCAAATTACCAAATTCACCAAGGATGTAGCCACCAACTTTTACCATATTCTCATGACATGCTGGGGCTTGCAATGCCTGTAACAAATTACTAAATTGTAAAATGATTATGTCTAAAGTTTTTTTTTGTTTTTTTTTGCTTTTTTCCTTTCCCAAAGTAAACTTAATATCATTTTTTAATCTAAAGTAACACTTAAACACTCAATGAAAGTATGTATCCATAAGAAAAATCAAATTGCTCTAATTACTTAATAATTAATCATATATATTTAGGTTTCTTAATAATATCTGTCATATGTTGTGGCAGGCCTTGTTATCGCCCAATGGGCGGTTCTCGCTAGATGCTTATTCTGATCCGAACTGCAAACATGTCAATTTTTTTTTGCATATTCTATCATATTCCATTATAACATTATATTTTAACTCACAACCTTAATAAAACAATTTTCCATGGAAATTAATGTCATTTCACCTGTTACTATTTTCTTACAACAGAGTATGAAATGAAATTTCCAGCACAGGTAAAACTAACCGAAATGCCAGTCTGATATGCAAGAAATTGTTTATCTAAAATGATGCCCAATGAGTGACTGATATTATCTGAACTTTCCCATCATCAACCCAATTATACAGTTACTGATATACCATAGTCTTATACTAAAATACTCAAGAGTGTAATACTTATTCAAAGTTGAGTTTTAAATAAATTATGTTTATTAAAAATACTTATATCTTAAAAATGTTTATTAAAATACAGACTAATTTGACCTCTCACCTCAAACACAGTCTTTGCAGCATATCCCTGTACATCATCCCGGTTGATGACAATTTGTATAACTCTGTACCAGACTTCCTCGCTCACATAGTCTCCTGCTATACGTATCAGGTTGAGGATCACATCTACATACCACGTATAATCTACTGCATACTTCTCTGCTAATATGGCCACCTTTAATACCTGTATAAGACAAAATGTTTAGACACTGCAGTTTTACATTGTTACATTTTATTATGATTCAATGTGTGCTGTCAGCCTCAAATATGTAGCAACAAATCACTGTGAGTAAAAACAGGGTATCTTAAACATGTATGCCAATTTCAACAATACTCTACAATTTAGTTTAGTCTCATCTTAAGCGACTTATAACTTCAAACATGTTATTTACAAAAACCAGAATTATTTTTAATGAATGAACCTCCATACCAGTCCACCGTTCTTGAAAATTATTTTTCAGTGTAGCCAATATTATACAAATATGGACTTTTAAGCTGTTGAATATGATGTAATATGTACTGAAAAAATTAATATTGACCGAGGCGATAGCCGAGGTCAATATTAATTTTTCAGTACATATCACATCATATTCAACAGCTAAAAAGTACATATCTGTTTTATTATATAATTTATAAATAGCTTTTATATGGTTTATCAAATCTGCCATTTTTCATCTTGTCTACTTTTTCCATAGTTTGGCCCTTTCTTTTTTAAATAAGCGCATTGACACGCTTATTTGTATTGTTGTTGGTCACTAAAATAGACTTATTTGACTCTTATATACGAGTCACTAAATGTTTATTCTGTTATAACAACAAACTTAACATGACGTCACGTCATAGTCTCGCGTCTTTAGTGGGATTTCCAGAAAATCTATTTTTAGAAGAAAAAACGGTGAATATACTCTGAAAATCTATTTTTAGGGAAAAAAACAGTGAATATACTCTGATATTGACCTGTTATTTTTTACAAAAAGTTGCTTGTTAGCCAATCAGGGAAAGGCATTTCAAAGCTATTTATAGATTATATAATAATACCAGTTATAGATCGATTTCAAAAGAGTTCTTTTTCAAAGTCAGAAGCACTGTTTGTTTTTATTGAAATAAACTGGTTTTTATTTCATAGATGTTAAATGTTAATCACAGACAAGAAACTAAATGTAAAAATTGCAAACTGAATGTAGTGGCATTACAAATTTACAAACACAAAAATTTACAGAACTTGAAATAACTGCTTTTTATTCACGAATAGGATACTAAATGTGGTGGCACGGAAAATTCACAAATGCAAATATTAACAATACGTACCATTTCCTCTCTGATAGAATAGTCAGCTGATTCTAGATACTCCAACATCTCACCAACTATCTCCTCTGCATTTGTTCTATCACACATTGCATACAGTAAATCTACAGCCCTCTGTCTAACACTTACATCACGCTCAGTCTGTACACAGAAAAGGCTAGGTTATTATATATTGTTAATGTCTTAAAGTTGTGTTAAACTGAATTTCTGACAGATCAATATATGAAATAGAAAAAAGGATAAGGAATGGTGTTAGGGAATGAGTTTAAATGCATTGATATTGAAAATATATCAAGTATTCCAAGTTTCATGATATTTATTATAGTTTTCATCTCATTCTGTTTAAGGAGCAATTTTGATCATAAATCTCTGTTAAAAAAGACATAACTCTGGAACTCCCAAAATATAACATTTGGGTAATACTCCTTGTCTTACAACAGTGCCATGTCACGACAGGCAAATATTCAAAGTTTCATGTTAAAACATTTGATAGTTCCACTAAGTAATTTTAACAAATATTCCACTGAAGTGGCATTTCTCCAAAAATTAACTTTCAGCATAATTCTCTTGTTTTACAAAGTTACTATGTCTGATTATGAAAAGTGAATATGCCAAGCTTGAAGTTGATACATGTACCTTTTAAAGTAATTAAGAAATGGGCTACATTAAAAAATTTGCAAAATGACTCCATAATAGCCTGGCATTTAATTTGAAACAGAAAAGCTAATAATAGAATTTCAGTTAAAAGAGTTTGTACTTTATTGTGATACCATAAATAACCTTAATATAAATGTAAACTGTCATTTTTAATTAAAATCAATGTACATGCATAGAATGTTTCTTAGAGACTAATAACAATTTCCTAGATAATAATTTCAAAATAATTAAATTCATGACATTTTGTAATTTGATCAGTATGATTAATAACATTAAACTTTCTTGCTGAATATTGTCAAGGCTTCTTCAGAATAATAACAACAAAATAGACACAACATCAGCATCCGTCAGCAGAGAAAATGTGATATCAGTATGACATGCAATACATCAATGTCATAAACAATACACTGTGATAAGAGATGATATTAGGCTTATGTCATATAACAGTTCTAAGCAAGCTATTGGAAATATAATATAATAAATCAGTTGTGTCCACTTTCTTCAGTATAAATCTAGAAATGGGACATAGATACTTTCTATTTTTTTGTCAAGTCATTAGCAGGATGGTGTTACACCTCGACAGCCTGGCCAAATCTCTAGATATGCTTCTCCCCACTAATGAGGGGGCATAATAAAAGAAAAAGAGGAGCAATGATATAGATGGAGGTTAAGATCTCACATACAACAGTCACAACAATGTTTCCTCATATGGCACCAGGACTGTTAGTTCCAGGAAGGTGACTAGTTCCAGGAAGGTGACTAGTTCCTGGAAGGTGACTTGAGAATGGTTCAATTACCTGAAGAATTTCTTCAAAATACAACTCAATGGTGTACACTGTTAAAATCAATGACAGTTCATTTAAATATGAACATACCTTTAAAGCTGTGATGACTGTCTCTTGGTGCTTTTTGACAGCCTCATGTGAAAATTCTGATGTTGCTAACAAACACATACTTTCTAATGCAAGGTATCTGAAATAATAAGACAATATACATATACATGTAATACATGCATAATAATGTAAGGAGAAAAGGAAAAGCTTTTATGAATAATGTAAATTAAATATTAAACTGATTCTCTTTCAAAATTTCAGCACTTTAACTATGAGATACTTCCTTAGTCCTAGTAGGAAAAGATTTCTGTTTTCTTTTTGGTGAATTACTTATCAAATTTAACCATTATTTTTGTTTGTTTGTTTGTTTTGGGTTTTACGTCACATCAACACAGTATAGGTCATATCGCGACGTTCCAGCTTTACTGGTGGAGGAAGACCTCGGGTGCCCTTCCTTGCATTATTTCAGGCACAAACGGGCACTTGAGTAGAGCCACCGACGTTCCGTAAGCTAGCTAGATAGCTTCCTCACATGAAAGAATCCAAAATCCCTGTCAGGATTCGAACCCACAGCGGTGAGGGGCAATTGGTTTGAAGTCAGCGACCTTAACCGCTCGGCCACGGACGCCCCGACATTATTTTTTTCCCCATGCTTTAATTTTGATCAGTTATAGGACGACTTTTCAGACCTACTGCTGAAGAAAGACCTCAGATGTCACTAAGTATTACTTCATTAATGAGTGAGCACCTAAGTAGAGATAAGCTAGCTGATTGCACATGAAAAGCTTCAAAGTTTTAATGACAAAAGCTAAACAGCTTTTTTAAGAGCTTAAATTTCCAAACTAATTCATTAGTGTTCAGAGCAATGCCATATCAAAATTTCCATTTCTCCAGGTTACAGTCCTGTCATTTACAACATGTTACATTGATCTATACAAATATAGAGTCAACCTTTAAAACTTTTACCTACCTTAAATTAGTTTCCCTATGTTGTAAAAACTGTCCTAATTGGTTACATGCTCTGACTAGAAGGTTAGGATCACTGTCCATGTGTATAATTAAATTAATTGCTTCAAACAGTACAGCATTTTTTGCGTTTGAATGCTGAACTTTCTTTGACTTTGGTGGCTCCTGGGCTTTATTTAGAATCGTCTCCAAACACTCGGTTAACCGAGTTTTTACAGCCGGATCCTCTGTACAGAACAAACATAATGAATTCAAATTATTTCAAGGTCATTATTAAATAATAGAAAGAGCATTGAAACATGATACCTGATTTGTACAAGGCGGCATAGCCACCCCCCCCCTACATAAATCAGATAGCCCAGTGTTTTAATGCTCTGTATAATAGGCATTAATTAACATTTAACATGTGGTCAAAATCTGTAAACCCCAGAAAAATGTGGTCCATCAACGAGCATGATCTATTTTTATCCCCTGACAGACAGTGTGATAATTGGAGTGTTTATAAGGCCAATTTTTTTTTATATTTTGGTTTACTGATTTTTTCCAAAAAAAGGTAGGGTCGGCGGCGGGAAAAAAAAAAAAAGTTTTCATAACTATAAATGTGGTGCATACATATACATAGTACTTACTAGAGCAATGAAATTAAATACATCGCCGATTGTCTATTCCAAAGATTGTTTAAATACACAAAAAAAAACTTTTGCTCATATTGCCATTGTTTAAAAACACAGATGAAATCTACACACAATGACTTATGACAAGTGGTAAGCGAGCTCTTCAAAAGAATCTGTTATTCTTTGATGTTTACACACTGCTGTGTAATCTGAATCATCAAAGGTGCCGAAAATCAGCTGACTTGCACTCATTTCTTTATAGATCAGATGTTAAAAAAAAACTGTCAAGAAAAGATTACACAAAGTCATGTTAAATTTTGCCCATTGTGAAAATATTTTTATCGGATAATTAGCGGGTCAATTTTTGACATAAAAATCTATTAAAAGTAAGTGCGGGCATTTTTTTTTATTTTGTTTGTTTGAAACCTGTATTCAATCTGCTTTTAAAGACTTTTTTTTTTTTTGTTAAATCTGAAAATACTGATCTTGTCAATTGCAGCAGATTTCTCTCGCTCTGTCCTTAATTGCTTACGTAATTTGGCGTGTTTTTTTTTTGTTTGGTTGTTTGGTTGTTTTACATTTTTACGCATTTCGACCTTCAATGCATTGATGAAATATGATCAAAGCCTAATTATAATTCTGTGAGAATGGCTTGACCCCATTTAACAGACATTCTTTCATAATACACCAATAAACACTTTGCCCAACTAGCAGACGACAGGCTATTCTCGAGTAAAGATAACCGGTTGCGTATCTCACTGTATAAATCGTAGGTAAAATAGTCTGGCATGTGGTAGGTTTAACAGTTAATTAAAATACTTACCGCGACATTTCTTTGACAAGTCGTATTATTAGCAGCGTATTTCAAGACAACACAGAATTTTTTTGGGGGGGGCAGATTTTTTTTTTTTTTTCATTTTCCCAAAATACAGAGTCGGCGGGTCTGTAAACCGAAATATCAAAAAATAATGGCCTAACTAATACCTGCACTTCACTTAATACACACTGTGCATTTACGGATTTATCATTTAACTCAAACTTTTTTTCAAATGAAAAGGTCTGAAAACTATGATACAATAAAGCAATGCTGTACAATTTTATATTTGAATTATATATAAAGACTAAGTCTAAAGCTACTGTCATTTACTTCCATAAAATGATGTTAAGCCATGTTCAATGCAAATCTTGTTTATTTTTTTCATTATACACGAGAATCTATATGCTACACACCTGGTGGTGGGTAATTCTGTAACAATCTAAGAAGTTTCACAGATAACCAGGGAGCTGGAACAAAATAGTAGGTGTAGTCCTGTAAGTCTGTGTATGATGATGTCACAATCTGAAACATACATTATATAACTATAATACAAAACAATGGCATCTATTTTACCAAAAATTCATTTCCATAATGTTTATATGATCTATATACAATGCTGCTGTAAATTTATAAACTCATTTTTGGTTTTCCACAAATAAAGGAAGAGTGCTTGTATAATGATTTTTGAAAGTGTATACAAATATAACCATGTCTATTGATTTTGGTGTAATAGATTACAACTGATTATATTGGCCATATAACCTATTATACTGGCCATTTAACGGATCAAAACTCTTTTTTTATTTATTATATATCAGCAATGAAGCAGGATATACATAAGGTGGAAATTTAAGGTGGGTGACAAATGACCATTTGAGTTATAGAGAAATGTCACCAATCTAGACCTAATGCTCTTCCTGATGAGCTAAGCAGTATACATTACATACATTTGCCCTCCCCCCACCTCCCCAGTGGAAAAGTAAAGGTGCACATTTGTCACCACTCACCAGTTTGGACATCTGCAAAATGTACATACAATTCACTCTATAAGCTTATGTTTCAATCATTATGCATTTATTTCAATAATAATAATGCATTTATTGTTGCATTTTTATTGTAACATAAGCTTATGACTGCATTTCACATACAAGGCAAATGTCCCAGTGTCCCAGGTTCAAACTAAGCAGACAGACATAAATCTAGCACTCACCCTACTGAGCCTGGATACAGCTAGAGAGACACAGCCCTTGTACTCCTCTGGATTTTTCTTCACCAGGTTTTCTATCAAACTTGCAGCTGCAGTCACTACACCCTGAAATATAAATTAAATGTAAATTACAATCTGTAACATTGGCATACAATCAAGGAAAATGTGATATATTTCCACATTACTTTAGTGACTCACTTTAACTGTATTTAATATTAAATGTAGTTTCTTAAAGTGATAAGGGTTCGCAGCTGTCTTAAATTTTGGTAAAATATTTCTTTTTTTCACACCTTTTTTCTCTCGTTTGTTTGATTTTACATCACACAAATACAGTATAGGTCATATGGCGACTTTCCAGCTTTATTGGTGAAGGAAGACCTCAAGATTATTTGTAATATGGAAAATGAGAAAGAATAGCAAGATGTCAAATTGTCTGATTAATGTATATTTCTTCAGAATAAATTCTTGAAAGGCTATTGACAATGGATCTTGCTTCAAGTAGTAACTCTGTTGAATTATGCTAAAAGCCTAACTTTAAAGTAAGACTTTCTCGCTGAAGTGTATTTTTGTAGATCTAACTACTCTATCAAAGCACAGCTGACAGTACAAAAAGACTTGTTTTATTCAATGCTCAATGTATGAACATATATAACATGTATACAATTACCATATGCTGGTCATTGAGTAGGTGTATAATTCTAGATGTCCACTCTCCCATTGGTATAATATCAGGTGATGACCTCAACAAACGTAACAATGTCAGGGCAGCACTCTGCTTCACTGCATCTATTGTGTCTCTATAAAACAAATAACAGATTATACCATGTGACAGTAAGCTAGAGGGCATTCAATATGTGTAAAATCAAATTCCCTCATTAGAAAAGAAAAACAGAATGGTTAACATTTTTCCTTCCGTTCTATCTATTTTTAACAAAACTTCAATAGAAAAACATTACATTACATATTGCCAGGTGATTAAAATATACATGTATCTTTAAATAGATAAACAGAACACTTTACAGCACACAGGCAAGATGCTGTGATTTGATACTAAACACAGTGTGTAGTCCCTACCCACCCCCTATGTCCCTTCTACAATCCCAAAAATTATGAATAAAAATATCAACTCTGTGTGGGGATAGTATCAAACCCATGTTACACAGCCAAGCCAGATGTAATCTGAAACATTTTATCATGAATATTGACATAGACTATTCTCTTTCTTTTTATTAACCCTTAACATGTTGAATATTTTAAATGGACTTGTCCCACTTCCATTTTGGGACTGTCCATTATCAATTTTAGGGATATTAATTTGAATATTTAAAGTTTGTCAGCCAAAAGTATAGAGCCTGGTCAGACTGCACGGATGTGCAGGCTGGCCTGGCTCTATACTGGTGGCAAAGGCTTAACGCTTTTGGTTCAGTTTTGATATACTTACCCAGAGACTAGAAGTTTTGGTATATCAACACTAAGACCCTCTGCCATCTCTCTACTGCCAATGTTAGCCACACACTGTAGAGCCAGGGTAATGTGTACAGGGTTTCTACTAGCAAGGTCATTCCTTATAGCTTGTATAACCAACTTCATCAAATCATTAGTCGCTCCAATAAGCACAGATATAAACAAGTAACCCTATAAAAAGATAATCATTTTTGTGACATTAGCATGTAATTCTTACCCTGCTAAATATCTTAAATGGCTTGTCCATCTTTCAATCTGGAAAAAAATATCCAATCATTTTTAGGGAAAATTTCAAAAAATGTACTGACTGAATAGCAAACACTCAAGACCTTGTAAGTTGGCATGAATGTGCACGCTAATGAGTAATCTTCAGTCTGCACTGGTCCCATGGGTAAAGTCAGTCGCTAGCAGCCCAAGTGTTAAATAGGAAGTCCATTTAAGCTTGTTAAATAACATTCACAAGCACCAAATGATTTTTGAAGGCCTAATAATGAACAAAATAATACTGTACCATATAATTCTATCTCTGGATATCAACATGTCAGTTTCATTAAATCTTATTAGAATTCTGCTTATCAAACAAGGTTTTTTGCTTATTATATTTTCATCAAAATCTTATAAGATCATTGTGCAGAAATGATTCAGTTAAAATTGGTTATAAAGCAAGGCTTTATACCATCAATAGTTTCTCATACATTACATCAATTTTGCAAGAAAGCTTGCAAAATGAAAATATTAACTCACAAACTCATGAGTTTCTAAAACAAAACCTGAACTTTTTTTATTTCACATAATTAGAATAGTAGCCCTCTTATGTGTGAATGACAACACTTTCTGTTAGAGTGTATTATACAACACTTAAATTAGTAACTAAGTAATTAACAAGGAGTATTATAATCATCAATTAACAGCAGTTATATATAAATAGACTGCCACTTTACTGCTGTATTGTTTTGAAATAATGACCGTCAAGTAGCTGTTACCTCTTGACTCCATTACTAACAAGTACTTACAACTACTTTTAACCATTGTGCTTCTCCTACATACATACAGTCCAATGTTAATTCAAAAGATTTCACTACCAAATCTATTAAGTGGCCTGCATTATAGTCTAGTCTAATTGCACATATAACACTTGTTAATGTATGCACACTGGCCTAACTCTATAATGGTGATAAAAGGAAGTAAGAATCGCCAGTCGGATCATGAAAACTACTTAAATTTTTTTTTTCCAGTGTATTTATTGTAGCTATGGTCTCAAATTAAGCAACAATGTACTAGTATTCACGCTTTCCTGGCCATAAGGAAATTTACTTATTTGCTGTTCAGTGTATTAACTATCTATTGGAGACTATTATTAAAGCAGCTCCACTGAGGTAAAAAAAAGCCTAAGAACATAAACTTTGAGATTCTTGAATCACTTAAAATGGATAAATCTACCAAAGATTATTAGATAATATAAAAAATTTACTTAGAATTAAATTGAAATCAATTTTTGTGCAACTCTTTGCCTAGTGGTGCAACTCATCATTTTGGAGCCATCTTCCACAATGAAAATGATTATTCCGGAAAACTAGAGCGAGGCAATGATCTGGGAAAATGTGTAGAAAATTTATTGGTCTAGACCTACATGGTGCATAAATCTTGGTAAAATATTTCTAGTGCATTCACATAAAAAAATCTCAGCGGAGTACCTCTAAGTGGGCAGCAATACATAGTTAGGTCAGAATGCATATGAGCCGCGTCACGACAAAACCAACATAGTGCGTTTGTGACCAGTGTGGATCCAGACCAGCCTGCGCATCCGCGCAGTCTGATCAGGATACGCGCTGTTTGCTATCAGTTTCTCTACTTGTAAAAGGATTTGTAAGCGAACAGCATGGATCCTGATCAGACTGCACGGATGTGCAGACTGGTCTGGTTCCATGCTGGTCGCAAACGCACTATGTTGATTTTGTCGTGACACAGCTCATATATTCTAGTACATACATATGCCTGACTACATAGTTGACATAAACAAGATATTATTATCACTAGTATCAAGAACTTACAATCTGTTTTTCAGTGTATTTATTAGAGCTGAGCAAGTTAACTGCCTCCATGTGACCGAAGTCGATGTCGTGTCCGAGGAGAAATATAAACAGGAGCTTACACACATACTTCTTTTTCTGGTAGCCATCTAATGTCTTGTCTCCTGAACATCATATAAATAACAAATAATATTCAGTTCTGGTTATAAAACATAATACTTCCTACTGGTTATATAAACAATAAATAATTCTCTTTCTATAAATATGGTTGTTTCAAGTTTCAAGGAAAAAATACTTGTCAATTGTGATATTAAATTACAATAAGCAACTAAACAGTTATACCCTTGAGATTTTATTAATCAGCCTTTAGGATAATACCTTTTTTGAAAAGCATTGATCCAAGAACTCCAAGTTAAGAAGGAAAACTTTATATCATGGACTTCATTCTAATCTTTTTTTCTTTTAAAAACTATGTATATACATTAAATGTACAATTTTTAAAATACTGTTACATTACAACATTAGAACTCTAAATGTATACCATTAATGGTTATTATCTGACTTACTCAACATGACAACAGTTGATACCATATATAGTAACATGACACAATACAATATAAGATAAATATCAATTTAAATGGTAAACAACATTGATAAAACTCTCATCTTTTTCCCAGAAAAATTAAAGAATTAAATCATCAGCTAATCATCAATTTCTGTTTTTATTAACAAGACTAATTACTCTTCACCTAACACCTTCATTGATTGTTTTCTGGTAAAATGCTCAAAACAGCTGCATTAAAAAACAACTGTATTTTGGATCATACCATTCATTGTTATTTACATATCTGTACATTGTATACAGTAGTATAGAATTCACACTACTAACCTTTAAATTTGGATCTAATGTTTGCCAATTCTTTGTTTATTCTCTTTATCTCGGCTTCTTTACTTTTACCTGAAACAATAAAAATACCCTTCTTTACTTGATCCTGATATTTATGTTTGTTTGTAAGGGATCTTTTGTGAAGTTGTCAAACTTCAGTGTCCTTACAAAAGTTAAACTGACAAGAGATGGTGTTGAATAAAATACATTTTTATATATCAATTGTCAAAGTTTTTTAATACTGTTTTTTGTGTTATTTTACACTAGATTATATAAACTAGAAGCACAAGGAAGCTATGTCAAAATAGTTCTAATTTCCTTGGATTTTTGTCAAAAAGGGGAGGGGGCGTTTATATTAGAGGGGTGTTTTAGATTCAGTAATGGCGTCAGATATCTTCACATTGACCCTGTCAACAAGTCTCAAAGGCAGGGAAGAGGTCAATGCAAGGAAACTACATAAAAGTACCTAAGATAACTAATAATCAAATGAAGGCTTTCTCAGGATGAAATAAGAAAAAAAATATTTTAGCTTAAGTGACCCTTCAGTCTGTTAATCTCAAACCCCACAAAGAGAAAGAGGTCAATTCAAACTTACATTGAAACCAAATAAGTTGAATTATAACCAACTTAATTTTCTCCAGATTATTCAATAATAATTTCTAACTGAAAACAAACAGACTGTTACCATGGTAAACATTCCAATCACTGATTACTGTAAAACACTTATTATTCGCGAGAAATTTATTTTCGCTAATATTCGCGAGTTTTCTAAGACGCGAATTCATATTTCTCGCGAATATTTCACTTTGTCTATACACTTGTCCGTTAATGAACAATATCCGAAAATGCGTACACATGGATATATATCTGCGGGAAAGTATCGAAACCAGTTCTAGTTACATCATGTAGCTATTCAACTGTTGCAGCATACACATATAGTACAGATTACTAGTATGAAAAAAAAACAACAACAGAAAATACGATTTTCAGAATAACTGTTTCGGTATTTGGTACAAATAATTTAGCACCTGCGAGTTGTTTGTAACATATCTATTTATTGTATCTTATTGTATCGTACTACAGTTTAAGCCGGAGGGTAAACATAATCGTTTACTACAGGTTAGGCAAATTACAGTACTGTTTAATTGATTTTCGTCTGCTTGCCTTTGAATGGCTAATCAGGAATACATGACAAACACAGTGAACACATATCAAATAATTATCACACTTTATTGACACATTTTTAGACAGACGGTTTCACTTAACAAGAAGTAATCGCAAGCTATCAGAAAAATCGATACAGTTATAAATCCATTCGTCGCACAATAAACGACGCAAAGTTAGTGAACGGACAGGACAGAAAATATCCGAATGACATCTGGTTTCCGGTTTTACATTTTTCGGGAAGACGCGAATTCATGTTGACGCGAAATAAATATTTTGGACATTTTGCCTCAAATTCGCGAAATAAGGTTCTCGCGAAAAATAAGTGTTTTACAGTACTTTTGATTTTCTGCCACTTTTTCACTTAGAAACACATTTCAAAGACTTGTTCCAACACGCTACAATAATTTGTATCACATACTGATTTAATAATAAAGATATATACTAATTTGCTATTTCTTTGGGGAATAGTTCTAAGCTCTGCAAATCCACAAAAATTTATTGACTTTCAATCTAAAAGCACCATGTGGTAGAGAACTTTATTGCTTTTTGCTTCTTTATGACAACAAACTAATAAGTTCTAAGTATATAACAATTTTCCTCGAAAACAAAATTATTTGACAGATTCTGGGTTTTTTCCCTATTAATTAGAAAGTGTGTACAAGAGATAAGTACAAGTTATATATACATGTATTTCCTTTCAGGGCCTTTTCACTAGTTTTGGGGAAGGCGCCCTAGCCCTTTTTGTGGGGAAAAAATGCGAGGTTTTCATACTTTTGGGGAAAATATATTTTCCACAGGCAGTCGGTGTGTTGTTTTATAACCAGATATACTATAAATACTTATTTAAATTACACATTTGGGGGAAATATCATAATATATTTGCATATTTTCCTCCAAACACACTTAAGGAGCTTTCTGTCCAACATAAGTTAACATAGTAAAAGGGATTTTTTCCAGATCATTTTATTGCCAGTTTATATTTGCCCAAGAATACCTTGACTAATATTTCCTAATTATAGAAAATTTACGTAGGACATGACTGTGAGGATTCTTGATTTGATTCAGAAGGAACATTATTATCAGTTACCACTGTATCACTATTACTGGCACTGTTGTGCTAGGCTCACTATTTCCCAAGTGTAAAACATTTCCCACACTTGGCCATATATTGTGCTACTTGGACACACAAACTTGCAAGGGGATACATGTATTGGATACTCTTGCACTTACAGGAAGGTCAACAATTCGTTAAATTTTAGTAAACAATTACAAACATCACTCAATTGTATTTTCTTCTTGTTCTGTGACATTGTTTACATAAGCGACATTGTAAATTGGTCGCCATATTGTTGTAAAATATCACATGTGCACTAAAAAATATGACAGCAAAGTTTTCCCTGGCATGCTGTTTTTAAAAAGTTGCAAACTCAGACCGAGTCTGTGAGTTAACATCTATTGTATTAAATCAAGGTATCCCTCTAGTGGGTAATTGAATAATTAGCTTTCATCGGACAAAAACAACGATCTATTTTTAAACAAGAAAGTTTGTTTACAAGTTTTTTTCTTCAATTTAACATTTCTTTGAAAGGGGAAATCTTCGCAAGAAGGGGAATTTTAGACTGTTTTTTGGGGAAAAAAGGTAGTAAGTCGGTTTGGGGAAGTAGCCGGATACCGGCTACAGCAAAGAAGGGTAAAAAGGCCCTGCCTTTATCAAAATTTGTGTGAAAGACATTTGGGAAAAATCATAAAGGGGAGGAAAAACTTGACTTTAAATAATTTTTCTTGAGGGGAAATGCCCCTTGAAAAAAAAAGCCATGGTGGTTGTCAATTAAACATGACAATATCAATAAATGTAAGACATATAGTAAGTGACATTTACAATTCCATGAAATAGAATAAAGTGATGTTTAATTAGGTGCTGGTATTGGAGAAGATTTGAACTGATCAATGGTTTCTATGAGAGAAGTACAACCAGACAAAAACACTGATCAATACAAATCATCAGAATTGCCAAACTCTCTACTATTACCCAACCAATGATTTTCGGCTTTCTCCAACATAAGGAGTAAAATACACAGTGCTTATATACAGTATAAATCTTTTGTAATAGGAATATTTAATTTGCTGGGATTTTACACTATATTAAGCATAGACCACTGAGACTAAGGTGCATTTATAAAATGTCACTAACTGGAATTTATACTCATTTTTTGAAACACATTACCCACTAGGACTAGAGTTTATAAATTTTTGATTTACACTCATTTGTAACATTTTACCCCCTGTGATATATACTTATTTGTAACATTTCACACACATCATATTTATAAATACTCATTTCTAACATTTTACCTGGTGTCTATAAAATTGTTACCATTATTTAAGGCTTTAAACTTTAGCAACATTGATTGCTTGCAAAGACCACCATTGCGTAGGTTATTTCCAGGAAGCCTACTCTTACAATGGTTAAAATAATATGAGTCCTACCATTTATTAAGCCTAAAAAAATATACAATTGAATTAAAGGACTTAATGTCAGTCAGCACATCCGTGCAATTAAACTGGACTATACAGCTGGCTGTATAATTTATATTCATTTCAATACTTTTCAATTCTAAGTCCATTTAATCTTAACACTAACTCAGCCAAATAAACGTTAACCAATTAAAAATATAAACACAAATGACAATCATTATGTAAAACAACAAAATGTTATCTCTGAAACAACTGAGGATTCTATTTTCATCTAAATGCAAATTAGGCAGAGAAATATAAAACTCATAACAACATCAAGCTACAACCCCATCTCCACAACATACTGATTTTTCTATGCAGGTTTTTTTCTTTCTGATACAGTATTTATAACTTGATTTACAATTCTTATTTGAATTCAATTAATAGGAATTGAAAATTGTCCACATTTTAATTACTTGCTATTATAGAAAATATATTACTGTTTGCGTTTTTAATTACTAACATATTGGGAAAAATCCAGAGATGTTAACCCCAGAGCAGTATTGTATTGATTACATTTTAGAATATTCTAGAAATCTCATGCATTTTATATAAAAATATATACATGTACTATGATTACTTTCCTAAACAAAATCAGTATATTGATCTTGGGCTCTAACATAAACACAGGAACATGGTCCAATATTTGTAAACTACATGTATACAGAACATAAACAGCTAGAATGAAATTTATTTATAAATAAAAATGGAACTTCTAGAGATTGCATACTGGCCATGTCCTAACTACTTTTTAGAAACGGACCTTTATTACTTTCAGAGATTTAAAAATCACTAAATCATATACACTTAAGGGGGTCATTTGCCCTAGAGCATTCACCAAAGGACAGACTGAAATCAATGTAAAATGCTGCAAGTAAATGCCAACTATAACCAGGTCCTGTAAACTTTCAAAGTTTCATTATTTTTTAAACCATCCTGAAAGTCTATGTATACAAACTAAAATCAAGGAACCTTTAAACTTCTGAGTATTATTCGGCTATTAAAACTGCTCCAAGACACTACAAAAGCAATATCTAGACACGTTTATCATTCTTTCACTGGAACTATATTTTTTCACAGATCAGATAAAAATTTATAAGTCCTTCACCCCTTTACCAGGGAGAAAAGTCCGTAAATAATCAGAATATTTCTTAAATCTGCAGGGATAATCTTGTTTACTTTTAACTCAATAAACATCTTTAGAATGTGGGCAACAACACAAAATAGGATTTCAACAGCCAACTTGTCTGTCAAAGAAAATTTCAATATAAGTTAAAGCAGACTCACAAGACTTTTTACATAGAGCATTCATGGAAAATAATATAATAATTTGATATTTGTTAAAAAATTGCAGTAACTATTTTAATTACTAAATTATATTAAAGTAAATTTGTTCTTACAAGGAAGCTAAGGGAATTTTGATTTTATTCACTCATTTGAAATAAACATAGAAACAGTGTCTATTCTAGGAATTCAAAAATAGGGGTGATTTTCCCCCCTCTATTTCAAAAAAGGGGGCGATTTTCAAAATCAAGGGGTGCCAATATAAACTGCCAATTTTAAATCGTCTGCATTAAGTTTACAATGAGGCGTTCAACCGATGAAAAATTTAAAACGAAAATATTCATTTAAGGCAGCAGAAGTTGTCCTCCCTTAATTTATGAACGAAAACAAATTATTATAGAACTGTCGCGATTGATTATCAAGGGACTGACAATAAAAACAATCGACCTATCTTTTACGTCTAGATCGTAGCCAAGCTAGGAATTGTCTTATTTTTCTTGATTATTTACTACACTATAATGGCGCCCAACTGTCAGACCTAGCACACTAGTTCCGGTCGGTACGGAACATTCCGTTAATTTCCGTCAACTCACATAACCTGTACCATACGGTACTAAATTATTATAATTAGCTTACAGTTACCTCCCTTCAGTTTCCGGTGTAAATGTAAACAAAACAATCAAATAAAATGCGAGATGGAATTATGCTTCCGAGGGATCACTATGTTTCCAGAATTTTTTTACGATTTTATTAACTTTTTTTATAGATGCGCGATTTTCACGCACATGGTTTTGAATTGTGCGCGATCTGTGAAATATAAGCGTGAATCGCGCGATCGCGCGTCCTAGAATAGACACTGAGAAATTAAACACATATTAACTAGAACTCTGCCAGTGGGATGTGTTGCCTTGTGAACAGTATAGCTGTCACTTAGGCATCATTTTCTTCTTATATATAGGTTATTTATAAACACTGCTCTTACAATGTACATGTACCTTGAACTTTAGTGGCATTTGAAATGATTGTAAAATGATACATCAGGATTGATGTAGCTTTAATTGCTTTTATTGTGTAGGAGTATTGGCCCAGACAAAAATAAAGCATTATAATAAACAATAGGCAATAACTCTGAAATCATGAAGTACAGAGTACCGGTTCTTGTGCACTGCACCTATTCTTAATGAGATCTATCATCCTATGAAGTTACAAGTCCATAGCTTTCATAGATTAGGAGAAATGGCCAGAATAAAAATAAAGTATGAAAATTAACAAAGGGCAATAACTCAAAATTTAAGAAGCTCAGTGTAACGATTCTTGTGCACTGCACTTCAGGTTATTGAAAGAAGCATGCATACCAAGCTTGGAGTCAATCCCACATACAGTGACTGAGTTATGCTCTGGACAAGCTTAAGGGGACGATACCGCCGACAAAAGTAACCCCTATATGTCGCCTTTTCAAAGCGACACAAAAATTAAATGTAACGGTATTTGGTGACTCTGAAATTTAATTATATAATTTAGACCCTTACCCTCCTGAAAAGTGACTACATGTAGCTTTTGCCACCCGTATAATGCCAGGCCAGCCTGCACTTTTAATAAATGCGGTGAAGCTGGACAAGTTTAAGAAATTCAGCAGGTTAAGGAATAATTAATTGACATCAGTTATTTTTTCTGTTCTTTCAAAAAAAACCAAAAAACATCCAGTTATTTTATGATCAGGTTAAATGACAAAATGAACACTCATAGTTAATTTGTTCCATCCTCTCACAAATATTTCAGATGTGTAAATATGTAAACAGTATTTTCAATTTAAATATACATGGTGTGACATTTAATGTTATTCAATTCTAATCTATACTTGGTAAAACACCTTGGAAAAACTGACCTCCCCAAGGACATACTACATATATTCTTGTATAGCAATTTGTACCCATGAAGTATTTAACCAGAGACTGTCTAATGAAGTTTTCTGATCTAACATCACAACCTGAATACCATGTTTCAGTAATAATCAATGTCAATGCAAGACATATCACTTACTGTGACAGATGCTCCCCAACCTGAACCTGCACATTTGTCATTGTATTTCAATGCACATGTCAATAAATACATGTAAAGGTTGCATATACAAAAATGTAAAAACAATTGCTAGTGCCTATGACCTTAACTTAAACCCAGTGACCCTTAACTCCTTACAAAGTTAGACTAGAGGGACTTGATTATTATGTTACAACCAGATATAAAAGATCTGACGATAAATAAAGGCTGTATTAGCAAGAGCAGAAATTTCTTTTCAGCACCCATGACCTTGATACAAGTGACTCCTTACTTCACAAATAGGTAAAGGACCTACAGAGGAATGTTCCTTACAAATATGAAAGACACTGATCAATTAATAAAGGCTGTATTAGCAAAAATGTAAAAATCTATTTTAACTTATTAAAATTTGGAACAAGGGTGCCAATTTGTCACCAATTACAAATGTTCAGTCTTATAATAGTAAACATTTACAATAAAATCTCACAGTTCACAACTAAAAAGTTAATACCCAGATTTTCATTTCTTTATTTGAACTCGGACCTCTTCATGACCTGACCTTAGCAAAATGGACCTTAAGTTTTCAGTAAAAACGATGCCTGACAGTGTTGAGCATAGAGCCAAATAATGTAACAATCTCTCTATGTAATACCTATAATACCTATGTAGAAGTTTCACTATGACGTGTATTTTCCTATAGTGAGACACAATGTCTCATATTGGTAAAATAAGTGTCTATTTATAAGATTAAGGACAAAATTAAATGCTGCCTAAACTATCATTGGGGGTTTAAAGAAACAAGAGAATAATGCAGAATTTTCATATTTCAAAGAAGGACAATAATTCTGTCAAAATCCATATTAGAGTTATCGACTTTAAACAGTGACCTTACTTATGCTCTCAAAAAAAGTGTGAAAAGTTTCAAAATATTCCCTTCAGTAGGTTTAGAGATACCAACTTTCATGCAAAAACTAAGTGACTGAGTGTGTCCAATAGTTCTCCGTATGTTTCGCATAGTCAGACTAAAAAACTCAAGGTTTATATCAGGTTTTTTACTTATCATAATGAACATTCTGAGTTTCTTCCCCATGTAAACAAAAGGCTTATATAAATTTGCCTTTTTATTTTTTCTAACAAGAACACACTGTTATAAAAATTGCAAATTTCTTACAGCAGTATTAACCTCAGTACATGTACTTACAGTTTCTTATATCCGAGATGAAGACTGCCAAGCCTCTCATGCCATCTCCTTTTACTGCAGGCATCCTGGAATTTTATTCTTTAATCCTGAAAAAAATTACAAATTTATTTCAAATTCCTTTGATAAATGACATAGTTATTGAACAGACACGAAAATGTTACGGACGGACACACTTACAAAATGGTACTTATGTTACTTTTCCTTTCATGTTTTAAGCCATTTTAGTCACACAAGGCCTTAACTTTAACAAAAATCACAGAACTGGAAAACAACAACATCATTCACAACTAGACTTAGTTCTAATTATTCCGCGTAACCCTCCAGAAGCTCCTGAAAACAACCAATTTGAGATGATCAAACTATGCTTATTTGCACAAAATCAATCTATAAATGATAAAAAAAAATGCATTTGTTTAATCCTATTCTATAACTTTATTGTTTACCCAGGAATTTCTGGTTTCTGTACCCAAATACCCCATTACTCCCCCTCAGACTCTGAATTAGGAGTAGTCCATACAATCTATAATTATTGAAATAAAAAGCCAACGATATGCACAACTAGACTTGGTTTTAGTACTTATCTCTGCATGCCCAGGCCACTGATAATTTTAAAAGTGGACCCGTACAAGACCCACCTGTTTTGAAAAAAGTGGGTTCAGTATAAAAAATGTGGGTACCACTTTTCCAGAGAAATAAAATGATGAAAAAACACAAGAAAAGCACATTTTAAATCAAGATTTCAATAAATTCAAATGTTTTGATGCAAACAATCATACTTTCAATGCTCCTAGCTTCATTTTATGCTTTGAAAGCCTCAGCTGCTTTTGATATGACTGTCTGTTTTTGTTCTTTTGGCATTTTCTTACAATAGTACTCAATCAGAACTTTGTTGAGATCAGATAAAATAAAAATGAAAAATAGAAATTTGCTAATTCTACCAAAAGTAACAAAAAATTATTTTTTATTTGGATTAATGGGATTGAATAGATAATTTTCTTATTTTATTTTTTTTTCATTATAATGTATGTTCTAATTAGATTCTATTTTTTTTTCAAACAATAACAATGTAGTATTTATACGTTTAAAATGAAGACAGACATCAAGTTTTACGTAAATCATTGGTCATGTGACATGTCAGCTGACAGTTAATATTTTCGCCTGACCGCGGAGGAATATTAGGCCATGACGGCCGACTAAATTTTTGTTCATAAATACATCAGTCTGCCACACTTTGGTTTGCATTTACATCCGTGCATAATTTATATATATATTTGAGATTATTACAGGTTATTCCCTTTTGCAAAGTAAAGAACTAACTTACTGTTGTGTTTCTTAAAAAAATAGATAGTTTTAACTGGTTCTCCCTCATGATTTACAATATTATGACGTAACACGCAAGTGCTCGAATTTGTCAAGCGTTTTAAGTCAACGACCACCATATTTTGGTTATTTTACATACAGTATAGGTTGCGGGCCACCAATTTATTGCTGATTTTGTTCATTTCCCCATCGGCAAAAAGTGTGCGTTTTGGACGCACAGACCTTGAAAAATTTGTGTACTCTTTGTACTTTCTACGTTAAAAATGCACATTTGTCCGAAAGTTTTGTGGATTGACATACACAGATGAAGGGGAGGTGATCCCTATATGTTGCCACTAAACAGTTAGAATTGTTACAACTGGTATCATTTTTAGTTAGACAATATTTATGGGGGCTGGGGGGAGGAATGATGTTCCAGAGATGTGCTGTTTGCCAAGGGTTCAATGATCGTAACGTCCTGCTATTCCCAGGGATGTGGGGCAGGTTACAATTAGCTGATGATGATAACAGCTTTATAAGCACTTTAAAAGCATAAAATAAACAACACAACTCCAATAAATTTATCATTTTGAATATGGTTGACTGCAATTTACTTTGTGCTTGAAGACTCTTCACAAAATTACACCACTTTATTAAGATTATTTCGAATAAAAAGGGATGTAACAGTAATCGGGAGATGAAGTGACACGTAGTTTTAAAGAAATGTTTGTCATGTGTCATCTTCTTTAAAACCATGTTTAAAAATAAAATAATTATGAATATTATTAAACATGCTTAGTTGCAAGACAACAATCAAGTGCATAGTGTCATTGATTTCCTTTAATCAAAATACTTTTAGGCTTACCCTTTCAAAAAGTATAAATGTATCAAAGTAACGAAACTTCACAAATTCGGCAAAATTTTTAGTGGGAGGTGTATCATCCTTCACAAATGGCAGCCATTTGCAATTTGATTATGATGAAAACGAGGCTGCAATGTACACCCACTTTTATTTAATAAATTTTTATACAATTCTGAATAATATCAAAAATATGTTTATTAAAAATGAAAAATATCATATTCAACTTGAAGTGATTTTTATTACTTTGATTTATTGGTTATCAAAATTTAATTATTCACCGCAGAAATGCTGTGACGTCATCTCCAAGGTGATTCCAAATATTTCAAGATGGCCGACACTGTCAATTTTTCCAATTAACTTTTGTTTTACTGTATCCTTATATTTTGATTGGATAACAAAGAAGAAAAGTAGAATAAAACATAACAAGTAAGTAAGATGTATTTAATAGAACATCAGCAACATATTTCATTTCGGCATAAAGTATATATTTTGCATAAAAACAGCCTTTATCACAGTTAATTGAAATAAGCAGGTGCTTGCATGCACTTGTTTTTGATAATACTTTGATGATATTTTTGTTTCAAAATAATAGCTTATGACATGACTTTTAAAGAGATGACATTCAAACTGCATGTCAGCCTTCTCAGCAAATGATTTTCTACAATAAAGCTCTAGGTCCCCAGCCAGCAGGAATAGTGCCTGTAAAATGTCACTAACCCTTAGTCAGTACCCACTTGCCGTGTAGACAGTCAGCACGTCAAACCACTGAGAAATGTTAAAAAGTGAAGTAAAAGAAGACATATATTTTATACATGGCCTGCTAGTCATAATCACAATTGATTGTTAGGCAGTATGATGTAGATGTAGACATATATTAAATGAACAGTCGGAAATGTAAATTGTTGTTAAATGTAATATGAAATTAGGCGCTACCTATGGCGGGGAAAGCTCCTATGAATAATGCTTTTAGTATAACATGGTCACGTTATTTTTTAATGCGCTTATTTATCAAAAAGGATATGTTAAAGTAACTTTTTTATACGGGGAAGTCAAAGACCGGGCCCGCGAAGCGGGTCCGGGCTTTGGCTTGCCCGGCTTTAGACTACACGTGAATATTTAAAAGAAAATCAAATAAAAAATATATAGAATTCTATACCTATCAATGAAATTTTCAGTGTCAGTTCTAGTCGGGTGCCGCCATTTACAATGTATGTCAATGATAATAGGCGGGGTATTCCGATAACGGAACAAATCTCAACTTTTCGGATTAGTAATAATCGTCGAGTGTTCCGAGTGAAAACGGAAGCGGTGTATGTAATATCGAATGACACCTTTAAAACGGAAAGAATGAAAGGATTTTTTTAACGACTTCCCCGTTCATAGGCTTTGCCTAATTTCATATTATTTATAATCGTTACTATATTTTTTGTCAATGAAATGCATGTTTATTTTCTGATTTTGTACATCATTCTTTCACCGGAAGTGTTATTTAGCATTTGCTGCTAGCAATAGTCTGAATTATGTAGAAGCTCATTAAAAGCGCATCAATCTATATTTAGCTCAAGAGGATTTCAAAATGGCAGCACCCAGTTATCTAAGGATTTTTTCGCAGCTCATCGGATATAGGATATATATTTTTTTGAAATTTTCATTTACTTTTAATTTGTTTTTATTTGAATTGATACACGTCATACATGTTTTCTAAGAGCACTACAGCCCTACCGAAGCCCTCGGCCCTGCTCAGACTTTTTGCGTAAAAGCAGTCAAGTAATTTGTTGTGGTGATGATATGCTCAATATGAACTGGTTAAGTGTGAGCAATGAAACAATAATATGGGGTTGGCTGTTCCAGTGGAAGAATGAGAATTTAAAGTAGTCTGTCTTGGCTGGGATAAATCTATAGCTCAGCATGTGTGCATATTGGGAGGCTTTCCCTAATGGGGTAAAATATGGGCTCTATATCATTAGTTATTTTGTGAATCATGGAGAGCCTACAGACAATATGATATAGTCTGTGCCATTTAAGTGACTCTAGCATCTGGGTAACACCAGAATTTTTTTATCCAAAGTCAGATTAAACCCAACATGAAGATCGTAGGACAGTCTGATCAATTTATGGGGGACCAGACTTCAGATGCATATTCTACTTGTGGAGCCACATTGGTCCTTAAGAGGTGTCTTATTTTACAGTGTTAGATGTCAAGGGTTTGATTTGTCTTTTTAATTGTCATGCGATAAAAAATTGTAGACAATTGGAATTTTCAACCCATTTCTCTTCATACAATTCTTAATTCATAGTCTTGTTTATAAACAATACAAAATATGAAACTTAAATTGACAGGGACCTGTTGTGTTAAATGATATAGGTTACTGACTTGCAAGACATCCTTTTAGTTTTATGCTAGCTTATGAAGGTTTGTAATAATAATTTTATACATGAGCCTGTAAATAATGTTAGATTAGGGGCACCTGAGATCAAACCAGGATGTCAGTTTGTGACTTACAGTGTCGTTTTAACTTAAAACAGTAAAAATACAAGGTTGACAAAGTTGATCAAAGTCAGAAATAATGTTCCAAGGCTAACCCTCAAATTGATGATTTTTAGCTCGACTTTTCTATGAAAAGGGGAGCTATCCTACTCGCCCCGGCGTCGGCGTTGGCGTCACACCTTGGTTAAGTTTTTCGTACCACCCCACTTTATTTCAGAAGTATTACAAGTATGGCTTTGAAACTTACCATACTTGTTCACCATCATAACCTCCATCTACAGACAAGAGTACATAACTCTGTCAAGGTTTTTGACAGAATTATGGCCCTTTTTTGACTTAGAAAGTGTATTGAGCTTGGTTAAGTTTTTTGTACCACCTCACTTTATTTCAAAACCATTGGAGGTATTGCTTTGAAACTGACCATACTTGTTTACCATCACGACCTTCATCAACAGACAAGAGGACATAACTCTGTCAAGGTTTTTGACAGAATTATGCCCCTTTTTGACTTAGAAAATACATTGAATATGGGTAAAATCCACTTATTGCCTTAACCCTTTGAGATATTGCTTTGAAACTTTTAATGCTATTTCACATCATTACCCCCATCTGTACGCAAGAGAAGGTAACTCTGTCAAGGATTTGTTTTAAAAATTAAGGCCTTTTATCGACTTAGAATCTTGGTTAAGTTTTTAGTACCAGTCCACTTTTTGACTGAACTGTTTGAGATATTAATTTGAAAGTTGGAATACTTGTTTACAATCATGATTCCCAAACATGTCCAGGAGAAGGTAATTCTGTCAAAGATTTTATTTGAATTATGGCCCTTAACTGTCAATGTTTTGTATTATAGGCAAGCACTAAAAAACTTAAAAAATCTAAAAAAATTCATTCCTATCCACTTGTTCACTTTACCATACTATTAAATTTATTTAAGGCTCAACTCAGTTTTTTTTTCTTTCTTACCAGCCCTCTTTTGACTTAAACATTTCAAACTTTGCTGCAGTGTTCAAGGGTATCACACAATTCAGTAAAATAATTCTTCACTAAATATCTTAATGCTCATGGCCATTGTTCACTTTAAAAATACAGAGATTCTTGTATTGCCTTTTACTGCAAAAACTTTTTTTATTGGCAAGCAATAAAAAAGTTGAGCGCGCTGTCTTACGGACAGCTCTTGTTTCTTATACAGTAAGTCATGGCCAGTATTATTTAATGTTGTCTCACCACTGTCCCAGTCTTTTCAGGTCTCATTTCTAAGACTTCTCTTATTTGTTATATATATAACTGATCTCCCTGACTGTAAAACTCTAGAAAATTTGACTTTTTTTCCTCAGATGACACAGCTGTGTATCTCTCTTTCTCTCCATATGGCTTTTTACTCCTACCACTTACAACAATAGTACTGGTTACAGGCAAAGGAAGGTGTTAGTGCTGTGTGGCAGCTGTAAAAAGTTGCCCTATAAATCATTGTTCTTATATTTTTATGTTTCTTCAAGGATCACTGATTCCAGTACTTTTAGTGTACAGGATTTGAAGAGATATACATGTATTGCACTTTCCATTATCTCATCATCAACAGATTCTATAAAACCGAGTCTGCAATTTTCAATAGCTCTTAAAGGATGTGAACCCCTCTCCAGATTTTTATTACACTAGCTTGAGATGTGAGTCCAAAAATGGAATTTAATCCTTCAAAATGCCAATTAAGTTATCCAGATTACAAACGGTACATTTTAATACCAACACAGTATACAATTTACAATCAGTTTCTTCTGCAAAATATCTTTAATTGGTGTCACAGTCAATCATACATGAATTATTCATAAAATAATAATATATTGTAAAATAGTCACTACACTTCTTGCGGCAATAAATTAGAATTCACACGAAACACCTTAAAAGTATGGCTTACATTGCACTTGATTGTACAGTTCCAGTATCTGATCACCATACATCTCAATCCCTCGATTGAGTCCAATTACAGCATCATACATCCAGGAGATTGCCCATTATACTGCTATTCAATGAGACATCAGGCATTTCATCAATGCTTTATTCCTAATAGTGGAGGAGCTTGTAGAAGTATGATGCATAGATCAATGCAAAATTGTTTCAAAATTGTAAATGATGACTAAAAAACACTAACCAATTTAGTGTTTATTAAAACTGACAATTTACTACAATGATTAATTTCAGCTGATTTACCAATGTAAATGTGTTATGGTTCATTTGAATACCGCAATTCTATTACTTATTATTAGACAAAAAATAATTTCAAACTTAAAATATAATTAACTGCAAAACAAGTTGGTATTTTTCAGTTAAACTGAAGTAATATTTTTTAAACCTTGTGTTTTCACCTGGCTGTGATCAGTGTGCATAAATCATTATAATGCTGTGATGAAAAGCACCCGAGTGACCGTGTCTCGCTGAGGTATGTCTGTTCCCTGCATTATTAATTACAACTAATGGAGATAATTTGGTGAGGATTCACCGATGATATTCTTATTTCTATAGAAACTGTAAACAAAGCGCCCTTTTAGCTGATAATTATATATAAACTGTCGACAGTTGGTTAAATCTTCTGTCGGAAAGTAGCACAAGCTGAGGATTATTGACTATTGCTTCAATATTTGCTAATCATATTTGTTTAAAACATCATCGAGTTTACTTTAATGAAACAGAAAGTGGTCAATGAAATAATGATATATACCTGCAGATACTCGTTTTCTTTGTGTTAAGTGGGAATATGTGTAATAGTAGGCTTTTTATGTAAAATAGCAGCATTGGATATATTTGTTTTTCGTCTTTTCTTTAACATTAAGAAATTTGTGGAATAAATCAAATGTAATGAAAAGATTTTCTCAATCAACTTAAATCTAATATTGATAAAATCTTTTGCAAGACAGATCCCTTTTATTATTGAAATGATAGATGTATCTAAAAAAAATAATTGCAAATAATTGGATTTGTAAACACAGTTTGTAATTTAATTCAAATTACAAGTCTGAAAACATGGTTAATGCTGAATATGAGTATGTGTGGTATAAACTTTTAAATAAATTAAAGTTTTGAATATTGTGCATGCGGTGCATTTCAATGCTGCTAACTGAAATTAGGAATAATCATTTATAAATCTTATTGTTGATTTTAAAGAAACTGAGCACTTGGGGAATTTTGTGTTTAGATATTTGAATGCTTTATATTTTAAATTAATTCAAGAAGATTGGGTTACAAAAGTTAAGGATAATTATTCCATTGTGTCAAATTGCAGTTTATATGATGTTCATGTGTTACTACTAGAGATGTTTAAGTTAACTGCAGTACTAAAAGTGGGACTATAATATTATTTAAGCAGTTCAACATTCTGTTGGTTTTTTATGACAACAAAATATTTAGTTGTTTTCTCACAAGGAAAAAGCTATCTGTTAATGTGAAAGGATTAATTTATGAGCTTAGTTACCATTAAGTCTGTTTCTTGTATTTTTGTGTCATCTTTAAGTAATGTAACTGTAGACTTTAATGGTATTTAATTACTAGTGTTAGATATTAAAAGCTGCATGCCTCCAGATGAGCCAAACTATTTCAAGAAAATTAAACTTGAGAAAAATGTACTAAGATTATAAGAAAAGTAAAAAGATTCAAGTATTAATTCATGTGTTATTTAAATGACTGATTTTGCTGTATGTATCCCTGTATTTCTACTGTGTAACTAACATTATAGGACTATTTTTGCTTATTAATTTTGACTTACTTTGGTATTTTTCTATAACTAAGTGCCATTTGCAATCTGTAAATTATTTTTTTTGTTCACTTAACAATATTTTACATTTAAATACATTTTCAAAATCTTCATGAAATTTACCCTGAATGTCAAGGCATGCTGCTTTAACTACTTCTGAATGTCACAGTGTTAGTTTATCTCACCAGTAATACCCACTGCTGTAGATATGGTCTAAATCTTCAGTTAAGAGTAAATTGATGTTAAATCGAAAAATTGATCTTTGACTCCCAACTGATCTTTCAATAGCTTAAATCGGAAATGTGTTTAATAAGTGAAACTCTGCATTACGGATCAGCGACAAAGTATGAAAACAGTTAGATTGCATTGCCGATCAGTGACAGAATATGAAAACCATTAGTTTAAGTTCATTTTGATGTTACATCCCAAGTATTTATATTGATTTTAGGTATGAATAAAAAAACAAGCAATATCTCCCAAGTCACCTACATAATTGTTGTAATTTGAAAAAAAAGCTCATTTATATGATATAAATAAAAGTAATTTGTAACATTTTTATAAGACCTAGACATATATTTGGTTCTTAAATTTTGAGAATAAAAAACAAATTCCACAGCCTTGGTAATCAACTGTCATAAATGTTGGGATGATACCGAAATTGAAATGTGCATGATTGTTATTAAACCTTCTTACTGAGGATTGATTGCATGACTATTGTAACATAATGACATTAAAGTGGAAAGTAAAACAGATGACATTTAATTGATAATTAATTACGGTATTTATTATTAATTATACTGGTATGAAATAATTAGTTGATGATATATATCAAACCCTGATATATCTGGAAAACATAATTTTTCTTAAGTGCATGACAATTTACAACACTTCCTTGCATTTAAATCATGTCATGTATTGTTATGAATGTTTCATGGTAAAACCACTCAGAACATTATGAAATAGTAAATTATAGCACTACCCTAGGGAAACATTAAAATAGTGTTCATTTTTATTATGGAAGATGGCTTGTATTTTCCTGTACCCTCCATGAACAAGCTTAATCAGTGCCTGCAACATTTTAAGTTTTGCCATTTTGGGCATTCTTTAGGGATTCCTTTTTTCCTCTATTTTAATGTAAAAAAACTGCATATAAAATAAACATTTATATAATTATGTTTTACATAAAATTTTATGTGTTGACACACCCACTTAGCTATGTATTAATGATGATGAAAATTGATTTATTAAGCCATGCTTTTCATGAGAAGTGAGATTGTTAAGGTAAAACATATGGTAATTAAAGTATAACAAAGTAGATAAGTTAGTGAAAGTTCTTCACCTTTTGTTATTTTTCGTGTTTGATTGATATAAATAGTTCAATCTTTTATTCAAGTTAGGCAATTTCAGAAAGAATTTCCCAGATTTAAATGAATATCTGCAATAAAAGTATTTCACCTAAAGATGTATATCTTTAATATATGTAATAAAAGAGCTGAAACATTAATCTTGTCAACTTGCTGTTTTCCTATTGTATCATTATAGTTAGTTACATATATTTCTGGTCAGTATAAATGATAGAGCAGGCTTATATAATCACACCTGTGCAAGGTGAGCATTTTACAGCACCCCTAAATGATGTCTTAACAAATAATTGATAATTCTACAAAATCATTAAAATTTTCCTTTCAGAATAATAAAAATACATCAATCAGCAAATATGTAAAATATAAATATGGAAATATTGGAATTGACCAATAAGAAAAGGTGTTTCAAACATGTAGTATTAAAAAAATAAGTTTTATAGCATGTAATATGGTACATGTACAGTAAAAATGGCCATGTAAGATTATATTACCACAGCTGTTAGACAAGGGAAATATCTGCAATGTCTGAGCAATCGTATTAAAGTCATTGTTACAAATTAATGAAACTGCAAAATTTCTCCTTTCTTCAGTTAAGGTAAATAAATTCACAAATTTGCAGCAGCCATCTCTATAGGTCACATGAACATCACAATTTTTCAATAAAATTCAATGCTCACACACAATCATGCATTGTTATAGACTACATAATTATATTGAGTGACAAAGTTGTAAATAACGACTATGACTGGATGTTGTACCTTAAACACCTAGATTATAGGCGGTATCCAGTCATTGACAGTTGCTGTGAAGTTAACAACTCCCTATCTATAGCAGTCAACACCTTAGATTAAAGGTTTCATGACATTATTGATTAAGTATTAAATATATACAAGCTATACTCTAAACCAAGCTAATGGATCATATATCTCACCATATATACGTTTTGCGACTCTCAGAAATATATTGTATTTTTCTTTTTATTATTTATTTGTTCGAAATAATGCTTCTATAGGATTTGTAAGGTGTATAATGGTTATTAAAAGTAGTGCTTATTTAAAAAGCCGATGATGATGGAATTTATACCAGAATTTAGTAAAGGAGAACAAGATGAATAAAAACACTACATAATGAGATAGAAAAGGATACAGATATATAATAATTTCTGTGAAGATGTTAAGTTAGAGATCATTCTTCAATGAAACAAGGAATAATATTTGAATAACATGTTAAAACGTTGGAAGGGGAAAAAATGTGTGCATTTGAAATACAATATGTATAAAGACGTCTAAGAGAAAGAAAAATTTTACACATAAAATATCTATACTTATGGAAAATATTAAAGTGGTTTAAGTGATAAGTGTAATTAGTGTTGATTGGACTAACTATGGAGTCTATGACTGTGTATAGGATACTAGAAGATAGAAAACATGTTCGTTTTCAGTCCCCAACTAACCAACGTGATGTCTCAAATGAGAAATGCAAGCAAGGTATTCCTTCTTATTGGTTTTAACTCTTTAATAGGTGCCTTTTCCACCTGTATAGTCGGCTATTGATAGCTGCCTTTGCCAGAAGTATAGGGTCAGCTATTAAAAGCTGCCTTTGCCACAAGTATAGTGTCAGCTATTAATAGCTGCTTTTTCACCTATATAGGGTCAGCTATTAAAAGCTGCCTTTGCCACAAGTATAGTGTCAGCTATTAATAGCTGCTTTTTCACCTATATAGGGTCAGCTATTAATAGCTTCCTTTGCGACAAATGCCATACTAATGGTTAATTTTAATATCTTCATATCGAAACACCTTAAACTGCTTGTGTCCATTGTTTAAGTTTGAAGAGTAATTAATGTTTAAATAAAAATATCTTATTATCTATTATAATTGCATATTAGTTGCACATGATGTATTGTTATGTAAAAAAACAACAAATATTTGATTATAAGGATAGATATTTTTTTAACATTTCAGAACAGAACACCTTTGATATTTATATTACAGTAGTAATATGATTAATATTATTTTATGTTATGAGTAAACTTGAATGTGCAATCCACACCTGTTTTTAAAAACATTTGAATAAATAATGTAAACGTCCCACATTTTGCTTTCCATCTCAATCCTGAGCCTAACCAGCAATTTTGGTCTTACATTATGATATATGTGCATACAACCCACTTGTATTTAATAGAAAATTGAGTAAATAAATCTGATGTTTACTTTGGATTGCTTTTTGTATATCTAATTCCCATCTATCAAAAATTTATACAAATAATGAAATTTGTGAACTGAACTGAAATGTGTGTTTGTGTCATTTAAGCCTTCTTTAAAGATTTTTCTTTTTGACAGTCTATGTTCTGTGTTAGATTTAAAGCAGCATGCCTCCAGATTCATGCTAATTTTCATGATAATTTTAAAAATGTATTAAAAATTGAAGTATTGTGAAGTGAGCCAAGAAAATAATTTACACATTGCAAGGAACACTTGCAACCCACTTAAATGACCAAAAACAGGTCAAAATAAGCAAAAATAGCCCTTAATACTGTAAGCCCTTACTGCGTTAGTAATACAGTAAAAATATAATAATGGATACTGAAAAATAAGTTCTTATTCCCACTATTCATGCAAACTATTACTCGAATCTTTAATCTTTTTACTTTTCTTAAAATCTTAGTACATTTTTTTCGAGTTTAATTTTCTTGAAAATTTTTGGATCATCTGGAGGCATGCAGCTTTAAGTGTTTTTATACCGGTATTTCAATTAATGCAACAAATTAACATTTACTTCAGACTTAAGCAGGTGCTACCTTTTGGACATGATTAGTTTTGTTCACTTCTATTTAATTACCCTTCATCAATATGCTCAATGAAACCAAACCTGCAACATTTTCAAATTTGTTGTATTATATAGTAACCTTATTCCAATTTTAAGTATTTTGTTATGTGAATATTGGAATTTAACAAGTTTATGAAATGATAAAGATATATTTACATAATGAATGTACACATACATGTTTAAGAGTTTATTACTTTGTAGGATAAGTTCATAACTGAGTTTTGAAAGAAAATGGTAACAGTTGCATATCCTGTTTCAATTTAATGGAAAATAAATTATGGATATTACAATGGTTAAAATATCCTCTACTGTTACATAATAATGCAGAGATAAAAAAGAGTCCAGAAATTTGAATGGTTTAATGTACACTCTGCTCTTAATATGGCGTTATTTATTTTTTATGGCAGGTCAATTATTTTCTAGTTGAGCACAAAATATTTTCTATAAGTTGTTAAGAATTTAAATGAAGAGGTTTGTATGTGATATACATGTATATCCTCAGTAATATTTTGAAAAATTTTGATTAATGTCCAAAAATGAGTAAAATATAAGAGGAATTAGAAGAAATTCTTATGAAACAGGGACTAAATTAATCAATTGTTCTTATTGCTCAGTTCAGTGTCTTACAGCCTGTACAGACAGTTGAAATTTTCAAGAATTTTCTATATATATATCATACAGACAATTTAAGAAGTGGTTCAGATAAAAACAGGCACATAAGTTCAGAGATGGAACATTCCACTTGTCCGCTTGTAATTACCAGTAAAATTTAAGAGAATTTGATGCAGGATGAGTAGAAAAAACGTTGCCTGCACATTGGATTAGAAGCTACTCGTCCAAATGAGTGACTCTAAAAATATTTTGCAATGCCTGCATAAATCAAAATTAGATTGTGCCAACCCTGTAATATCATTTTCTTCATTTACAGGTCAAAACATGTCGACTGTGCGGTGGGCAGAGAGTCTTAAGGGAAGGAAACTTGTGACGACCACGCAACAAATAAATCTAAAGAATCAGACACATGGTGGCACAGGTGGGCTAGTCAGCTATGAGGACCTTCTGATTGCCCAGTACCTTGATGAACTGAGAAATTCGAAGAAAACCAAACAGACAAGAGAAGAGTAAGTGTGTCATCTACTTCAAATACTGAATAAATTGTTAATATACATTGTAGTCTTTAATCAGATGTAGCAAATGTTATCTAATTTTGGCATCGCTGTGTTTTCTTTTTTGCAAAGGTATAAAAAATTTTTTTTAATTTTTATTCATCAATTTTGTTTGAATAGATCAGACTTGGAAAAAACATGAGAAATAACATTATGAATGTTTACAATATATCATAAAAGCTTTGAATATTTTATACTTGTTTGCAAGATATTACTGGACTCTAGCTTCTTACTTTGACCACTAACTGTTAAAAACCTGTTACGGCTTTTATGGTCTTTTTGTTTCCAACAGTAACAAATTATATATACTTTAGACGGAAAAAGTATATAGTAAGCAATTTTTTTCTTGTTGGTAATATATTGCCTTTTAGTAATTATGCATAGTGCCATTGCAATAAAATGCTCAGATTTATTTTTGTAACATTATATAACATTTCTCTCTTATTCCGAGATAATGATCTTTGGTCTTAAATTACATTTACCATACTGTAATTAACATTTACTGTTATCAGAAAGAAAGAGCATGCTTTGGAAGTGAAAAAAAAACATTTTTATTCTTCTCCATTTCCACAGTTTATTTATAATGCATTACTTATTTTTCTGATGTATTGAATTGTAGATGTCATTTGATAGATGTCATGTTAAAACAGGTTATAAATCAGATTGTGCAAGTTATAAACAAAAGTAAACAAAGATAAATTTGAATTATGAGTCACCAAGGAAAAACATTAGAAATAATTTAGTAGAAATATTCTCTCATAATATTGATGTATGGTAATATTTTATGAAGCAAACTAAATATTATGTACATGTAGTGCTATATGTTATATAGATATAGTTCTGAATCATTTGAATGAGGCTGTCAGGAAAGACAGTTATTTGTCATTCAGGTCTTTTTAATATTGGAAATAAGATTATTACACATGCAAGGAAAGAAAATTATTAGTTTTAAAATTAGAAATTGATCAGACAAACAGTAACAGGCATTATAATTGAGTGTGTAGTGTTATAAAAATGAAAAAAGGTGTCCTTTAGACTCCATTGAAAGGGAAGTCATTCAGTCTACCACTTTTACAATATTTTGTATCACAAGTAATGTATATTATTATATTATTATCATAATGCCTTAAGTGGTATTGCACTCACCCACTAAGGTCATTAGGAAGAGCATGGGATAAATAAGTAATCAAGGGATGGCTGGTTAAATCCAAGGGCAAGGTTAAGTTTTCTGTCACAATTGATCTTGTACATTGAGTATAATGACCACCTAAGTATGACCAAATATCTGTTTAATTTGGTGTAAAATCAGAACAACAATCAATTAAGTGATATTAAATTACCAATTTTTAGCTCGACTATTCGAAGAATATGAGAGCTATTGTAGTCGCCCCGGCGTCGGCGTCGGCGTCCGCGTCGGCGTCTGCGTTGGTTAAAGTTTTTTGTAAAGTCAAATATCTCAATTATTACTTGAGATATTCAATTGAAACTTACAATACTTATTTATAGTAACAAGGTACATCAGATTGACAAGTTGGATAACTCTGCCTACAATATTGACAGAATTATGCCCCTTTTTAACTTAGAAATTTTGGTTAAAGTTTTTTGTAAAGTCAAATATCTCAATTATTGCTTGAGATATTCAATTGAAACTTACAATACTTATTTATAGTAACAAGGTACATCAGATTGACAAGTTGGATAACTCTGCCTACAATATTGACAGAATAATACCCCTTTTTAAACTTAGAAATTTTGGTTAAAGTTTTTTGTAAAGTCAAATATCTCAATTATTGCTTGAGATATTCAATTGAAACTTACAATACTTTTTATAGTAACAAGGTACATCAGATTGACAAGTTGGATAACTCTGCCTACCATATTGACAGAATTATGCCCCCTTTGGAACTTAGAAATTTTGGTTAAAGTTTTTTTGTAAAGTCAAATATCTCAATTATTGCTTGAGATATTCAATTGAAATTTAAAATACTTATTTATAGTAACAATGTACATCAGTTTGCAAAATTGCATAACTCTGTCTGCAATATTTGCAGAATTATTTGCCCCTTTGAAACTTAGAAATTTTGGTTAAAGGTTAACGGTCTTCAAAGATATTTACTTGAAACTTTACACATGCACTTAGGGTCATAATTGGAGGGTCATAATTGTATGTCACTGACCAAGTTCCATAACTCTATCTTGCATTAAGGCTGATTCATATCCCCTTTTCTACTTAGTCTCTTGGTTAATGTTTACATGCAAGTTTTACATATCTCAATAACTATTAAAGATATTTATCTAAAACTTATGCAACTAACACATATGCATTTAGGGTCATAATTGTAGGTCACTGACAAAGATCCATAATTCAATCTTGCATTTAGGCTGACTTTTCTCCCCTTTTTCAACTTAGAAATTCATGGTAAAGTTTTGCTTGTAAGCTGTTATTTCAATAACTACTGAAGGGTTTGTGCCATTTTTGGGACAATTTTATGCATTCATAATAATAAAGCAGTGATTTACTTGATAAAACATCTTAATAATAATAACAAGCCTTTGTACCTTTTCTGTCAAATTTATATATTCATAGTTAATTAGTATTATTTACTCAATAAAAAAAAACTTGTGACATTACCTTCCGAATTGTCAAGCCAATTCTGTATAATTAGACCCTCTGTAAGGCCTATAACATGAATTTATAAAAAAAAATTAGCCCTTTTGTGAACTTAAAAAATTTAACAATATCAAGGCTCTTTTACTATCAAGCACTTAGAATAGTCGAGCATGCTGTCCTACAGACAGCTCTTGTTTTCAATATTTTAAGTTTTTTTCAAATCTACCTTCACTATACACAAGTCATGTTATGTATGTGTCCGTTTTTTTTTCAGGAGTCCAAAACCTTCACCCTACACACAGAAACTTCCTCATTCTGACTACACATATAAATACCGCACAAAACGGCCAGTGTCTGCCTCTAACATAAGTAACTCTGGAAAACCAAAAATTGACGCAAAGTTCATTGCTGATCCAAGTCTATGGGATCCTGCCACCCCCAGAAACAACAACGATGAAGGTCCAGAAATGTACCAAGTTATTGTGACTGAGAAAAGTTTGAAAGCCCGACAACGACCAGCAAGTGCTCCTGTGAAAAGAAATAAGTAAGTTTAAAGTGTTGTCTGACATAGCTAAACATTTACCTGAAGTTTTTATCAGTGTTTTCTCATCCATTGGGATCATTGCTTCCAAAATTTAAAAGTATTGAAGATTGAAAACTGTTTAAGAAAGAGTGTTTAAGATTAAATACTACTTAAGCAAAGTGTTGACTATTGAATACTGCTTTTATTCAGTTCTAGGTGGCTTCAGAGATGTAGCATCTTTCATTATTTCTTATCAACAGACTCTGTCAAACAGTCTACAATTTCTCAGATTAAACTTTTTGCTATGAATCAATCTCCTTTTTCCAGAAATTGATTAATATTACATTGTTATGGTTATATATATTTTTAGTTTCTCTTGCTTGTTCTATATATGACTAGCATTTTGAGAAAAGAGTGTATGGAACAGTTAAAAAATTTTTTTTAAATGAGCTGTGGATTGCCGTTGTAGGTGTTATTCAATGCACATCTACCGAGTTGCTTGTCCTGAAGTTTATAATAATGTACATTGTTTTATATGAATTTTAGGTTAAACCGTCCAACCAGTGCTGCATCTACTTTGTCATATTACAGCAGAGCTCGACCTTTCTCTGGCAAGTCAGCCACATACTATGGAGGTAATAATCTGACTTTGAAATTTACTTAACCCATAATCAGCTTAATATTTTACTCATGCAACCAGTGCACACAATGACCAGCTGGCACATGCTGTCTTATCGTGGTCTGCACTGTTTGCCATTTAGTCAGTACAAGTATTTTTTAGAAAAATCCCAAAAATGATGATTGGTTTTTGCCAGATTGAAAAACAGACAAATTAATTTAAGACATCAATTTAGTGTTAATATTAGACTCTAAATCAGAAGTTTTAATTTTTTTTACTTTGCCTTATATTTTCTTAGCTGGCCATAGTTTTCTTAGCTGGCCATATGTTTTCTTAGCTGATGCTTGTGTTTGGGATTTTAAAAGAATGGATCTACAAGAGCATGACTGGGCAAACATTCATTCTTTTTCCATTGTGCCATTTTTCCACTGTTTCATATTCCAATTGTTGAGGTGCTATGTTGTTTACATCCTGCAGCATAAACATAGACTTTTTTAATGAACAGCTTATTTGCAAACTCTGGCCTGTACAATGATGTGAGATAAAGTAAAACTTAAAAAGTATTCAAATTATTGTATATTGCTAAAATATGTACATTACACAGCATTTTTAAATATTTATTTTCAGGACGAAAGATCAAATCACAATATAAGAAACAACCACATACGATACGTGTTACAGCATTTAGGAACGGAACACGAGAACCTTTCATCAGACTGGCAGCACCAAGCATTAAAATAGTAATAATTTTATATTTTAACTAAAATCGTGTCGTCAAATAAAGCTGTTTTATGTTCTGACAATGTATATTATTATCCTTATTTGTTTTTGTGTTTCCTTGACATAATGTGACACAACTATTTTCTTGAGGTTTTTTAGTATAGGGGTAAAGTAGCTGAGTGGTAAATATTGGGCTAGTTATTTAAGAATTTCTGTGTGGGTTCAACTCAAACCCCATCATTAGCAAGCCGTTGTTTCCTTGATCAAGTGGCTTCACACTCATTGCTATAAGCTTGTTCCTTCCTACACAAACTAGAAATTAATTATCATTATATAATCTTTGTATAAGTTAAATGTGTCATTTATCTTGGTCTTCACTGTTTTGCTATTCAGTCAGTAGTTATTTTGAAATTTTCTATAAAAAATGAAAGGTTATGTCTAGATTGATTGATACATTTAAGATTTTTAGCTTTGTAAGTTTTAATTACCATTATTGTATCCATACAGCTGTTAGAGTTTTGTACGGACAAATTAAACCTCCCATTTGCTGCCCGACGTGTGTTCCTGGAAGATGGGATAGAGGTTTTTACTGAGAAAGATATCCCTGTGGATTCAGAGGTGTATATATCTACTGGAGAGAATTATAAAGATCCTTACGCAACCACTAAAAGTAAGTACACTAGTTAGTGTAATCCAAAATTCTCCTACATTTTCACAACTTGAGAATGCCCAAATATGGTATTACTTATTAAATGAAATGAGCTTTTTAACTAGTATTTGATCATGCGTGGCCTTGCATATGATATTTTTATGCACAGTTTTACTGATGTTTACACATCGATGGGCTGAAATAGCTGTGTCATTAATATTTTTTACTCACAGATGGCCTTGCATATGATATTTTTACATATTTAAAAAATGTTTCAGCTGATTTTTTTTCAAAATTAATGGCCTATTGGCCTAAATGATATTAAATGATTATTGAATAATTATATTATATTCACTATCTTTCAGGAAATATAATATTGAATAATGGTGCTAAATGGACCCTTACTGGAGTAATGTTACCAGAAGAGGGCAAGAAAAAAGTGTCTAAACCACGACTGTCTAAGAGAATGAAGTAAGTTAGTTAAGAACACCTCATGCAATGATTGATTATAATATCCACCATTTGACATAGTCTGGTCTCCATATATTTTACTGTTTAAACATGTTCATGTTTGTAATTGATATTGATATGTATAAACTTAATTAAGACAACCTCTAAATACATGTATATATCATATTAAGAGAAAATTGTCAAAGCTGGTACTGGTAGAAGAAAAACTGTTTATGAAAAGTGGCGGCGCAGCCGAGTGGTTAAAGCAACAGACAAATATTTTAAGGATTGCTGACCGCATGGGTTCAACCCCCCGGTCAAGTGCAAGCTTTTGTTTCTGTGAGCAAAACTTTAAACTCATTGCTTAGTACTTGTTGGTTCCAGGAACGGATTCGAAAGTGTTTTAATAAGCTTATAGCTTCCAACACAGTCAAACTAAAATAAATTGGTATAAACTAAAAGTAAAGGAAAACTGTCATGAGAATAAGAAAAACTGTCACTAACAATAGTTCTTAACAGTATTTAGATTAGGTTGTTTTGTTGTTTTTTTTCATTTATAAACAAAATGAGATTGCAGTTCGGCGACAATTGTATGATGCTATTTATAGAACTCTTTTCATTTCAAAGTATTTGTTATAAACAATGATATAAATGATGTATATTTTGTAATGTAGGAAGCTAGCGGAGGTGAAGCGTGTACGTATTATTGTATACAGAAATGGTAAATGTACAGAACCTGTTGAAGTTGTTGCTGATTTGTCTAATATAGAAGAGGTATATTATTTGGGTCACTTATTTCTGAAGTTCAATAACCTTAAAAATAAGATCTCGCAACATTTACATTAATTACACTCAAGTTGCCTCCAGGACTAACCAGTACTGGTGTCACGTGCTGAAAAAAATTTTGATCCAAGCAAGGCTTGAACTTCAGTTCCTTTGGTTAACCCATTACTTCATATACACGCCTTTTAACGCCTTTTTCACCCCCCCCCCTTTTTGTTGTCTCAAATGATGAAAAAATGCCTTATTTAGGCCCCCAACACTTGTTTTTGTTTGAGAAATGTTGTTAAAAAAAGTGACCTCTTTTTCGGCGCGGCCCCCCAACCAAAAGATACATCAGGGGGTTGCCAGAAGGGGGATGTGCCCCCTTCTGTTTGGGGGGGGGTTGAAGGGGGGCAGAGTCCCCCTCATCGCCAAGAAAATTTTGGACTTGTGAGAGGCTGTAAATGACCCCAGATTGATCATAAGGTAACGTGTAACCAACGCTGAAAAGCATTTGACTCTATCTCAATCCATTGAGTAGTTGCAGCACTTTGAAATCAATTTTGATGGAAAAAATCAACGCAAAATAGTGATTTTTGGCAATTTTGAGATGTCCCCTCGTTGCCATGGTAACAGAAAATTTAAGCCTGAGCATGTTGTTGCAAGGGCATTGGTCCAGTCAACATTTGTGCCAAGTTTGATTAGTGTTGAAGCAGTTTTTATAGTATTATAGCAATTTGAACTTGTAACGGGAGACTTTTCAATGAAAACAGCCATTTTTCACAAAATGCTCATGAAGTAATGGGTTAAGAGGATGTTACCTCTATTACACAGCTATTTAGCCACCAAAAGGATTTGAGGTTTTCTCAGCCATTTGTCTGTTTCTTTGATTTCTCAGTATTATATTAATTTGACAAACCATAGTCTAGAATGCACACATTGTTTGACAGATAGCATGTCTACTAGACTGCAGTTACATTTTTGGATTGATTCGGGGCAAGAATTACAGACTAGACCAACCTAATGTATGAAATATAAAAAAAATCACACTAATTTGGCATTAAGAAATTTTCAACCTGTGACTGAAGATGTTAGTTTTATTTTATTTTTTAATAGATAAATATGAAGGAGTTTTAAAGACAGTCTTATACATTGAACAATTTCAGTTTCTAGTGGCATGCACAGCTAAACTTGATCTACGGAGTCATGCAAGGATTTTATATGATTGGGAAGGAAATGAAATCACATCACTTGCAGAAAGTAAGTGTTTTCTCTCTTTCTTGTGATACGATTATCTTCTTTAATTAGAGTTAATACACTAGTGATTTATAAACTTTAAACAAAATCTGCATTTAATAAGAACAGTTTTGTATAAACTTACAAACTACTAGTTCTGCCCATGTGAGGCTATACAACAAGTCTGTAAATTTGTATGAACATGTAGTGTTAAGCAGTATCTTAATCATGAAATAAAAGTCTTACAAATGAAGTGAAAGAACTGATTTTAAGAATGCTATTATCAATGGTTATATGAAAAATTATAGTGTTAATGTAGGTTTTATAAAAAAATGATTCTATTGATTGTCAACTTTGTTAATATTATTGAAATTTCTAACACAAAAGTCTACTAGGTTCTTGAAAAGATAGCAAGGATATTTTTAAAACAACCTTGAAACATAAGCACTGTATGTGAAGATTTAATTCCCCAGACTAGTTACAACTTTAGTCTGTTGCAAGGGCACTTTATTATAAACAACTATATAAAAATAGCATGGACATAAGCTTCACAATAATTTGTTTATAATTATATAAGATGCTGCTGAATAAAGATACTGAATACTAATTTGTCCATTATTTTCAGCACCAATTTTAGATGAATGTTTGCAGCCAGGGGGTACCTATGTTCTAGGACCTGTATGGGTGTCAACCAGTGAGGGTTTCAGCCCATCAGGTACCAGAGATTTCTTGATCACAATTAAAGAGGTCCTCAGAAGTCGCATCAAAGAGGCAAAAACCTTCAGGAAAGAGGTATGATGTCTGCTTAAATAAAATGTACTTTTCTTGATGTAATGAAACTATTGTATAGTCATCTTAAATGTTTGAAATATATCTTGGGGTCTTCTGTAAAAAAAAAAAAATAGCGGAATGGGAGAAGTACTGATTTCTACAAAATTTATACAATTATGCATCTAGTTACTAAATAACAATCCAAAAATGCTTTTGAAATTTTGGTATTAAACATACGTGATGGATGCTATTCTGTGGTGGTTTTTTTTTGGTAATATTTATGAAAATGAGTAAAAGCTTTTACTACAGTATGTTGAAACCCAAATTGCAAAGCCTTTTCCACCAATCTGTGTATTTTGTCTAGGCTCTGTACTGTTGACTGAGTTGATCAATCAACTTTGACTATTAAACTTCAAAATTTTTAATCTTGATTGCCTTAGAATTGATACTGGTTCAAAAATAAATGTAGGGACAGACCCAGTTTGAATATGCAGCAGTGTGATGGTTTATAAAAATAGAAGTATGCCTACAAAGAATTTACATGTGTAAAATGTCTGATATAGTCTGTTAACTGTATTACATGTAGATGTTTTATGATAATGATGTACTTTAAGATAATTATGTAAATATAATATTGTATTATAGCTGTCACACATGAAGGACGGAGAGGAAGATCAGATCAAGGTCGCCATCAAAATTCTCTCCATGTCAAAAGATGAAGTAGAGGAAGCCCTTACTTATGTATGTCCTATTTTATGTTTTATAAATATGAACTGATTTTTACTCATTATAAAGTTCTATATATGAACTAAATTTTTTCTCATTATTGAATTACATGTTACACTGAATTTTATAGATTTTTTTTAATTGCCCATGTTGCACTGATTTGTATTGATTTTTCGAATTTTTAAATTGCCTATTCAGCTTTTTAAATCGCGTATTTCACAAAGTGAAATCCGTTATTTGATGTTTAAATTTGCTGTTAATATCATGCAATGGAATAATGGATAAGGAGTAATAGATTGTCTATAAATTATGATGTATAGTGATTATACACAATCTTTTTCTCAATATTCAAAATAATAAAAGTTATCACACGTTATTCTGTTTATACAAATAAGAATCAATAAAAAGAATAGGAGAATGAAAGATAAGAAAATATCCTTTATGCTGTTATTATTGTTATAGACTGACCGTGACCTAGAGCAGTTAAATGCCACACTGGAGAGGATTGAGGAGAAGTTGTTGAACCTTCAGGAGATGGTGGACAAGGAGGAGGAGGAGGGGACAAATTATAGGATGAGACATATCAAAACACTGCCTGAAAGTAGGTCATACAAAATGGTTGGAACACCGGGTTTGAAACTCAAGGTATTGTCCCGTCACCTTTTTATTTACAAGGAAATGATAAAACATTGAAATAATTAATTATATAACTAATATTAATTTGACAGCCTTGGTTTTATAGACTTAGGGAATTGCAAAACCTATATTAAGTGCAATTAAAGAGTAACATTGAGTAATATTGTACTTTCTTTGTTGTTCATGTAAAGTTAAAGTGGGTCAGCCAACAGTATAAAGCCTGGGCAGACTGCACCAACACGCAGGCTTGCTTGACTTCATACTGGTGATAAAGGCAAAACACTTTCATTTCCAGCATGTAAAGTGTAAAACTTGAAAAACATTTAAGAAACTGTATGTCATATTGGTTGCTTATTTCAGGTGCATGAGAATGGAACAGTGAATGCTCCGAGAGATTTCTACTTTAATGTACGCAAAGCTACTCAAGGAAGTACGAAGGAGATCTTGTTACAAAGAGTAAGTGTCATATGTTTATTCTAGGGATTTTCAAATGTTAAAGAATCTCGACTGAGATCCAAAAGTGTATAAACATAAAATTTTATCCTATGTGACAAAATTTAATTCATGTAATTGACATCTTATCCGGTTCACTGCGAAAGTGAGTCTTTGCTCCCTAAAGCTTGCCAAGATACATTTCTTGCTCACTGGATAAACCTTCACCATTCCGACATTAACCATGTACATGTATTCTCTATATTACTGTTGACAACACTCAAATGATAATCTCTGTTACAGCTTCTGGATGAGTTATCAGGTGCATTTGGAAATCCACAAAATCCCAAATTAGCACCTATTGCCAAGAAGATTTTCAATCAGTTTGGACGTGAGATCACAGATGTGTTCACTCTACAATCGGAGGATGAAATTTGGGTCTCGTTTGGCGAAGCATACATATCACCATTTAGTAATTGCTGATTCTTTTGTCTTTTTTTAAAGCACAATTATAGTATTTTCATCTGTTGACACAATTTAAATATGATCTTGTTTTCCGATCGCAATGTTTTGTTAGGTTTGGAATTTCTATTATCTCAATGTCATTTAGGTAATAGGTAAATTGACTGTGATATTTGCATCAAATTGTTCTTTTAACATCTTGATTTAATCTTATGTTTAACATTTTATCATATTTTATGATGAAATGTTAATCATGGGATTCTGAGTACAGTCTAATGTATTGTTAAAAAATAGTAGGGCTTTGTAGAACCTTTAGTTGTTAAAAGTTTAAACAGGTTATGTTTTGTTTCTTCTGAATGTTGTAATGTGACAAATACTACAAGTCAAGTGATGATATTTCATTTCTTGGCCTTGTGTCATAACAACTCTGTTTAAAACAGTCAAAGCCCAAATCTCACTTTACCTATATGAAAGAAATGAAAATGCTTGTTATTCCTTTTTGTTAAATTTTCTTCTTCAGATATCATGCCGATTTTCATATATTTTATTAGCACCTGTTACATATATATTTTTCTATTTAATTGTAGCATATGCACTACAAGTTATATTTGATATGGCAAAAGGAACGCAGTTGTTGGATGAGAGAAAGGTGATTTTGCGAGAACAGCTAATGCCAGAGGATGGCATTATTGATGGAATGACTGAGTAAGCTCTTTTTGTCAATTCTTTACATTTCTTCTTTAGTATTAGAAAACTTTTTTGATTGGGTTTGAAAATGTTACATTGACTGTACTAAGAATTTAGTGACCAATTTTGAAGATTTATTACTAGAGAAAATCAACTTTTGCATTTTCATGAATTAATTTGGTTTGTGCATCGGTACTGTGATCCTTTGACCTTTTGTAAGAGAGCTGGATTTATTAAGATTGATTTGACATAGTTTAAATGTTCAAAGGTCTGAGAATTTTTAAAATGAGTGCCAGCAGTATTATCAAGAAATTATGCTAACACTCCAGGCAAGTCAGCCTGCACATCTGTACAGCTTAACAATGCACTATACTGCTTACCTCTTAATCTTAATATTTTGATAAGTGAAATCCCTTAAATGACTAATAGACTGGTCCATATTAAAAATTAGGCAAGTCCATTACACAAATTCAGTTATCATAATTAGTTAAGATGTCAGTTTATGGTGCAAAACTTGTCATAGAAAAAAAATTGTTGCATTTCAGCTATGAGAATTACGATGCAAGTATTGGGTTCCCGGCCGTCTATGACTATCATCAGTGTAAATTTGAGACTGAGCAGTCCTTAATTCTTAACAATGCCACCATGGCTGAGTTAGATGAACGTGGACATTTCTTACAGTTTATGGTAATATGTTATATCTGTAGATCTATACATAAAAAACTTGTTGTTTGAAGTTTGAATTTGAAAAATTTCCTAACCATTTTAAGATATACTAAGCTCATCTTTGGATAAATAACTTACATTGCAGAAATTTTAGAAATCTTACTTCTTACTGAATTTATCTTATTTGAATATGAAGATGTATAAACTATGTGCGTGAAGCAGCATTCCAATTTTAGTCTTTTCATAAAAACAAAAGTGCCAGTTTTTTAAATGACATTGTATTCATGCCATGTTTACCTATAGTGTGTTAAGTTTAAAATGTAACATATCGTCTCTTTTTTTCTCAAAAGATGATTATTTTGCACTTAAAAAGAGACTATATAGCAATTATCAGTATTTTCAGATATCAAATTTGAGCATAATAAATCTTTAAGTGAAATTATTGTATTCTAATGAATATATTTAAGATTTCAGAATTCAGAAAAGTAAATATTAGGTCAATATTATATTCCATACAAAAATAATTTTCAAACCTTATATCTTATACCTTTATAATGTCTCATACTTCAGACTTGTCTTTTCTTATTTTTTCAGCCTAGTCCAAAAAAAGTGTTATATCCTGAGATCATCATGAACCACAAGTTACCAAAAGGACACAAAGAACTCTGGCCAGCGGAGTCCCAGATCTGGGTCATATCAAAGGTTTGTTGTCGTCATGTTTATTTTAACAACAAAATTTTAATTTCGCTTATTTGAAGTATAGGTCACCTGTTGTACTCAATTAAGTGTATATTTTGTTGTAACACTTAGCTCAAGTTGTGGAAGTTAATATCTCATTTATACAGAACAAAATCACTTGAAATTTGACAGATAACTCTACCATTAATTTTATTGCATTCTTCCCCTTTTGAGAAGTTACAAAAATATAATTGAAAGAAAAATTGAGAATTGCAAATGTGCAGTCTATCCAACCGCTATTGCTTTGAGAAAATATCATTTTGAGAAAATATTATCATTTGAAAATACTATGTTGTTGATAGGTTACAAAATAACTCTAACAAGCCCCTGTGGCCAATTGTTTAGAGTTGATGTCTATCAGTCAGGTTGACTAACCACTGTGGGTAACCTGTTAGTATGATAAATTTAATCCCAGAATGCAGTTTATTATCCAGTTACCTGTTGTTACTTATTGTATTATAAATAATGAAGCACACTCAGGGGTGTTTCATAACAATTGAACATTGGTACTTGACATGTGATGGTAATATGTTGTTGTTTTTTTTAATGTGTCATAAAAAAGCAACACTGACAATAATATTCCTGAATACTTTACTATTTCTACATTTATTATATTTTAGTCTGGTTTCATCTACATCAAACCATTCCCTCAGCTGTGTTTGGCGGTAACTGAGGTAAAGATTGAGACTAAGTTGACTGGCAAGGAAACCAGAGTGACAGGATATGCTGTCGCTCTACAGAAAAAAATGGTTGGTAACCCTCATCAACTCTGGACATTTAACCCGGATGCTACAGTAGCATCTAAGGTATGTGGCTAACAAATTACGTATTGATTAAATACTGTTTGTCTTGTTATATGCTGATTTTAACACATTTTGGTCATATCTCAGAGTCAGTCTACCTAACCAAGTTTTCTGGATAACTAGCTAGTAATTACCAGATTCTTTGCCGGGGAATGGCTTATAATCCTTCATAATTTCTTCACCATTGGTGTGAAACAAATGACCCTTAAATTTACAAAGATTTATGTCACAGAAATAGTTTGCCTTGTCTGAAGATCAAAACCAGAGACTGTGCCCTGAATTACAAATCCAATACTATCCTTATTGAGTTAAAAAGGGGGAAAGTTTAAATCTTGAATAATTTCTGAATTCCATTGAAAAATAGCATGAATCTTGTTGAAAGCTTTAATTACTAAGAAATAAAGCAGTAAGCAAAAAAATTAAAAGAGTCATTGGATAAAGTATTTTTCCCTGATCCATTTTAATCATTGATGTGCTAGCTGTTCTTAGTCTGCATGGGTAGAATCTATTGCTGCCAGTAGGCTAATAATTAAAGTTACTTACATTATTACATTTGTATATTTTAGGCCTATCCAGAATTATTATTGACATACCTGGGTAAGAAGTTTGGTGAGGAGACAGAAGACAGTGAACAACCAGAAGGAGTGAAGCCAGGTAGTCGAGTATATATGCTCGTTACTGAACCTCTTGTCAAGAAAGATAAAGCATATCAGAGGTATGTATGTAAAGTCCTTTACTAACTAAAATGTTTCTTCAGCTTGTTTATTAGGTAGCCCGGAATCCTGTAATGACTGAACCTAACAAAATATTTGGAATATGCCTATACTAAGAATGTATCAATAGTACAGAGTTCAAGTATTATCTTTTGTTCTTTGTAGATTAATGTTTTTCTATGATAACTAGATAAAGTTAAGTAAAGTGAATTTTGTAATTTCATCTTTAAATTGATAGGTAAGTATGATGGACAGCCTAAGAATAATTTGGTATTAGCATGTAAATGTTTTATATATTTCTTTTATATTTTATTTACCAAGGTTTGCCCTGAAACAGGAGAAGTTTGGAAACTTGGGTCAGTGGAAGTTTAATGATGCTACTAATCCAGAATGGAACAAACAAGCTCTCTCCTGGCCTGTCAAAGCTGATGGCCAACTTAATATGGTAAGCTGCTTTGTGTCTGTATTTGAATTATAAGGTGGGTGTGGGGGAACTCCTTAGCTGAATGGTATGAATGGTTTCTAGATCATTTTCCCCCTTAGTCCTCTTAGTTTGAAAGCTATCCAGCAAGCTTACAGAAGGTTGGTGGTTCTACATAAGTGCCCACCTGAGCCTGAAATAATGTTTAAAGGGTCTTTTCAGGTTTTCTTCAACTAATAATTCCTCAACTTATAAAATGGGACATTTACCATATGACTTCTACAGTGTCAGTATTTTTATATATGGAAATACATGTTTCTAATGGCCTTGCTAGAAGTGGTTCATCTTGCTTTGTATTTCCATAAGGTTGCATTCTGATGTTAAATATAGACATCAATGATAAAAGGAAGCACATGAAACTATGTAAGAAAAAATGGCACTCGTGGTTATTGTTATAATTGATCTATATACAGTTAGAGAATGGTAAAAATAATTTTGTGTATATATAATAAATTAAGTATGAAGTATGCATCATTTATCAGTATCTTTTAATAAGTTAAAACATCTTGTCAACTTGTGGATTTTGCATATATTTTAGATAGTATGTTATAAGAAAGCTTATAGCCCCGTCGTTATTCTACCTGTGTACCCTTGTTTTATTTGTTTGGTGCCTTATCTATAGTCCTGTGTGGCTGGATACTGTTGGGGCTGTGTTTGGTGAATTGCACTCTCCCATGTTGATCTTTCCTATTTTTATGATTTATGAAATTTATTTTTTTATCAGGAGTATGACTGGCCAATGGAGGGTTATATTTTACCATTTGCCCCAAAACTACACAAGAAAGAAAGTGCAGATGATGGCCTTGTTGGAAGTATGTATATAATTGATAACATAGTGAATATATCTTTAATAGTAAACAATTCATAGTTGATTGTGTACACTTGTTTATTTGTGTAAAGAAAAATTAAGAAAGTAGGTATTAGTCTAAATGTTTGACAGAGTTGTTTATAGTATTGCTTTATATTTATGCTGGTTACCCTTAGATGTTCCACAAAGATGTTCTGTAATTGGCAGACCAGCAAGGAACAACATCTAATTTTATTTAGTAAAAAAGACAGAATGATTACTAGTGATCTTATTTGTATGAGTTTCATACTGATTTTAGATGATACAGCTAAAACACAATCTGTATCGCATGCTTTGATATTCATTTCAGACCATATTTATATACCATATCAGGCAAATGAGAAGAAAAAGAAGATAACAAAAGTATTTATAGATCAGTTACCGTATTTTCATATAATACTCAGATTTGACCATTTTCAAAATGGACCATGTTTTTAAATTGAATAAAAGTCGCAAATAATTATTTTCTTTTAATAAATTAAAATATTTTTGTGTTACAGTGACGCCACTTAGGTTATTGGCTGTAAAGAACGGAGAGAGGAACTTACAAATGGCTGTACCGATTGTTGGTCCCAATCTTACCAATGTAAGAATAGCTCCACAATTTAAACTAGCAGTTACATAAGTGTGCTTTGTTTGTAAAAATTGTGAAAAATATAGTAAAATGTATAGTAACATTATATTTTTTTCTTAAATATTTTAAAATATTTAATGTCAAAACTTTAAAGCTTACTTTACTGTTAGCCTGAAGAATCTATCCACCGGCCAGTGCAGACCAATATTAGCCAGCATTTCCATGCCATCTGATCATAGTCTGTACTGTTCCCTATTCAGTAAATACATATTTTGAAATTTTATGAAATGTTATGAATGGTTATGAATCTTTACTGAATCTTCATGCTATTTTGAATCAAAACACTATTCATCAGCTGATAAAGTACTATCGGAAGTTTGTTTATCATATTGTATCTGTTTATAGTATATCCCCATGTTGTATTGCCATTTACTCTGGGAAAGAAGTAAAATGATCTGTTCCGTTCGGTTTTGTCCAGATTGAAACATGGAATGTCCATTTAAGATATTTAGTGAGAATAGGGATGAAATATAAACAAGTATTTTGAGCTTCAGTTTATATCATGCCAACATTGTAGCAGTATGACATTATTTCTTGTTTCTTTTTTGTCCAGTTTATGAAAGATTTATCAAAAAAGCCACCAAAACCTGACAAGAAAAATCGTCGTCGGCAACAGCAACAGGAGGAGGCCATCATGTCACAACAGGATAACACTACAGATAACATCGAACTTGATGTTAATCTACACTGTCGAGATCTGTCCATCCGGGAACTTGAGTTCAGCATGGTATGTAGATTAAGAATGTGAACCTATAACTGGCAAATAATACTTTGGAAATTGAACCAGTTTTGAGAATGCTTTGTTGTAGAATAATGCATGGTTCGAGTTCAGATGCACAGAAATATAATCATGAAGGTTGATAGGCCTTAGTGATTAATTACAAATTGTTTAACGATAAACCATGCATTATTATACTATAATGCAAGAAAAAGTCATATCTGTTTCCATTCTAACATGACAAAAAGAGAATTGAAAAAATATGTTATACTTGAACTACATTGAGCGTAGAAGTAATTTTCCTGATGTCATTTGGTTTATTGATGTTAAATCTGACGTCATATGATGTGTAAGCATTTGTTTTTTTATGCTGTGCATATATAGTGTAATAATGCTCTTGATTGCCCTGTCTGTTTGATAGGGGAATAGTGTGAAGTGTGTTGGAATATATAATTTAAAACACTGTACTATCACATTGTTTTTAAATACTTATGATTGATTTTTAATAGTTTTTAAGCAAGGAGTTTCTGTGTTATTTAAGTTGAATTTAACACACTCAGCTATTATCATTTAAAAGCATACAACTCTCCGTAGCAAAATATTGATTTCAAATAAATGTTTTTTGTGTACCGTAAAAATATATATAAGAAAATCTGATTTTTTTTATTTTTAAAAAATCCCTTTTCGTATACATTAATTAGTAATATTATGATCTACTTTTAACAGTTCCTTGACCACTGCACATCACTACTCAGTCTACCATTTGCTGGACGTAGATTGTTTGATGAGAATGGTAATGAGCATTTCACCTTGAAAACATTAAAACGGGACCAGCTGGTGTATGTTTCCTGTGGCGAGATCTGGACGGATCCTAGACTCACGAAAATGGAACAACAGCGACGTTTCTTGTTGTCTCAGATATCCCAGGATGTTGCTAAAATGAGGCAGTACGCAGCACTGAGAAATCCTGAAAGTAAGTGTATTGCAAAAGATTTTGATTATTTTGCAGTATGACCTATATTATTGCCTATCATATTGTACGTTTTGAATCCCTTTTTTTATTTTTACAGTTTCAAACTTTTTGTCATTATTAGTCCCCTACCGGTTTACCGGAGGGGACTTTAGGTTTACCCTCCGTCCGTCTGTCCGTCCGTCTGTCCATCTGTCCGTCTGTCTGTCAGTCCGTCAGTCCGTCCGTCCACAAAACTGGATCCCACGATAACTTGAAAAGTACTGAAAATATTTTTATGAAACTTGGTATATGAGTAGATGGCAGTCTTGAGATTATGCACGTCTTTTTCTTTACTTCCTATGTTGAAAATTCTGGTTGCTATGGCAACAAATAGGCTGAAAATATGGCAAATTTTACACATAAACTGGATCCAGTGATAACGCAAAAAGAACTGAAAATATTTTTATGAAACTTGACATATGGGTAGATGGCAGTCTTGAGATTATGCACGTCTTTTTCTTTTCTTCCTATGTTGAAAATTCTGGTTGCTATGGCAACACATAGACTGAAAATATGGCAAATTTTACACATAAACTGAATCCAGTGAAAACTCAAAAAGTACTGGAAATATTTTTATGAAACTTGACATATGGGTAGATAGCAGTCTTGAGATTATGCATGTCTTATCTGTTCTTCCTATTTTGGAAAAATATCAGTTGCCTTGGCAATAAATAGGCTTAAAACATGGCAAATATAACAATATTTGTGATTAGTCAAAAAGAGCTGAAAATTTTTATGAAATTGCATCTTTAATTCAAGAGTTATCTCCTCTTTAAGAATTTTGCTTTTAAAATGTTATATTTTGGTAACAGGGATGTTTCAAATATTAACTTCAGAGTGTCCTTCAGTCCGTCTGTCTGTCTGTTCATAAAAACTGTTTCCTGTGATCACTTTTAAAGAACTTTTCCAACAAATTTACTTAAAATAGAGAAAAATTGAAACACTAGGGAATGGCCAATGGCCCTTCAGAATGTTGATGGGGTTCTTACCGGTAGGGGACTTATGGATTGCTTGCAATACTATGATAATTGCTTGTTTTATTTATTTTAAACATTGTATCATATTTGACTATAAAGTAAAGTAATAGTATTCACATTTTTATAATATGAAAATTTATGCACTAGGCACATTCACTTTTTACAGCTTGTCATTAGGCTGCTAGGATGAATTGTTTCCTTGCTCAAGAAAATTAGTTCTTTCCCTGATAAAACTAATGAGCCTGGAAATTCTAAATTCCAAAGCTAGTGTGTGCTAGCACCGGGCCATAGCTCCCAACAGTTTTTTCCCCATCGTTCTTAAATTGCAACACTAGACAAGGATTTTTCAAGAGAAATGATGAATGTTTATTTTGTTTACTTACAGAATATGTGTTACAAGTTGACCCAAGTATGTCAGCAGGTTCACCGGTTCTTATAAACAGACAATGGTCAAAGGATGACGATGATACCGAGATGGAGAGACAGAGTATGGCCTCCGGGTTACCTCCAAGTGTAGACTCAAACCCTCAAATACAGTATGTATTCCTTCGTTATTGTATGTACAAAAAATTTTATTTAATAATTTACAGTTTTTGGTCTGATAGCTTATATTGTAATATGTATCAACAGGTGAAATGGTTTACAAAATACAAATGTTTTACCTTTTGTTCTATATTTGGGACTTATTAATGATCAAGTTGCATAAAAATTTTGTCATAAGAAAGAGGCCAGGCCGGACTTCACATTAATGCAATATAACATCAATCTATTTTACAATATTTTAATTAACAAAATTTATTTATTCAGAACTATAGAGGATATGGACGGGACTAAAACCTTCCACCAGATGGCTCATGAGAAATCAGAAAAACGCTTGAACAATCTTAAATGGCCCTGGGAGAGACTGGTGAATGTCAATAATAGTTTTGACACTGATCCTGAAGCTAATAAATACACAGACAGGGAGATGTATGAAAAATACAAGTAAGTTTTCAATATGATACTAATGTCCCATATAATATTACCTCTTTTTTTTTCTTGATGAAAAAATATGATTCTATATTTGAAATCAATGTATACATGACTGTATTAATTGTAAAATATAATGACAAATAAGAGGTCTTTGAAGAGGTCTGTGAAGTTTGATGATGTTATGTGTCCTTCACTATATTGGGTTCAAATTCTGCAGATAGTACTGAATTCTTTTACAGTCCAGATTTTGTGCGTGATAGTTGCTTGTTAACTTTATCATATGAAAAAACTGCAAATAAGAGACATAAATAAGCAGTAGCTTTGAAATAGACTATATTGAAGCTTATTTTTTTTAATTAAAAAAGTTTTACATTAAATGTAATTTTTGAAATAGCTATAATTGTTTATTAGTATTTTCTAATTCATTTACATGAATTCATCTACATTACTTTGTCTGCAAATCCTTCTTTTTCAATTTGTACAAGAACTACATATGTTGTACATGAACTACTCTCCCATGCAAGTTGAAGGTTGTGTAGATGCTAATATGTTCAAGTCAGAAGCAACATTTCTTGGAAAGGTATTTATGTAAAAAAGCTCTTTACTGTAATCAACCCATTTAATTCATGCATTTTCAATTATTTTAGACCAAAAGCAATTACAAAGATTTCCCGAGATACACTACAAAGGTTTGTTTATGAAGATGGATATATTGCCCTGGCAACCAATCGTCAGTTGGTGTTGGGCGTGTCGGAGCCCGAGGGTCGTATTGTTGAGGTACATCTTGTGAAAAGAAGGCCTGATGATATATACCAGCAATGGCTGATGAAAGAAAATGGGTATGTGTTCAGTAATATCTATGTCAGTAACACTGAAATAAAAATGCACTGGTGATGTAAAAGGTCAGGTTTTACACTGAAAGCTAATGTTTTGAACAGAAACTCTATGTATGTTAAGATTTGTATATAATGTGGTTATACGTTTTCTTCTAAATATTTGAAGAATTGTAAATGAGGGAATTGAAGTGTCTAACAATTCAATTACTAGTTATTTTTTTTTACTCGCTCATATTGTTTAGATGGTAAAAGATACAGGTGATAAATATAAGAATTATCAACACCCCTATTTATCAATATTGGTGTTAACAGATAATGAATGGAAAAGCTAAAGTGGAATTGAATTAGCTTTATATTTTATTGATTTATTGAAACAAAAATGCTGAATTTATTGAAATAAAAAAAACCCGTTAAATTTAATGAAATTTCAGAGAAATTCGTCCCAGACATAGTCAGCAAGTAGTGCTCACCGTTTCCATGCCAAACAATGAACCGTTTGCAGAGGACGAGGAGGGTCGACCTTTGACCTTTATTGGGTGCAAGGTCATGTTACAGACACGTAGAACAAATGAGTTTGGAAAAGCTCACCAGAGATGGAGATACGATGCTGAGAGTGGATTTATTCATGCATTTTATGCAGATCTCCCCGACAAGGAGATTACGGCTGCAAACAAAGCTGACGTCTGCACATTCGCTATAGCAAACACGTCAAAGATTGATCAACCGGTATGACGTCATTGTTGTATTTTCTAGGAAATTTGAAATATCATTTATTATAAATGAAGGTCACAGACCAAAATCTGTAACTCTAGCATGGATTTTTACTAAGTTATTCCTGTTTATAACCTTAAAAAAAATTATGTTTGATGTAATGTAAAGTACATTGAATAGTTGCATGTGCGATGCCCATTTGACAACTCTTTGTTTCTTTTGATCTAATTAAAATTTTAAAGTAATCGTTTTTGATTTTTGGGGTTTTCCTGAAATTAAAAATACGATACTTAACTACTGTATATTTTTTGGGAAAAATTTATTTTTCCCCTCACATATTTTCATTTTTGTGTATGTTTCTTTTTTGGGGATATATGCAGAGTTCCAATCAGACAAAAAAAAGAGAGCGCTCGAGGCGTATAAAGTGTGCATGTGTGCGCCCCCGGATAAGCAGAATAAAATTTCTAAACTTAGAAAAAAACACAGTTTCTTTTGCAATGGCAAGTGGTGTGAAAGTTCCTTATTGTAAAGAAAATTTTAAAAAAATATATAGTTTTTGTTTTCAAATTTAAATTTTCTATTCTTTCACAGTTACCTTTTTTTACAAGTATTTTTCAATGTTTAATTAAACTTCATACACTTATTTGAGAGCATGATAGGAGGTCACTATCCAAGGCCCATAACTCGAACATGGATTTTGACAGAATTACGGCACCCTTTGAACTTAGAAAATTCTACATTTTCCAGGCTCGTGCTTTACTATCAAGCACTGAAAATAGTTAAGCATGCTGTCAAACTGACAGCTGATGGTAAATTGAAGAAAAGGTTGATCTCGTGTTTTAATTTGTTGAATCAAATTAAGCAAAATTAGTCTACAGCAATTGGGAAGTTTTTATTTTCAATGGGAAAGTGTCATCGTCTACGATATACTGACACTACAAGAAGGAGGAGAAAGGCTAAATGTCGAGGCAACGAAGGGCCATAAAACCAAGGAAATCAATGTCGAAACCTTCAGACTGTGAAAAATGCTTGGGGATAAGAAAAAGGGGGAAGGAAAAAAAACCAGGGAAAATTGGCTCAAGGTTTGTTGGGTAAGTATAAAGGGAAATTTTGGCTATTGTTTTTTTTAAAAAAATTTTTGTAAAAAAAAAATTTTTTCATCAAATTTCTTAGAAAAAATCGTGATTATTTTTTTCATTTTCACAATTAAAATGTATAATAAATTTTTTACCAAATTTTTAAATGTTATTGATTGAAAACAGAATTCAAGCAAGGGAATAATGATATTAATATGTACTTAAATAACAATATTGTTTTTTTTTTTCTACTATATTTTAACTGGTAACATAGATAACATGTTATGTATTTTCGTATAAAAAATATTGACTAGTGTAATAAATAACAAAAAAATTTATTTTATAAAAGTAAAATTAAATAGTTAATAAAATATTATTTATTTTTTCACTGAATTAAGTAGTTCTAAATAATGGGGTGTGCTCTTTATGCTTTTTATGATTCATTTATATATATGATTTTTATATGTTATCTTTAATGTATTTTTTTTTTTGATCATGTGCTATGTTCCTAAAATGATAAAAAAAATAAAAAAAAATTTTGTTATTTTTTTTCGGTAGAGAACTGAATCGGGACATAAAAACGTATTTTTTTTATTTAACTACTGATATTCAATAGTGAATAATCACGGTAAAAATTTTTTTATTTATGTAAAATTTAAAAACAGGTACACAGAGAACGTTGAACAGGCACTGTACGAAATTCACGGAGGATGGACATGACGAGATAAAGAAAATTTTCACGGGCGATACAAAACTATAAAACATTGATGGCAGATCATCTAGAAAAACTATACCAGGGTAAACAAGGTTAGTTGTTCATCTGTTATTAGCTATATTATAGACAGATGATGTGTATACAAGTATGCTATGTCAGTTATTAAAATGTAAGTTTAAATGTGAAAAAAGTACATTTTGAGCATGTAACAAAAGAAACACATTATTTCCCTGTTTAAATATAGGTAAACATTTATTATTTTGTTATAACATCAGTCTCTTGTTATAGATATTCAAAAAGGCAAGCACAAGGGGGTGGGTTGTAGTTCAAGTTCAGTTAAAGTGATTAAGTATTTTGTTTGAAGTCAAAATACTATTTTGTTTTCATTGTGCTACTTTTTCGCAATTTATTTCACATTCCAGCGATATTTTCTTCAGGTATTTAACATCTTGCATGTTCCAATTCCATTATAAGGGCATTACCAAACATATGTATGCTCTTTCTACAGAAAGAAAAAAAATATTCATTTCTGAGGCTTAATCTGGCTTTAAAGTCCTGTAACACTGTCTCTTTTAGGTGAAGAAGAAAACTTTCAGAGAGGAGAAGGGGAGGGACAAGAAAAAGAAGGGGAGGGGCAAGATGATGAAGGGGAGGGGCAAGATGAAGGTCCTGACAAGGGAGGTAAGCATAACAATGAATATGTAATTTGAGTAAGGTTATTGCTGTATACCTTATCTCTTAGATGCAAGCCACTAAGCAAAAAATTTAGCAAATTATGTAAAATCAAAATGTTAAGTGTTCTGTTTTTCTTGTAACATGTATTTTAAAAAAATATCTACATGAAAAAAAAATCTAGAAAACTTTTTATAAAAGGAAATTATCAGTTATTCAGACTCTTAGTATGAAAATGGTTAAGTTTTTGATGATTAGAGATTCATTGTCCTGTATTTCCAAAATTGAAGAGTTTACTAGCATAAAATGTTTTTCATAAGTACAAAAAAGAATACTGTCAAAATGGTTGGTTTAATGTATATAAATTTTACATTCTATACGATTTTTTGAAGTTTTAAAAATATGTAAGCTTTCAGAGCATAGTACTCTGAATGGTTTTATTCATGATTTAAGGGAGGTAATATTTTTAACACAAATTTAGCGGTAAGATACATGTAGAAATTTATTTTTCTAGAAATATTTGTTAACTATTATTGTAATTGTTTCCAATATTATTTACTCTCTAGAAACTGACGCCAAGGAAGCTGATAAAACTTCACGTCAGAGAGAATACCTACTCAGTCAAGTACGTCTGCCGTCTGAGGAAACTATTCTACGTTATCCTATAGAAATCTGGGTATCTAGTGGCAAACCTTTTGTTGCACCCGAAGGTAAGTGATCATTTATGCTATAGCTTCAAAAGTGTGTTGGTAGTTTACAAACTTTTTGTGTCATTTTTGATAAAAAAATAATTAAAAAAAAAAACGTATGAAAGAAATATGATGCAAATGGCGCATACACTAAATCATTGCTAAATTGTAAAAAACCTGCTTAAAATAGCAGCAGAATATTTGTTCTGGAACATTATATTTTTGTAGAATATTGAGTCAGCTAAGTAACAGAGACATTCTATCATACAACTTTTTGGAGAATCTACCATTAAGATTATCTACTGAAAGATTTCTGATAAAGTATGTTTTTATATGAAATTATGAAAATACAGATTATTGCGATTTTAGCTCCACTTATTTTTAAGGCAAATTAATGCACCCTTTAAAATCCATGTTTCCACACAATAACTTGAACTGCTGCAGCAGTTGCTGATATATTACATGCCCTTTAGGTTACATTACTGTAACCCTTCATAGCTCTTCTTTTGACTTATGCAATTTTGTTTACAGTTGTTGAATCAAAGATGGAGAACAGGAAGAAGAAGAGAGCATTTAGGTCAGCAGTGTCTGTAGAACTCGACATCGAGAAACATGTCCTTAGACAAATGAAAGGTACGGCAGACATATAATATTGTCATTGTACGTTATATAATTTTATTATATAATGTATTTAGCTGGATCAACTTAATTAAATCAGTTTATACATATGTTGCTCAAAATGTTGCATTTTTGAATGATCACTATTGGAATTAAGAGTCACTATGAAGGTCAATTTCTGAATAAACAAGTCCTGATGAGGTAATAAAAAATGTGTCCAGTTACCACAAAAGTTTGAACCCTTGATCCCTGGGTTGAGATTCATGCACATGAGCCACTTAGCTAATTTTGATCAGCTTAAAATGAAAATACCCCCGTAATTTTTGATTAACAAGTATATTATTCAGTTGTGTCAACTTTCAAACGACCTTGTTAATATTATGATGTGCAAATATTATAAAATAAATGGTTGAACATTTTTATTTCCCCAGGGAGAAGACTTGATGAACTAAGTCCTGGAGAGTACAAGGGCACCAAGAATAGCAATAAACCGGTGGTAGTAGAAGGTCATTGGGAGGAGCCGACCCCTGAAGAACAACAGAAACATGACACTGTCCATAAGTTACAGGTAATAATCTTACTACTATATACATGTTGATCAACATAAACCACTGCACAGGAGTGTAATTAACCAATAAAAAAATATGATATTACAATAGTGTTAATAGTGTTTATATCACACTTTGGTGATATTTACAAATATAGCGTTGAAATATATTACATAAACCACTGCACAGGAGTGTAATAAAAACCCATTTAAAAAAATTGATATATCATGCTAGTGTAATAACACTATTACATGTAATTTGCTATATATACAAACATAATGTTAAAGTGGGCTAATGTTGGCATTACACTACAGGCACATCAACAAAAAATGGCTCTTTTTAACTGTAAACCATTCTGTTTTTAGATATGTGATAAATAGAATATTGACTTTGTGTAGATTCAGTACTAAATTTATTGAACTCGTTGAATAAAACAATATTATGCGAGCCTCTGATTTTATTCAACTTGTTCAATAAATTTAGTATTAAATCTACACAAATTCAATATCCTCTATATATTGATTAAAATAGCCAAGGGATTTTTACAGGAACACATGCATACAGTGAATTGCCACTAGATTTTTAGATAAACATTGTCAGTTGATGTGGTAAATTAAAGTTTGTGACATATGCAACTACATCACTAATAATCAGTTTAGGGAAGTTACTTTTTATAGATGCTTTCTTATTAGCAGTTGACATTTTACCATTAAATTACAATATATTATTCCATAGTGTCAGATTTAAATGAATTAAAGAGTCATATTTTGCTATGTCAATTTTTTGGGGATTTTATTTCTTTGCTTTTTTGTGTCCTTCAGAATTTGTGTTTATATATATGTTGATATATTAGTTATTCATTTGATTGATTGTTAATTACAGGAGCACCTTGCAGAAGTAAAGCAAAACCAGAGAGAGAAAACTGTTCCTCTTACACTGAACTTGAATAAAAGTTTATACAAACAGCCAGATACTGTAAGTTGATATTTTATTGTGATGGGAAAATGTCCGGCAGACTATATACATAATACATATAATAATGTGAGTTCATGACTAACAATAATGCCCACTTTTTAGTTCAGTAAATAGAAAATGTATTACAAAAAGTTCTGATCATGTCGGAGCGTTATTTAGAGCTGATTTTAATCAGCTTGATTACTGGTATACGTATATGAATTTATGTATATGTGTTTATTTTATCATTTTAGAAACGCATCTTGGCCTATCCTAACGGAGAATCTGTGGAGCGAGCTACGTATATCTGGGGTGACAGTTTCCAGCATCTTCTCGATAGTGCTACAATGAGACTGAATCTTTGGCAACCTGCCAGGAGATTCTTCACAATGGAGGGAAAAGAGGTATAAACTCTTCTTACCTTCAAGGAATGTTTGTCTGAAAAAGGAAGAAAAATCAAAATATCATGAGTAAAAATCTTCAAAGTAATCCTTGGAATAAATTGAAAATTGATATAAAAGTTACAACTTGAATGGCAATGTAATTCAGTTATTAGGTCAGCAAATATCAGTATTAGGTACATGCTTTTAATCCATTTTCAAATGTATTTGAATAGTTATCAGTGCCATAATGATTGTTTTTTAAAAAAATCTTTTGATTTATTATACAGGTAACAAAGTTCTCGGCTATAGAGAAGGATGAGGTGTTATGTGTATCTACAGGTAAACCATTCAAACATGGACAATCTAGCAGACTGGATATAGAGATCAAAGCTAACTGGTCACGTGCTCATAAACAATATGGTCCTACATCAACAGATGTTCGTGTTGAGGCTCCGGCTAATCCAAAAGTTAATGTAAGTACATGTAATATACATGTTTATAATACTGCATGTTTGTAACATCACTTTTCATTGGATAATCATGAGGTTAATATAGTTTCATACACACGGCTACTGTCAGTTTATGAAGAAATCACAGTTTTTCTCTTAAAAAGGAAGTTTGCTGTATTAAAATTTGTTTTGAAGATTCAAGACAGGATATATGGCCATATAAATACTTTTATTTGCAATATAACCTTCACCTACTGACTCAGGTTATATATGCAAACAACCATTAACATATGGTCATATAACCTGCTATGTTGGTTGTTCCTTACTGATCTTGTAAAATTATACCATTCTAATTCCTCTGGTGGGCATAATGTCAATAAATAAATAGTGGAGCTATACAAATATACTGTTTATCACATACCCAAAATAAGAACAGTTTGCAGTAAAAATTGACATGCTTGTACTGTAACTATAACAGTTAGGGTGTCTTTGATGCTATTTTTGTAAGACATCACATCAAAAAAATATACAAGCCCATGCCACATTGTTCTTACAGAGTGGCAAAAACTATAGGTGTATGATAAATATCAGTGTGACAAGCATTAATATTTCAGATATCTGAATTGTATGAATTTATCCTTAAAGTTTAGATATCATTGTGTTCATTACTTAAGTCTTGAATCAGATTCATCCTCAATATGTGGGGTCTCTATGGCTGAATGGTTATGGTCACAAACTTTAAATCACTTGCCCCCCACAGCTGTAGGTTTGAATCCCACTAGAGACTGATTCTTGAATGCTCGCTCAAGTTAAGTTGCTCATTATCTTTACATGATACCTGAATATCAGTGATTTTAAATATTTTTGATATTTATGTTTTAATTGTATAAAAGAAAAATAATTATCAGTATTGTTGAATAAATGAACATATATAAGTTACAATAATCATGTATTTGTTAGAATTATTATCCATTATATATTTTGGTACCAGATATTGAAATATCTGTCTGGGAGTATGTTCGAGGTACTGAGCCATTGTACAGTGACCTTGTATTGTTTAAAATATTGTGTAGAATAGAATCTTTTATGATATTTTTGGATGTACGTAGCATACAGTTTCTATTTGGGAATCATTTTGGAAATTGAAAATAGTTTTGACATAATTCAATGATCAGCAGAGCTTATATTAAGACTTTAACGGTATATAAAGGGTATTCACAAAATTTCTCAGCACTTTGCAATTTTTATCAGTTTTCTTGTGATGCAAGGAAAGTTACTGATTTTAATTCTGCAATCTTAGCAGAACATTCTAATAGGAAATTGCTCAGACCATGATCAGATGATATGGATGTGCCGGCTGATCTTGGTCTGTGCTGGTCACGTTGGTAGATTCAGTAAATGCACTAGCAGACTAAATGTTAAGGAATCATAATGTGATGATTAATCACTTAAAATATTGAAAGGACAACAGTTTACTGTGATTTATGATAGGAGTCCCTTTTGTGTCCCAGACCTTATGTAATGTGTAACTTCAAATTGTTGAAATGTTGTTCACATATTGTAATGTAGTACACAATGTGGTGTGTAAGAGTTTATGTAATCATTCAGGAACATTTGTTAATTAGAAGTGTAACTCAAGAACTATATATAATATTAGAATATTAATATTGATTTACCTAGTTTGAGTTTTGATAAGACAGGCCTTTTTGAATAGATACCAGTATATAGCAATGCCATACAAACTAAGGCCCTTAATATTTGCCTGCATATTTTAGCATTTTGATTTTTCAAACCCCTTAGATCATATTTGACAGTTCAAAATTCAAAGATGGGCATGTTCATTGTACAAATTTAATGATGAAAGGGTTGCTTTTTACTTTTTCAGTATTATTAATATTTTTATGATAATTGATATTTTTCATTCAGAAGATAATAAATTGTAGTTTGTTGATTAATTTGAAATTATTTCACTTAAATTATCCTTTTTCTAAAATTGTCATTTATGTATTTTTTTAACAGGTTGATCCATTCGGACCACCAGCCCTGGCATTGCCCTTGACCAATGGAGAACAAAGCTCAACTAGACCACAGTCTGCAAAACCAAAATAAAACAATTATGACAATTATTAACAGTGTCTGACTTAATAGGCTGAACACCACAATGGTGGTGAAAATTGATTTCTGACTTATCAGGGTAGAAATTAGATCAAAAATATCATTTGTGTAAGTAGAGAAAGGTCGTGTAATTCTTCATAGAATCAACTTTGCTGTACCTTGTAGATGCTTGTAGTGTCATTAGAGAAATTGGAGCAGGGCAAAAAAATAGTCGCCTCTACAGCAGACGAAACTTTTATGAAGACTTTAAAATGGATTGAGTTGAAGGAATGATTTTTTAAAAAGTTTTATGAATGAAATTATCTGAAAAAGGCATTATTGAAAGGTAGAGATGTCTCACTTTCTATTGAATACTCCTTTACTGAGAAAAATGGTTGTGAAATTGTTACAGGCATATTATTATCTTGTTTTTAATCTATTAAAGGTGAATTTATTTACTATTTGATAACTATTTGGTAACATTTGTAAATAGGTCTGATTCTGTAAAAATGTTTTTACATTGTGCTAGATATGAGTGTTCAATTTGAATCGAAATTCCACAATCCTTGACATCCTGTGATATATATATTGAGGGTTGACTGCAAAACTGCTGTAACATGTATGAAATAAAGAAGGACTTACAGCGGTTTTGCAGTTAACCCTCAATAATTATGAATTGTACATGTTTAATCTTAGATATAGCATAATTTTATCATATTTTCTACATTATTTTCTTTGTACTATTTTGAGATGTTTCAGTATTTGATTTTTTAGTCCTTTTTGGCATATTTAAATTGTTCTTATCAGATATGCTACAGGGAATGATTTTTTTTGCAAAGAAAAGTCACCTACACAAGTCTTTATTGAAGTATAATGCTAAAGAAAAGAAATGTTTCCTCAAGGTTTGCCACAGTATCTTCTATTAACCCAAAGAATAGATTATTTGTGTTATCTTTTACAAAACACAAAGATTTTTTTTAACAAAAAAAGGAAAAGAAATTAAAAAAGTCTTAGTCACAAAGATTATTTTTATTTATTTTATTTTTTGGGGGGAATTATAATGAACTGTACTATATTACATTGATGTGATAGAAACTTGTTTTTATTTCAATATTTATTTTGTTTTTACATTTTTAAAACAATTTATATTATATATATTTATATTTATTTGTGATACTTTACCACAGTAATGGTATAAAACTTTTGTTTAAAAGTTCTGCCAGAAGCATTTGTTTATTATTTGCATGTATTAGTCTAAAAGTTGCAGTCAAAATCATTTTTGAAATATATTCTGTATAAATCTCATTTTATAAGTATCGCCATTTTTTTATTAACACATTCCATGTCTTTGTTACGTACATATACATGTATTTATAGATTTACTTGAAATTCTGTCTATCCAACTGGTGTTAGTAATTTGTTTTATTTGTCTTTGTTTTTTTTGTTTTTTATTTATTTGTAAATTTTTAATGAAGCCACCCATTCACATTCCAGTGTTCTTCCTTGTAACCATGGAGATCTGAGCATGCTAATGCCTTTTATGTGTTTTTAGAAAGGAGGTTAATCTGTCTCAAAGCATATTATTAATTATCGGTAAACTAATTCCAAAATTTCCAACATTAAACCAAACATTCCGTCCTGTTTACATACAGATTGTTGCAGTTTTACATGTACTTTGTAGTTCTATTTATTTCACATTTTCTTTATTATATCTTAAATTTGTGTAGTGTATTGGAATGCTTTATTGATAAGAAGTAAAAAAAAGTTAAAATAAAATAGTTCATTTAGAATATAGCTATACAGTTTGTTAGCTTCAAAGAGCTGAAATTTAAGGTGAAAAATAGTAAAAAGTGTAGTTCTTAAATGCCATTGTAAGGCATTAACATATCTCAAATAATCTGGTGGTTAGTATTATTGTAAATCTCAATATATCAACAAAATTTGTTCCTAGTTAACTCCCTTAACATCATGTTTAACATTTGTAAATTCTGTAATAAAATGTTGAGGATGAATATCATTTTTTTTTCTAATTATAAATTATTTTGGAATAATACATGTGTTTATGTCAGATTCTGTTTAGAGCTTGTATTTGGTTTATGTACAGTTGACATCGGAATGAACAATATTGGCTAATGTTGGTCAGTGACAGAATGATATTTTCCAACAATTTTATGAAATCACTTTTACTTGCTTTTTATGGTTGTGTTAGAATGGGTTGTGATAGACTATTTTATGGTCATTTGTGATAGATGTTTTCTTTGTTATAAAATGTAGAAAATAAAATATGACTAGAATAAAAAAGGAAATAAAAAGATATCTTATTGATCTATCAACCCCTTGCATATTGATGCACTGTTTAACTACTATAGTATCTAGTATATTCAGACTTGGAAGTCATTAATTCTGATACTCTGCTACTTTGGTATGCAAGTAATTTTAAATGAAGAAAGATATAACAGCACCAAACTTTGATATTAATGTATAAAGGTATAAAAGCACCAACTTTGGCATGGATTTTCCATGAGCCATGCTGATCAAAATTTGATAGAACCTCAACAAATAATTGTGAAAGTTCAGGTCATTTATGACTCAAGATCAATGTAAATCTCATCAACTTGCAGGTCTATCTCTCAGGATTGCTGTGTCCAAGTATGAAGACAATTCATTCATAAATAACTTAGCTATAGCCACTTTGAAACATTTTCGTATTTTCAAAGTTAGAAAAGACACACAATTATGTCAAACTTTAACAGTCATAGTTATGAAACTTGACACACAACCACAAAGATACATTGTAATTTTGCATTGATATGTCATGCTTGTCCAGGTATTAATAATTTCCATATACAAATAACCAATCATAGCAAAAAACAGTGAAAATTCAATAATTTCATGAAGTCAAGGTCAAAGTTAGTTTGATCTTCATAAATGTCTTGTCCTAAAAGGTGTTGTGTCTAAAATTTCTCAATGTGAAGACAATTCATTCACAAAATTTTTTTTAGCCAGTTACAGCAAGAAAAGAGCAAAATTCAATAATATGACCATAAAGGTCAGGGTCATTTATAAATCCCGGTCAAGGCCAGTCTGGTCAACTTGAAGGAACATTCCAACGTTAAGTTATGAAACATGACAAAGACAGTTGTATTGTGATATTGCTTTGATTCACCAAGTTTCTAGTTAATATCTTTACCGGTTGGACAGGGATGGGACAAATTGATTACTATATAAACCCCCAACAAACGATGTTTGGTGGGGGTCCTTCTCTAAATCCCTCCAGAGGCGTGCACATCACGGAGAAGGCAAACGGCAGGTCAAGGTCAAGTCGCCATAAGTACCAGAGATGATTGGTTGACCTGTCTTGACTAACTCTGGAGGGTTGGCGCTAACAAAGGCTGTTTTTGTTATCGTTGGTCAGGAAGCCCTTGCCTTGGCAGTATTGTCGTCTCCTTCACCACCACTGAACAAAGAACTGGCTACCGAAGATTCAGCATGAAATGTCCCCGATGAGACTACCATAGTGGACCAGCAAGGATGCTGCATTCTCGGACATATCGTTTATTCCGGCGCCAAGTATAAACACACTCAAAAACACACAAATGTTTGGTGGGGGTTTATAAAAAGGTTTATATGTGTATTAAAAATTAACAAAAAATCTAAGAACAATATTTTGGCAACAGTTTAATGACCAGAAAATTTAATATACATGAGCATTCAGCAACAAAGTATAACAAAACAATCAGAATATATGAGCATTCAGCAACAAAGTATAACAAAACAATCAGAATATATGATATAAAAGTACAAAATGCTTACAAAAGATATGGAACATAATAGAAAACAGGACTGCACAGTAATTGTGAGAAGGTATAAACATTTCTATCTTATAATCCTTTTTACATACAAGTCTTCAAGACGTTTGTAGGTGCTGTTTTTCAGAGTGTGTCACCTACTATAGGTCAGTCTGACTTTTTGTATTGCATTAGACTCTTGTTCTATCAGATAATTATTTCCTCTCTAAATGTGATTTTTTTTATCATTGACCTTTTACATGTTTATTTCTATACATTTGTATTAAATATCTCTAACAAATATAATAAAATCTTTTATATACCAGTATCCACACAGCAATGTGTCGTTAGGGTGAATAAAACAGAGGAAAAAACAAAAATTCATGTGCATCAAGTGGCCATTTGATATTGGTATTAATAAAAAACATACACTGAAGAAAAAACAACAACCTACAACACAATATCAAACTAACCATCTTTATGGAATGTCTTATTACTGAAGTGCTATCACATCAAAACATTGTACAGGTCTATCCAGATCATAAACAAGAGCACCGCAAAATTGGGGCGATATATTCCTGAATGCAAATTTATTTGAGGAAGAAATCAAAAAGTAATCTTTCAAGAAGAGAGTAGTCCCATTCATGAACTTAGTCAGAAACCTGTTTTATCTTACTTCTTCTTGTGATAACGAGTATTTATTCAAGTTGTCAAGCTACCTAATGTTTCTTTTATTTGCCAATAGATTATCTTGTCACTGTGACCTTGACCTTTTATCTCAAAATTAATATTGGTCATCTACTGACCATTTTATTTAAAAATTCTTTACAGAGCAATCTCCCTTTAATAAATACTTAAATAAAGATTTCAAAATTAAAATGACTTAGTGTGACCTTCACCTTGATCTGAGGAAGGTCAAATCTATGTACTGTACATCATCTGATTGTGAAAATAACTTGAAATTCCTTCCATTGGTTGACATTCGTTCCATTAGTTCAAAAGATACAGAGTAGATACAAAATTTGGAAATTCATACATAAAGACCCAATGTGACCTTGACCTTTATTTGAGAAACCGAGGCTGGGTACATTGCCTAGGTAAGGTTAACAATTCTGCCTAGTGAGTGGCAGGAAAGTCAAGTGGTTAACATGCTGGACAACTGCTGACAATGTGGGTTCAATCTCTGTCAGGGGCAAACCATTGTTTCCATGAGGAAGAAACTTTACATTCATTGCTTAGTACTGGTTGCTCGAGAGTGTTTCAGTAAGCTTCAAAACACTATCAAACTAAAACAAATTTGTATAAAATAATTCTGTCCAGAAGTTTTTAGTATTTTTTTCATCAGTCCAAAAGATACAGTGCAAACATTAAATTGGTAACTTACAGAATGATTGAGGGAGGATCAAGTGCATAACATTATATGCCAAAATTCTTTCGGCATATAATGATGTTCATCCATTTGTGTCAATATTAGAATACTGGGATCCGTCATATTACCAGACAAAATATGATATGATGTTTCGCTGTAACTTTTTTTTAAAACCACTAAAAATTATGGGTTTTTACCAAATTGATTTTGGGTTCATAATACATGTTAACGTTACTTTATCAAACACGAAATTAAACATTTTTACTTAAAAATCAGATCTTCAAAATAGGGCGTTATAAGAGAAAAAAATCACGTAGACAACTCAATTTACTGGACATTTTGTGTCAAAATATTTTGAAGTTGTGAATTGAAATCAATCTTTTAGGGAATGACAACTGTTGAATGACAAGGAAACCCTACGATATCACTAAAATAGACACGGCAGCCATGTTTTTACAAAGAGGCCTAAATATGGGGTCTAATGGAAATAAACATTTTAAACTCAATTAACGTATTGATTCTTCATAAATCAGTAAATGTTTTAAAATTTTTGATATTCAATTTGAATTTCCTTTTGGTCATCACGAAGCCTGTAAAAACCAGATAATTCATTTTATTTACATTTCACATAGAGTTTTCTCCCTTTGCATAACTCGTTTCCTTATAGGTTTTTTAATTTGAATTTCTTTGTGTAATACAACAACAAAAAACTGTTTGGACTTAATTTAAATATACATTTCATCATTAAAATATGTTATGATTGTCTGCTGAGATAATGCAATCCATTTAAATAAAATTAATAATATATTTTATAATAACACTCCATTTCAAGAATAAATACAAAAATTCAAGCTGTCAGAATCGATACAAAAATAATACTGAAAATGTTAAAAAAAGAGCATAAAATCCATGAATATAATCAGACAAAAATGTATATATAAAAATAATCATAAAAAAAGACAAAAGAAATAATACAATTGAATATGATTACATTGCTTTTTTTTACTATATATATATATTTTTTTTGTAGAAAAGAGATATTAGATAAAGAGATATGTGTCTTCTTTAAAATTGATTGAAAGTATTCATAGAAAATAATGACAAAATAGAAACATTGTGTGATAAAAACATGCAAAGAAAATTAATATTTATAATAGAAATTAAAATCTACAATTTAACAATATTTTAACATATTAACATAATCATTATCCCTCAACAGACTCAAATAAAATTGAGTTTGCTTTTTTGAACTATTTTCCTTTTTCATTTATCTGCAAGTATTTCTAATTTCAATTATTCTTTCATAAAATGTTCAATCAAATATTTCAATAAATGCAGTAGACATTAACTTAGTGCTGTACCCTTAACCATAAAATCCTTTAAGATGTTTATTTTTTTTTCACTTTTTTACTTTTAAAGGTCCTGTAACACATTTTTTTCATTTCATAAATATGATGCTCAAATTAAGATTTGTCAATATTGTAGGTTCAAATAAGCATTATTTATAAAGATATTACCCAATTTAACATTTCATGTAAATAAAGGGAGGTAATTAGAAATTTATTTTCTATAAATTCTAAGTCAAATTTTCCAATAAAAAATGAATGCATTTAATTTATTGATTTAATATAATGTGCACAAATATTTGCAGTACACATTTTACATATTCTTTGATGTTTGAAAATTGTTTTATTTGCATAATTTTATACATGTATAATTTTTTGCAAGTGTGGTATACACACAGTAACAATATCAATCACAAAACATACATGATCATAAAGTTATGTCAATTCCAATACATTTCAAAAGATATGAATTATTTTCACCTCAAAATATCCTAAAAGTCAAGGAGAAATGTCCATCCAGAAATAGTCCAAATATTGATTTATGTTGAATTATGTCCACCACAAAAGAAAAATCTAGAACTGCCCTTGTAGTTGTTTTCTAATAACACCTTAAGAAATGCAAAAGAGTTGTTCTGAAAAATAATACTGAATTCTATTAAATTAATGGATTAAATTTAATTTATAGTCATTCTATTATCACATAATATAATAATAAAAAAAAATCACCAATACCAATAACTATCACATATTTTTCCTGGAATCACCTCGACTGATTGATTCATTTTTGTATTTCATATAAATCAATCAAGCTTTACAACTTACAATACCTTCATTTATTAATCATTACATAAATTACTTAATTATGCATACCTAAACAGTACTTAGAGATTCATATATTAAAGATATTAGAGATTACATATTAAATGCAAAATATTTATGTACTAACAGAAGCCAAGCCAATATGGGCAATCCTACTGCAGTCATCCGTGTGTACCAAGTGCCCTGAACTTCTAGTTATCTTGTTTAACTTTGTTATCGTGTTAAATATACCATCAAATTTTAATCGGCAACATAAGGTTTTAAAACCATATAAAAGCAGAACTGCATTAACAAGCTTGATTGAATAAAGATACTTATGTGCCATGAAGGTAATAATATGATATGGAATGGATGAATGAGTTAATGAATAAATGAATGAATAAATGTATGAATTAGTGATTGATTGAATGAGTGAGTGCATGAATGAATGAATGAATGTAAAATGAATGAATGTATATTTTGCAACTGATTGGTAATAAAACAGAACAAACATATAAAGGATTTCAAATCACATACACTTCAATTACTGTCAAGCCTCCATAAGTTTTTGTTATTATAAAAATATGTAACAGCAAAAGAATCCTGGTATCTTATTTTAGGCTTAAAAATAAACAATGTCTGCAAAGCTATTACAGGTGAAATAAAGTTTTGTCTTTGAATGTAGTGCCTAAAGTGTCTAAGCATCATTTTAACATTAATTTTTCGATACAAATACTCTATAAATGTCAAATTTCATTCAAGAACATAATCAGGGGATTTGCAGACATATGTTCATTTTATTGCAGTTACTTGATGTGTTATTTTAGCAACAACAAGAGCTGTCGGTAGGACAGCACGCTCGACTATTCTAAGTGCTTGATAGTAAAAGAGCCTTGATAATGTATAATTTTTTAAGTTCACAAAAGGGCTAATTTTTTTTTATAAATTTGTGTTATAGGCCTTAGAGAGAGTCTAATTATACAGTATTGCCTTGACTATTCGGAAGGAAATGTCACAAGGGTGTTTTATTGAGTATAATAATACTAATTACCTATGAATACATAAATTTGACAGAAAAGGTACAAAGGCTTGTTATTAAGATGTTTTATCAAGTAAATCACTGCTTTGTTATCATGAATGCATAAAATTGTCCCAAAAAAAACACAAACCCTTAAGTAGTTATTGAGATAACAGCTTACAAGCAAAACTTTACCATGAATTTCTAAGTTGAAAAAAGGGGAGAAAAATCAGCCTAAATGCAAGATAGAATTATGGATCTTTGTCAGTGACCTACAATTATGACCCTAATTGCATATGAGAAGTTTTAAATAAATATCTTTAATAGTTATTGAGATATGTAAAACTTGCATGTAAACATTAACCAAGAGACTAAGTAGAAAGGGGATATGAATCAGCCTTAATGCAAGATGGAGTTATGGAACTTGGTCAGTGACATACAATTATGACCCTCCAATTATGACCCTAAGTGCATGTGTAAAGTTTCAAGTAAATATCTTTGAAGACCTTTAACCTTTAACAAAAATTTCTAAGTTTCAAAGGGGCAAATAATTCTGCAAATATTGCAGGCAGATTTATGCAATTTTGCAAACTGATGTACATTGTTACTATGAAAAAGTATTTTAAATTTCAATTGAATATCTCGAGCAATAATTGAGATATTTGACTTTACAAAAAAACTTTAACCAAAAAATTTCTAAGTTCCAAAGGGGCATAATTCTGTCAATATTGTAGGGAGAGTTATCCAACTTGTCAATCTGATGTACCTTGTTACTATAAATAAGTAATGTAAGTTTCAATTTAATATCTCAAGCAATAATTGAGATATTTGACTTTACAAAAAACTTTAACCAAAATTTCTAAGTTAAAAAGGGGCATAATTCTGTCAATATTGTAGGCAGAGTTATCCAACTTATCAATCTGATGAACCTTGTTACTATAAATAAGTATTGTAAGTTTCAAATGAATATCTCAAGCAATAATTGAGATATTTGACTTTACAAAAAACTTTAACCAAAATTTCTAAGTTAAAAATGGGCATAATTCTGTCAATATTGTAGGGAGAGTTATCCAACTTGTCAATCTGATGTACCTTGTTACTATAAATAAGTATTGTAAGTTTCAATTTAATATCTCAAGCAATAATTGAGATATTTGACTTTACAAAAAACTTTAACCAAAATTTCTAAGTTAAAAAGGGGCATAATTCTGTCAATATTGTAGGCAGAGTTATCCAACTTGTCAATCTAATGTACCTTGTTACTATAAATAAGTATTGTAAGTTTCAATTGAATATCTCAAGTAATAATTGAGATATTTGACTTTACAAAAAACTTTAACCAACGCAGACGCCGACGCGGACGCGGACGCCGACGCCGGGGCAACTACAATAGCTCTCATATTCTTCGAATAGTCGAGCTAAAAACAGAATTCATTGTTACTTAACCTGTACAAATATATTGTTTAGAATATTTATCAAAGTAATCAAAATAAGTATGCCCTATGTCATGACTTATCAAGTTCATAAATTGTACTTACATGTCTTAAATAGTTATTTCTTCATAATTTATAACATCTGCACTCAACACAAATAACTCTTATATTTGAAATGTTTAAGATAGAAAAGTAAATTTGAGTGCATACAAAACAAAAATATATTCAATATTAGTAAAACCAGACAAAACCTTAAAAAATAATGTGTAAACATTTCATAACCCTAAATGTACATATTATAAATATATTTATATATAGAAAAATACTTTTATCAAAAAAGGGCCTCCATTCGATCATAAATACAACATATCTGAGACTACCTAGAATATCAAATGAGTAAAATAAAGTATAATACATCAATATAATCCTGTTGTGAACAATGATTGTGAAATAAAAAATAGCACCTTTGGAAACAAAACAATGTATATATAGTAAAACATGTTCTGAATATACCAATAGTGACATAAAACTATGGTTTTATCTTTAGTTCTTTACCTATACAGTTATATTACATATTTAACTTGGTAAGGCACAATTTATAATTAACTGTGTATTAGAGATTTAATTCATGTTTAACTTGATAAGATATAATTCATATTCCACTTGGTAAGATACAATTCATATCTTACTTGGTAAGATTCAAATTCATATTCCACTTGGTAAGATTCAATTCATATTCAACTTGGTTAGATTCAATTCATATTCAACTTGGTTAGATTCAAATTCATATTTAACTTGGTAAGATTCAATTCATATTCAACTTGGTTAGATTCAATTCATCTTTAACTTGGTAAGATTCAATTCATATTTAACTTGGTAAGATTCAATTCATATTTAAATTCATATTCTGCTTAGTAAGATACAATTCATATTCAACATGGTAAGATACTATGCCCTATTGTACTTGTTAAGATACAATTCATATTCTCCTTGGCAGGATACAACTGATTATTTATATTCAACTTGGTAAGATACAATTCATATTTAACTTGGTAGGATACAATTTGTATTTATCTTAGAAAGATACCATTCATATTCCATTTGGCAAGATTCAATTCATATTCTACTTGATAACATACATTTACTATTAACTTGGTATTCATATTTAACTTGTTAAAAAGGTTCAAGGAGGACTTTATCAATTAAATTTAACTAAAGATAAATTATGACATTAACAGGTGCCATATTATCTGATGTAAATACACTGATAATATGTCTGCAACTTGATTACATTATGATATTATGTCTAACATAGCATATAACCTGTGTAATATTAAGTCTACATATCTAACAGCTATGTTGTATTCTCACACACTTTCTTGAGATACATGTACCAGTGCTTTTATCTGCACAGGTATGGTCAAAAAAATTACCCAATTGACCCATACTGCATTAATATTCCTTCTATATCAGCCCTCTAAATGTCATATTGACCTGCAATAATTATTTTTACTCTGGAAATTACATCATTTACACACCAATGCAGTTACAATGGAAGTACAATATTGTTTATGATGTAAATTATACAGAGAATATGCATGTAGTGTTAGAAATCTTCAGAATTAGATCATTTAAATGAAATGAATCAAAACATTTCTAATTTCAGAGTGGTCCAATTATTTTCCGCTTGACCTAGACTTTCTGTAGGATCTAAGAAATGAAAATAATGGGGATCAAAAGGGAAATTTGCCATTTAATAATCCATTAATATGTTAGTATATTGAATATAAAGTTATTATGTCTTTATCTTAAACTTTTATACAAATGAAGAATCTCTTTGAAATCATGTATGAATAATGTAAAAAAACCCTGGTATTATGTCAAAATATTCAATTATGACAAAGATTAATTATCATTATACAGTCAAACTTGTGTTAAAGACTTTCTTTGAATTAAGATCATCCTATTAATAAAGGCCATTCCTCAAAAACTGTGGCTGATTTCACAGAACAGAGTAACCTCTAAATAAGGACCCCTTGTTTATAAATGTAATATCGGTCAGATGGCCTTTGTCCACATGTATGACTATACAGTCTTCCTGACCTGCATATCCATATAGAGTGGTCATACTCATAAAATAAAATACTAAACAGCTGCTCCATTGTAATACTTAGATACAAAAATCCATGGAATTCATTACAAATGGACAGTTTCAAATTCAAAGATGGACCAGTCCACTCCATAAAATCAGTGGAGTTAAAGAAACTAAGAGAAGATTTAAGCAAGTGTGATTTCTAATTTTGAAGTATCTGTTACATCCACAATTCCAGTTGTCAACTTTTCCCGTCACATTCTGACATCAGTGTCCGATATTTTCTCAGTATCTGAGTTCTGTTCTCTGCCACTCTGTCCCTTCATGTTCATGTACATTTCCCTATATGTCTCCCTTGTATCTGCCATACTGAATAAATCTGACACGCAGTATGCCTGCAAGAAAAAATAAAACCTGTTACGAGTTGTATTCTCAATGAAGACATGTTCAAACCAGTGAATCAAAATACTCAATGAATAAACAATTCTTGAAAAGGGGAGGTCCCTTGTATGTTTACATGTAAACCCAGTACAGTCTGCTCAATCAAAATATTTTTAGATTTCTTTATTTCAAGTCATCATAGACTTTTTAAAGTTTATACAGTGACTTTCTAACCCATACTTGTGGAGGAAGACGCCAGACCAGGTGCCCTTTGTGAATTATTTCAGGCACAAGCTGATAGAGAACCATCCAATCATTGTTAAGTTAACTGGATAGCTTCGTCACATGGAAGATTCCCCATTTTTTGTCCCTGACAGAATAAGAACAACAATGGTGAGAGGCAAGTGATTTGAAGTTGGTGACATTACCACTCAGTGACAATAGCTGCTGCAGACTGACCTGGTTCTCTTTTTTATCCAGCTATTTTACAAACGGCTAGTGATTCTTAATAATGTCTCTTCCACACAGTATAGTTGTAAAGTTGCTATACAGCCACCTTAGTGCAGTAACTGTTTAACACATATCAAATTTAACTAGAACTGCCACTGTCATGGCGTGAATACCCCCGCATACCACTTTGTCAGAATCGACAGTGGCCATTAAGAACTCAAGGACAACCTCCCTGCCAAATCTGAGGTAACTAAGCCAGTGCATTGCTAAGTTATGTATTCTACTTCTACATGCTTCAAATGTGAAAATGTCAAAATCAATAACACTCTGGACAGAGTCGGCACTCTGAAGCAATTGAGGGGAAAAGCTTTTTGACAAGGTCCCTGTGGACCTTGAAAACTTTGACCCTGTGACCATCAAAATCAATAGGGGTCATCTACTAAACATGACTAACCTCCATGCCAAATATGAAGACTGTGGGTCAAAGGAATCTTAAGTTATTGGGCGGACAAGCTTTTGGAAGTCAAGGCCCCTGTGACCTTGACCTTTGACCTGGCTGGTCCGACCTCAAAATCAATAGGGGTCATCTAACTAATCATGACTAACCTCCATGCCAAATATGAAGACTGTGGGTCAAAGGAATGCTTAAGTTATTAGGCGGACAAGCTTTTAGAAGTCAAGGCCCCTTGTGACCTTGACCTTTGACTTGGTGACCTCAAAATCAATAGGGGTCATCTACTAATCATGACTAACCTCCATGCCAAATATGAAGACTGTGGGTCAAAGGAATTTTAAGTTATTGGGCAGACAAGCTTTTGGAAGTCAAGTAAGCCCCTGTGACCTTGACCTTTGACCTGGTGACCTCAAAATCGATAGGGGTCATCTAGTAATCATGACTAACCTCCATGCCAAATATGAAGACTGTGGGTCAAAGGAATCTTAAGTTATTAGGCGGACAAGCTTTTAGAAGTCAAGGCCCCTGTGACTTTGACCTTTGACCTGGTGACCTCAAAATCAATAGGGGTCATCTACTAAACATGACTAACCTCCATGCCAAATATGAAGACTGTGGGTCAAAGGAATCTTAAGTTATTGGGCGGACAAGGTTTTTTGAAGTTCAAGGCCCGCTGTGACCTTTACCTTTGACCTGGTGACCTCAAAATCATTAGGGGTCATCTACTAATCATGACTAACCTTAATGCCAAATATGAAGACTGTGGGTCAAAGGAATCTTAAGTTATTGGGCGGACAAGGTTTTTGAAGTCAAGGCCCCTGTGACCTTGACCTTTGACCTGGTGACCTCAAAATCAATTGGGGTCATCTACTAATCATGACTAACCTCCATGCCAAATATGAAGACTGTGGATCAAAGGAATCTCAAGTAATTGGTCGGACAAGAAAAAAAGGACGGACGGCTGGGCCGGACGGACAAGCTGATTCCAGTATACCCCCCTTACAACTTTGTTGTGCGGGGTTATAATAAAAGTTATCCTGTTACTGCACTAAGGTGACAAAATGACCTTTACAGTGGCATGTTTGATTTAAAACCATACAAAAACAAGACCTCACTCTATAAAACTGGTGATTAAAGAACAACCATTACTGCCACTCACCACTAATACTGCAACACCACAGCCTATAACCGCACCAGCTATCACATCAGTTGGATGATGTTTGTAGTTTGACACTCTGCTAAGACATGTGTAGTAAGCCATAGCAAATATCAGTGTCTGTAGTACAGGCTTTATTAAAGACTTGAACAAAAATGTTAGCCTTCGTTGTAGAAATATCTGCAAAATAGAACAACATACATTATCAATATCTTGCACATACAAGAACATCTATTTAACCCTTACCACGCTCAATATCATAAATGGACTTGTCCATTTTTTGATCTGAACAAAACCATTCATCTTTTTTAGGTAAAATTTAAAAAAACATACTGACTGATTAACTAACAGTGCAGACCATGATCAGATTGCACTTAGATGTGCTGACTGATATTGGTCTGCACTTGTTGTATAGTTAGAGTAAGTTTGCAGCTAGAAGGCTAAGAATGGGTTAAGCTGCATGCCTCAAAATACAATGTTGTAATCAGAGAAATATTTATAAAATAAAACTTCAGATAAACATGTTAAAAGCTTGAGTGATATATAAATATTTAAATACCAAGTGAGCGTACGATTGTTTTTTAAGCAAATTGTTGACTGAATATACTGTTTTTATCTCCACATTTCTACCCAATAACTAACAAAGTATTAAAAGGAGCTTATTATAAAGGTAATATACATATCATAATATGCCAATGAAAATCTACATTAAAAGACCATGCAGTATACATGTAATAATGAACATATCTAATAACCCATCCAACTTTACAAAAGCCTACTTACTGATACTTAGTACAGCAAATTTTACCAACAACACAACTAAATACTTAAGGTACATACCATCAGATATATAGCGCAGTACGATGAAAATGATGCATGACCTGATGGGAAAGATAACCTGTAATGTAACAATGGCATATATATGTAAACATGGATAAAATCTCTAATTTGCCGTACATAACTGAAAGCGCTAATTTGAATTGACCTACAGTTAAGCCTTTCGACTGGACTGACTAATACTGAAAGACAATCAAAATTTTGTGGAAAAAACATATCAACCTTATGGAATAACGCGAGCAGATGGCACATAATGCCATGGTGGGTGTCACTCAATGATGTTTCGTCACTTCCCTTGTTTTGTCTGAATATATTTGTATAATAAATGCCGCTGAACAAGGTGGAAAGTCCAAAAATTTTGGGCAAATTCAAATAGCGTTTTAAATTACGTCAATATGTATATATAAAAATAAATATACAGCTAGCTAGGTCAATTTTTCAAGCAGACGGGTATAAGGGTACATTGTACTTGTCAGAAGGCAATTGAGAGAACTGTAGCTATGTGACATTAATGTTTCAGGAAAAGTATCAGGTTTAAATGAAACATCTTATCATGGCTAGGCATTTTAAATATTCAGTTATAAGGTTCACAGGCTACATGTTACAAGTATGAGGCTAAAAAATTTACTTTAGTTTGCCTTGTTAATTCAATGTAAGTCCAGTTTTACAGTCTAGCTAATTAGTTGTTCTGTTAATTGGTCATTGCACTAAAAATAGTCTTGTGTTTGTAACTTTGGGAGACTGCTATGGCATCTATCTTGTTCATGCAGAAGAACTCTCTTTACCATCCTTTCAGGCATATATAAAAGTCCACCCGTTTAGCTCAATATGGAGGGTATTGGATTTGTAATCCAGGTCGCTGGTCCTATCCTCAGACAAGGCTGATTTTTTTCTGTGAAAACTGATCTTGGGACAAGGGAGTCTAATGGTCATTTGTCTCTGACCACTGATTCAGAGTCATGTTGGATTAGTAGTTGGTCAATGCAGATAAAGTTGGTAATGACTAGTTAGTTATCTAAAGAATTTTATGTGGACTGACTGCTGAGATACAACTGTTACAGGGTTACTAAAAATGTATTAATGTCAACATAAAAAGAACAAACAGACAATCAGGCATAATTATATAAGCAAACACAATACAATGATTATCTCCTCTGGAAATATATCAAGGGGAGACAGGGTCTCTGTGTATAATTAACGCCACAAACTTACCTTATTTCCTTAATTCTGTTTTTTACTGTCACCCAGACATTCAATTCTACAATATTTACAGCTAAATATAACTAACATTCCTTATATAGTCAAAAGCATAATACATGCTTCTCCAATAATTATTACCACATTCTTACCTCATTTCCCTAATTCTGTTTTTATTGTCACCCAGACATTCAAATTCCTCAATATATCCAGCTGAACAATTCACTTTACTAAAGTCTACTTTACACACATCAAAGAAATGAGGTCTTAGACGGCCAATGCTGTATTTCCCAATGTTCGATATAATATGCTCCAAAGCAGCACCAAATATGTATGGAACCAAGGATAGGTAAATATCTCGGATAAGAATCCAGTGTTTCCCATATTTCTTGATATCAACTGTTTGTTGTGGGTCACGCTCCTTTACTCCATATATCCATATGTATTCAACTACACCAATCTGAGATAAAGAAAAATCAAATATACAGAACATCTTTTTATCATAATGAATTTGATTAATGCTATGAATGTTACAAATTGTTTGATCAAATTTGGAACAACAGGAAGCCTTTGAGAACAAGAGCACCCCTAGGCGGAGCATAATATGCCCGAAAGTGTTTTTTTTTAGTAAGGATGAAGCATTTGTAAGACATGGGAATTAGCTGTTCATCCTATAAAATTTTAAAGCTGTAGGTTGATTAATACTTAAGTTATTAATAATGACCTTAACCTTTGACCTTGTGACCCCAAAATCAATAGGGGTCTTTTACCTTATATGGACAATCATCCTAAGAAGTTTGAATATTGTGGGCCAAATGGAACTTAAGTTATACTCCGGAAACTGTTTTCAATTTTAGGGTAATAATGACCTTGAACTTTGACCTTGTGACCCAAAAATCAATAGAGGTCTTCAATCCAATATGCACAATCATACTATGAAGTTTGAATATAGTGGGCCAAATGGAACTTATGTTATGCTCCAGAAACTGTTTTTGGTTTTAAGGTAATTGTGACCTTGACCTTTGACCTAGTGACCCCAAAATCAATAGGGGTCTTTTGCCCAATATGGACAATCATCCTATGAAGTTTGAATATTGTGGGTCAAATGGAACTTAAGTTATGCTCCGGAAACTGTTTTCAATTTTAAGGTAATAGTGACCTTGACCTTTGACCTTTTGACCCCAAAATCAATAGGGGTCTTCTACCCAATATGGACAATCATCCTATGAAGTTTGAATATTGTGGGTCAAATGGAACTTAAGTTATGCTCCGGAAACTGTTTTCAATTTTAAGGTAATAGTGACCTTGACCTTTGACCTTTTGACCCCAAAATCAATAGGGGTCTTCTACCCAATATGGACAATCATCCTATGAAGTTTGAACATTGTCGGCCAAATGGAACTTAAGTTATGCTTCGGAAACTGTTTTCAGTTTTAAGGTAATAGTGACCTTGACCTTTTGACCCCAAAATAAATAGGGGTCTTCTACCCAATATTGAAGTTTGAACATTGTGGGTCAAATGGAACTTAAGTTATGCTCCGGAAACCAAATTGCTAACGGACGGATGGACGGACTCACAAAATGGTACTTATGTGACTTTTCCTTTGATCTTTTTGGCCATTTTTAGTCACACAAGGCTTATAAAAAGACACACAAGTAAAAACGGAATGAATAGGATCAAAGAGAATTTACTGTTACCCATTGTTCTCAAAGTCACACAAGTACCTCTGGGTTCGTACGGACAGACAGACAGATAGACGCCAAAGTGTATAACATAATATGCCCTTTCGGGTATATAAAAATACATGTTTATGACTTTACAATTAACAAGATATGTTTGTAAAACATGTATGCCCCCTATCTGCAGCCAATTAGTCATGTGATAAGGTTATTATGCATGACTTCTGACCCAGTGATCAAACAATTAATAAGGGTTATCAAGTATCTACTGGTCATGACCTTAACCTTTGACCCCTTGACCCAAAACTCAATAGGGGTCATCTGCTGGTCACGACCAATCATCATACAAAGTTTGAAGTTCCTAGGCCTAAGCGTTTTTAGTTAATTGATCGGAAACCGTTTTTACCTACAAGGTCAATGTGACCTTGACCTTTGACCCCTTGACCCAAAATAAATAGTCATCTGCTGGTCATGACCAATCACCATACCAAAGTTTTGAAGTTCGCTAGGCCTAAGGGTTCTTTAGTTATTGATCTGAAACCGTTTAACATACAAGGTCAATGTGACCTTGACCTTTGACCCCAAAATCAATAGGGGTCATCTGCGGTCATGACAATCACCATGCCAGTTTGAAGTTCCTAGGCCGAAGCGTTCTTTAGTTATTGATCAGAAACCGTTTTTACTTACAATTCAATGTGACCTTGACCTTTGACCCTTGAATCCAAAATCAATAATGGGTAATCTGCTGGTCATGAACAAATCACCATAAACAAGTTTTGAAGTTCCTAGGCCTAAGCGTCCTTTAAGTTTTTGAATCAGAAACCGTTTTTACTCTACAAGGTCAATGTAACCTTGACCTTTGACCCTTGACCCAAAACTCAATAGGGGTCATCTGCTGGTCACGACCAATCATCATACAAAGTTTGAAGTTCCTAGGCCTAAGCGTTTTTAGTTAATTGATCGGAAACCGTTTTTACCTACAAGGTCAATGGTGACCTTGACCTTTGAACCCCTTGACCCAAAATAAAATAGGTCATCTGCTGGTCATGACCAATCACCATACCAAGTTTGAAGTTTCCTAGGCCTAAGGGTTCTTTAGTTTATTGATCGGAAACCGTTTTAACATACCAAGGTCAAAGTGGACCTTGACCTTTGACCCCAAAATCAATAGGGGTCATCTGCTGGTCATGACCAATCACCATGCCAAGTTTGAAGTTCCTAGGTCCGAAGCGTTCTTTAGTTATGATCAGAAACGTTTTTTACTTACAATGTCAATGTGACCTTGACCTTTGACCCCTTGATCCCAAAAATCAATAGGGGTAATCTGCTGGTCATTGACAAATCACCATAACAAGTTTGAAGTTCCTAGGCCTAAGCGTTCTTAAGTTTTTGATCAGAAACCGTTTTTAACTTACAAGGTCAATTTGACCTTGACCTTTGACCCCATTGACCCAAAACTCAATAGGGGTCAATCTGCTGGTCACGACCAAGTCATCATACAAAGTTGAAGTTCCTAGGCCTTAAGCGTTTTTAGTTAATTGATCGGAAACCATTTTTATAACTACAAGGGTCAATGTGACCTTGACCTTTTGACCCTTGACCCCAAAATCAATAGGTCATCTGCTGTCATGGACCAATCACCATACCAAGTTTGAAGTTCCTAAGCCTAAGGGTTCTTAAGTTATTGATTGTAAAGCATTTTACCTACAAGGTCAATGTAACCTTGCCCTTTGACCCCTTAACCCCAATAATCAATAGGGTCATCTGCTGGTCATGACCAATCACCATACCAAGTTTTGAAGTTTCTAGAGCTAAGGGTTCTTTAGTTATTGATCGGAAACCGTTTTAAACCTAAGAGTTGTCAATGTGACCTTGACCTTTGACCCCTTGACCCCAAAATCAAATAGGGGTCATCTACTGATCATGACCAATCACCATACCAAGTTTGAAGTTCCTAGGCCCTAAATTCTTCTAGTTATTGATCGGAAACCATTTTTGCTTTACAAGGTCAATGTGGACCTTGACCTTGACCCCTTGACCCCAAAATCAATAGGGGTCATCTACTGATCATGACCAATCACCATACAAGTTTGAAGTTCCTTAGGCCTTAAGGTTCTTTAGTTATTGATCGGAAACCGTTTTTGCTTACATGGTCAATGTGACCTTGACCTTTGACCCCTTGATCCCAAAAATCAATAGGGGTCATCTACTGATCATGACCAATCACCATACCAAGTTTTGAAGTTCCTAAGGCCTTAAGGTTCTTTAGTTATTGATCGGAAACCGTTTTTGCTTACAAGGTCAATGTGACCTTGACCTTTGACCCCTTGACCCCAAAATCAATAGGGGTCATCTACTGGTCATGACCAATCACCATACCAAGTTTGAAGTTCCTAGGCCTAAGGGTTCTTTAGTTATCACTCGGAAACCATTTGGTCTACGGACCGACGGACCGACAGACCGACGGACCGACAAGTGCAAAGCAATATACCCCCTTTTCTTCGAAATGGGGGCATAATAAACATATTTTGCCTTTTACAAACTGAAAGTAGTAGTAATTTCTACTTCTTACAATCTTTTGTGCATCCCTTAATTAGTTTTGACCTGAGTTTTGCGAATAACAAACACTATGCCTCACAATTTTGACAATTTGTGCAAGTTATATAACAATTCCTCTATGTATAAAGAAGTTTCACTATGTACAAGTGTTTTCTTTTGACCTTTGACCTAGAAACTTGGTTTATGTGAACATCACTACAAAGACAAGCTAGAGATGGCCAAATTTTTACCATCTAATCATCTCTGGTGGCCAGACAACCCAACATTTTTTAAAAAATTGTGAATTCCCGACTACATGTAC